TCAGCCTTTGTCTCCTCTATTTCTTTGGCAACCCTCAGAATTGTTTGGGCAGCTACCCCTCTTTACATCTAAAAAGGGGGAGCACTTGTATGAATGGTCTGGGGTCCAGTGTCCAAGAGTTCTCCCTTTTAACACTGAAGCTCTTCTCAATGAACTTGGAGCCAAATTTAGATACTGAAATAAAATATATACACACAGTCCCCAATTCCTTCCCTGCCAATCCAGCCAACCTACAAGGTGTTCTATGGAGCAAAATGAATTCTGCTCTTAAGCTAAGGGTCCCAGAATCTGGAATTCTGCTTGGTCTCCAAACAAATGCTTTATTTTTGTGGGGTTGGGGGGTCGAACCCAGGGCCTTATGCATGCTAGGCAAGTGCTCTACCACTGAGCTCTGCCTTCAGCCCCCAAATGCTTTTCCAGATACTCATGCATTTGAAAGCCCCTCTCTGACTGTCTAAGATTTGACTGCTGATTGATTGCTATATGCATTAAGTTCTGGACTTAACATGGTCTCCCAGGTTTGTTATTGTTTTGTTTTTTTTTTCTTCCCTCTTGCCATCAAATAGTAATCAGTCTTGAGTCTCTATTAACTTGCTCTCAACAAATAGCCACTATATTGGTTCCATCGCAGCCCTCCTCAGTGAAACAAAACAAAGCACATTCAACCTTCCAACCAACCTCTCCTGATGCCAGAGATGATGAGAACTGAGGGGCAAAGGAATGAACTTTCTGCAAGGCTGGGGCACAGTGGACATCTGAGAGAAAGCCCATGTTCTGATTTGGCTCTTCCACCATGACTTTCCAAGTAAGAGAGGCCTTTTGTTTCTGATATTAAGCTGTTGGTTCTTCTAGAAGATTACAGAATGATTATTCAGGAGGCCAAGGAATAAAAAGGAAAGAATACAGCCTGCTCCTTTGTTTATTCAGTCAACAATGTTTTGCCTTGAGGGCAAAGTCCCCTGCCCTCAAGGAATTAAGAGTCTGAGGTGGAAGGGTAAGGGGGGAGAGTGTGGGACAGATGTAAAATAGACCATCTCCGATAGGATGATATGTGTGATAACAAGTGCCTATAGGTCGGGATATGATCAGCTCTAGACTGGCAGGATGGCCAGGAAGGCTTCACAGGAGAAATGATTCCAAAGTTGAGTCTTGATTTGGGCACCCACAGTGAGGGGAAGGGCCTTCCATGTAGCCAGAACAGCACAGACAAAAGTAGGGTAGGGTGAAGTAGCACAGATCAGGGACCCATGAGAAAGTCTGTGTAGCTGGAACATGGGCTATGGAGGGGGTAAACAGAGGGTAAGACTGGAGACTCAGGCAATGGCTCAGATGGTGGAGGGCTCGGTCAGCTAAACATGCAGGTTTCATCCCATTCACTCACAGAAGATCGGCAGCTGATACAGGGACTGAAAGAAACAGCTGACTTTTGCTTCTAGTGCTCTTGAGTTGCAGAGCAGACAATGGATCAGGAAGTGTGAGCCTAGAGAGGGACCAGTCAGGAAGCCACTATGGTGGTGCAGGTAAGAGATGACAGTAGCTAGTCAACAGGGTTGCAGAGAGTGGATAGATTTAATAGTTTTAGAAGGGTGGATCTAATATGACAGGAAGGAAAACAAGAGGGTGATTTTTCAGCCTTTCACAGGAGAAAGAGATTGGAGGAGAGGAAGAGATGAGGAGAGATCATGTAATGGTCAGGCTGGGTGGACTTGATCCTGTGGGGCACCATTCCATATTTCCTCCAGCTGACCCGCTCCACCCTTCTGCCTGCCTCCTTCATGCACACTGGGTCATAGTTCATCTTAATAGTGGATTAAGAATGGGCACACCACTTCTTTGCTGGACCTCAGTTTCCATCTGTAAGCTCACTTGGAATGGAAGCCTTCCCTCCTCCCCTGGGCTAAGCTGAGCTTTCCCTCTGAATCTTGCAGCTGAGTCTGTCTCAGTCTGATGCTGCCTGGAATTTGCATGCTGTTTCCCAAGTCGACTTTAAGTGTCTGGAAGGGAGGACTGTGTACACCCCTTGCATCTTCCACTGGCCACTGCAGAGGCTCCATCAGGACAGTGAGGCCAGTCTTCTTGAATGTGGGTCAAGTTCCTTCTCATTTTCTCTATCATTCTTTTACTCAAGAACTGAGTCCAGAGCCCATTTTTACTGCTCCCTGTGAGTAAAGTCAGTACCCAACTTGACAGCACTGGGGGTGGGTGGAAAAGGAGGGAGGAGGAGACACGGCCAAAGTCCCATGAGGCTCACAGGCTGTTAGATCCTGTGTCTTGCAGGTGTGTATGTTGTAGGCTTATATGTGTGTGTGTATGGAGGGGTTATGGGTGTGTGTGTACATGCATATGTGACCATCCTAGTGCTTATTTCTATATTAAGGTGTGTGTGAGGGTCTATGTATTTGTCTGCATTTAAACAACCATGCACACATCAATGTATACATGTTAGTGTCTACATGTCCGTGGATATTAATGCTGGTGTATATGCCTCAGTTGTTAAATTCGTCTGTCCACACGAATGTCAGTAGCATATATATGTTCCCATGTGCCTGTCTGTGAGTGGGTACATATCTACCTAGTGTACATGCGAGTGCTGTGTGTGTGTGGTGTATAAACAGAGGCAGAACACTGTGTTTGTTTAGTTAAAAGCATATGCTCTGAAGTCTGGCTTCTTAGGCTCAAGTCCTGAATGCAGTATTTAAAAGCTATGGGGCCTTGCATGAGTGATTAATTTTTAAGCCTTGGTTTACTCTTCCCTGATTTGGGGATAATAATAGTATCTACTTTCAATGTCTAATGTCAGGGTGGGATGATACACTGCCCATGATGGCATTTAAAATAACACCTGATAAGTAGGCCATGTTGCAAAGTTATCATGGCAATGAACACGCAAGTGGTTGGGCTTGAGGGTCCAAGTGTGTCTCTGCACGTGCACATGTGCCTTCAGACACACGAGCTCAGCCTATGGTTCTACCAGAATGTGTACTTTGGTGTGGATGGAGGATCGAAGTGTACAGGGCTGGAGTCGGAGGGTCAGCGGGTAAAGTGGGGTTGAGTGAGGTCTGCCTGTGTGTGCCTATGTGTGCTTGTGTTCTACCTGGATTGTGACTCTTCTAAGAGAAAGGAATGTGGCTCATTCATTACCATACCCAGATCCCTGGGCCTGCAAATTTGCAATTGCTCAGAAAATTTGTGTTGACTGAATGAATGAAGTGGACTGGCTATTCAGAGACTATTACTCAGGATAGCATGCCAATTTGCAGAAAGAAGAGACAGGTGTAACTAGCTATCTACTTATCTAGATGAAAGAAAGAGATGATAGGTGGATAGATACACAGATAGATAGACATACAGACTTATTGACTGACTGATAAACAGATAGCCAGAGTTGGCTCTAGTTAGGTGGAATCCCATGCACTTATTCTGGAAGAGATAGTTGATCTCATATATCCCAGGTAGTTCCAAATCCTCACCGAGGGTTATCATGGACTTGTTTTGACTGCCTGGTAAGGAAGGAGTCACAGTTTGGAAGAGCCAAACTCCATACCTCAGATATGCAAGAGTCTATTTGCTTCTTTTTTTTGGTGGTACTGGAGTTTGAACTCAAGGTTCCCTGTTTGCTAGGCTGGCAGAGCCATGCCCTTTCCCCAAGTTTATTTGCTTTTTATCTCTATGCATTGGATGCCCATGTAGAATTAGTTTTAAAAGAAGGATTTCACCATTTAAAATATTTGAGAACCTTGTTCTAACCCAATGCCTTTCGCTCTAGAAAAGGGAGAAACTGAGCTTCAAAGAGGGAAGAAAGTCAGAGACCCTGACCTCTCTTCTAGGCTGGCTCTTACTACATCACCTTTTTTGGAAGGTAGTAAAAGTGAATCCTTCAACCTACTGGGAAACAAGAATACTTTATCCCAGGAACTCTTCTTAAAGAATCCATTATCCCAGCGGCCTTGTGGGATATCTGTGTAAGAAATAGCGCCACTTATTTGAGACCTGTTGATCAGGTTGACCCCATCGGCTGTTGTGCTGGTTGGTTCCACTCATTCAGCCTCAGATTAGTGGGTGTGGGCAGCACCCAATGGTCGGACTCTGGTTCCTGACATTTCCCTAAGGCCACCATGGGTGGTCTATGGTGTGGTTGTGGGAGGGGAAAGAATTCCCTGTTGGTGGCATCTTTGTAGAGTTCTTTGTAAGTGCTCCTTACAGGTTTCCAGAAAGGGGGTCAACTCCCAGGCATTGCTGCTGGATCCCCACAATAGGATTGGCCACTCATTTTCTGTCAGGACTCCCTGCTTCAACCCTTCAGAGAAAGTGCACCACTGTCATAACAGTGAGAGGTGTTTGCTGGGGTGCCAGCATCTCTGCATCAAAATCAAGCAGTTCCCCCAACATCCAGGTCCCTAGGGTAGGAGTTTGTGTAGATCTAGGCAGTCCATTGTAGTGTGTTAGGGGACAAGGGAGCAATGGGACTGTCTTTCCTATCAGAGTCTCCAAAGTTAACCCCCCACTTATGTTCCCATGGTGACCATTGAGACCAGGAGGGAGACACATCAGAGGACACAGAGACAATGCAAGGGTCAGTTTGTTCAGTTCATCCACAGACAGGACAAGAGATGCTTGGGAGGAGTCATGGAAGAGGCCCCTTATTTGCCTTAAGACAAGACACCTCTTCTCGGGAGTTATCAACATACTCCACGCTTCTGGTAAAAGCTAGGGCCACAGAGGCACTTAACGAGTTTGCTTTCCAAGTGCCACTAATGAATGAGAAAATGTTAAGCCAGTCCAGGACAGGCCCCCACCATGAGGAAAAAAGGAACACAAATGCCCAAGAGTGTTAAAGTAGGTGAATGCTCTTCCCTTTCCCCAAACCTAGGCTGGTCTTAAGTTTCTAACACCAAGACTATCTGTGTGATGTACAGGGACCCAGCTGTGCTGAAGGATAAATGGAAGCCATTATCCAGGAGAAAAGCACGGACTTCAGTGTCAGATGCTCAGCTGGGCTCTCAGAACAGCCAAGCCAGGAGGACAGGCAGGGGAAGCATGGGCCATGCCACCAGGAACCCTGAAATGCAAGAGACATGACAGTCAAGTTTTGGGCTTTGGAACATGGCACAAATGTGAGCCTGGGTTCTTGGTCACCTGCTGCACAAGGATGAGGAAGGAAGAGCATCGTTCCATCTGGTCTGGGTTACAGATCCTGCAAGTCACGTGGTAGAGGCCAAGCTATCTAACCTAATCGTCAACTACTCTTTCCATTTTCTTCTGGGCTCACAGGAAGGCATTATCTCCCAGCTTCCTTTGCAGACAGGTCAGGCTATGTGTCTGACTCTAGCCAATGAAATGTGGGTTGGGAGTCATAGGCCTGGTTCTGAAACTTCTGACATTATCTTGCATGCTGTCTCAGCCACCATCTAAGGACCAGTCGTAAAGGATCCATGATGGGATCACAGGGGATAATGGAATTGCTAGAAGTTACCAGAAGCAGGAGCCTGAGTTCTTTATGACTGCCTGGATCATAACTGCAGACCTAAGCCCCTAGTGATTTTGTGGAGATTTACATTGCTGTGTAAAGGCAAAAAGGATTTAGGGATTTTTTTGTTATAGTAGTTAGCATTACTTATGCTGACTACTACTGAAAAGGCTGAAAGATACAGGGTTAAAAAGCCCTGATTCTGAAGCCTGACTGTTTAGCTTAGAATCCCAGCTCTATAACTAGCTGGTCAGTCCCAGGCAATATATTAAAACTCTCTGTGCCTGGGTTTTCCTATCTGCAAAGCAGAAATTAATAGAACCTATTACCTCATCAGACTTTTGTAAAGCTTAAATGAGTAATTTAGAACAGTGCCTACGACATGGTAAACACCATGTAAGTGTTGGTTTTGAAAGTTGGACGCTAAGATCTGAAACACTGGAATTATATCTCCTTTTCAGTGTTAAGGAAGAGGCAGCACATTTACCCTCTCCAACAGTTCCAACTTATACTATCTCCTCATCCTCCAAATTCAACGTCCTAGACGTGGGGAGAGGAAAAGCATAATTTTCACAAACATAAATGTATTACAACACGTTTATGAGATGAAGCCTAGAATGATGTCCGATTGATTCTGAAGCACCAGAAATGATTGAGGGAAATAGCGAACTATAAAACCCACAAATGCCCTCTTGTGGTGGTTTGCTGTCTCACCATCAGATTGACCTCTTCCTTTTCCTGAAGGTTCCAAACACAGCCCACCCTAGAAAATTAGTCAAGTCAACTGTCTTGGGAAGTCACTATTCCAGATGCTGGAACAGAAATGGATGGACTGGCAGAAATGAATGACCTTTGAGGTCCCTGACTTCAAGATGCTTTACACTGAGCTCTAGCCACTCTCTATAATCAAAGTTATTTTTCTTAACATTGTCTGTATGTTAGCACAGAATGTTAGCCTTATTTGGGAATTTAAAAAAAAACTAGATGGGGCTTCAAAGACGAAAAAACCTTTTTCTCATCTGGGTTCACCAATGCAGGTCCTTTGCGGGGGTAGCAAAAATTTTAAAAGCATGAGTTTTCCAGTTTTTCCAAAATGTATTTCTTTAATTTATCTGCTTGTTAAACTCCAAGTCATTCATCAAAACCCTACTCAGATGTTACTGAGTGATGAAATTCTCTCCTGACCTTTCCCAAGATATTTAGCCTTTGTCACTTGCCTGCTTGTCACCTATTGGCTATGTCCCTATCTCATTTATGCAGTAAACTGTTGTTGCTTCCGCCTATCTAACTCCATTCCCATGACATTTGCCCATCTGACTCCTTTTTCTTATTTGATTAAATATCACTTTCTATAATTGTTCTTCTGACCACTTATCCATCCTGATACTCCATCTTCCTTCCTACTACAGTGACAAAACCATTGAACATTGGTTAGGCACATGGCCAATCCAAAACGAAGATTTCATTTCTTAGCTTCCTTTGTAGCTAGGTGTGGCCATTTGACTATGCACTGGCCAATGAGATGTAAGTGGAGGTGTGAGGTGCCAGCTTCCAGAAATGTTCTTTAACCCTCATCGACTTCCCTCCATCTTGACACCTAGATAGGAATTTGGCTCTCTGGCTGTCATCTTGGACCATAAAGATGGAGAAGGGATGTGCTGGAAAGAACCTGGACTTTGAAGACTTCCTGGTACCACTCTACTTGCCTTGGACTGTTTGCATCTAAATTTCATTTATGTGTGAGAGAAATAAATGTTTAATAAAAATTTAAGACAATATTACTCCTGTTGGTAGTGTTCTGTCACATTGCCTTCTAAATTAACTTTTGTTTAACTTTTATATCTTGTTCCTACAGTGGACCATAAGCTATATGAAGGCAGGCCCTGGTCTGTCTCACTCACCATCATATTTTCCAAGCCCAGAACAATGCCTGGCACAGAGTAGGCACTCAATAAATATTTGTAGTTAAATGACTGTTTCCTCTGATAGACTATGGAGCCAGTCTTGGGTCTGATTCATTTCAGTACCTACAGTACATAGTACAGGACCTGGTCCACAGAAGGAGCTGAATAAATGTGCACGTGGTTGAAAAGGGAAAGAGAAAGAGTTGGGAGAGGTGTGGGAAAGGCAAGAGGAAATGAGGTACCTGCAGTGCTGGGGGTTCCACTCATGACACCAAGAGCCTGAGCGCCTGTGGACGAGAGCAGAATGTGAGGATCTTTCCTGAAATGCTCTGCTGACTGCAACACTATGGCCTTAGCTGTTCCAAATCCTCCTAGGGCTGGTCACATAGCCCTGGCAATCTCCACTGAAGGAGCTCTGTTATCTTTCTAAATGTATTTCATGCATCTTAAACTTAACCCTCCTAACAGAATTGTGAGCAAAGTATCCTTATCTCCATCTGACAGATAACAACAATGGTAAGGACTTGCCAAGTGGACCTTCCTGTCAGTAGCAGAGCTAGGGCTCGAATCCCAGTATGGCTGACTTCAAAGAGGAAGTTCCTAACTCCCCTTCTCTCCAGGTTATTTCATGACACCACAAGAAGCTTCAAATTGAGGACTCAATAAAAGTGCAGAACAACTCAGGGCAGAGCCTTCTTCACCAGCCAGCTTCTGTTTATCCACCTGGAGGATGGCAGTGACAATAGGGCTGAGCTTCTCGGGTTACTGTGAGTACTCAAAGTAATAATGCACAGAAAGGAGTTTGCACAGTGCTAGGCACAAAGAACGTACTGTCATTCTGACTATTATTAATATTATTGCATCTTCATTTCTTTAGGGCAAAAAAAGATTCTTTCATTGTTGTGCATTTCTTGACTCCTCCATTCTGGTGGAAATAAAAACTATGACAATGCTGCAAACCCATGTGTAAGGTGGGTGAAAATTTGTGGCAGTTGGAAGGCTTTGCTTATGTTGTATCTCTACGATATTTAACTAGGTTTTGGAAAACACAGTTGTTCACCAGAAAACAAAGTTACATTTAAGTAGGAGTTAGGAATTAGACTTTACCCACAAGGGACTGAGTTATGGAGACCTGGAGCAAGTAGAATAAGAAAAAGGTTATATGCTTTGGAATCAGACTGAGTTGGGTTCAATCCTAACTCCTACCACGCCTAAGCAGGGGGATCTTAGGTAAGTCCTTTAATCACTCTAAACCTTGCTTTCTCATCTGTAAAATGGACACAGCCATGGGAGGGTTAAATAGACTGATTGGTAGAGCATAGCCTGGTTTCTAGCACACAGGAAGCCTACCCCAAATGGCAATGTAATTTCACCTCATAGACAGCTCCACCAGTGGGGGCTGGACTGAGAAGGCAGAAAAACCCTGAGTAGTTGGTATTGGTGACCCCAGGCATCTGTGGTTAACTGTCCACAGTTGTCCAGCTGGCCTTGTCACTAGGACTTGGCCACTTACCTCTCCTAGTGATGGGTCCCAAGTCTAGAACCTGGGTTAGGTTGATGGCTGGTACTTCACTGCGGAGCTGACTTCTTGAGCATGTCTGTGGAGATAGAAAACTCTTATATCAACTCTGCACGGTTCCTATGCAGATTACCCCGACCCTGAGCACCTCTGGCCTAGATGCCAGGCCTAACTTCCATCTGGCCCTCATTCTGAGGCTGTGGTATTCTCAACCTAGAGAGGTCTCACTGTCATGGCAAACAGATCTGGACTTGAATCTCTTCTCCACTCTCCTTTATTTTTTATTTCTTTGGTCATACTGGGGTTTGAACTCAGTGCCTCACTCTTGCTAGGCAGGTGCTCTACCACTTGAGCCACACTCCCAGCCCTCTACTCTCTTTTTGCTGTATAGTTAGGGGCAAATGACTTCACTTCTCTGTGATGTTTCAGCAGAACATACCTGGTTTTCAAGATTAAAATGAAGCACATAGTAAATACTCAGTCAATGACTACCATTCACAGGTAGTGTCCAGGCTGAGTAAGAGGAGGGATACTGGAGTCACAGCTCAGCTGGGCACATCAAAGCTCTGATACTTCCCCGCTGTGTATGACCCTTGGGCAAGAAACTTCTCTGAGCCTCAGTTTCCTTAGTTGTACAATGAAGTCAATTAAAAAATTAAATATTTAAAGGGTTGTTGTGAAAGTTAAATTAAATAAGATGTGATGACAATTTCAGCACAGTATTTGATATAGGGTAAGCACTGAGACAGTCCATGCCAGGATGAGAATCCATTATCCAAAGTGCTTGGGACTGGAGGTGTTTTAGACTTGGGAGCTTTTCAGATTTTGGAACATTTGCATAGGCTTTATCAGTTGATCATCCATAATCTGAAAAATCTGAAACCCAAATGCTCCAAAATCCGAAACTTTGTTGAGACAGAGACTTACTATGTACCCCAGGCTGGCCTGGAACTTGCTGTGTAGTCTAGGCTGGCCTTCAACTTATGGTTATCCTCTCAGACTCCTGAGTGCTGAGACCAAAATCCAAAACTTTTTAAGCATCATGTGGGTTGTAAAAAGTTTTGGACTTCAAACTATTTTAGATTTCAGATTTTTGGATCAGGGTGATTCAACTTGTATTATTATCATCATTCAAAAATATGTATTGTGCCAAGAAAAGCTGGTCTGCCTCCCAGGGACACAATAATTGCTTATAAATGGACTTTCATCTATTCATCCTCTTTCTTTCCTCTCTCACCCATCTATCCACCCACTGTATTTCCATCTCTTCAGGCATTCTATGCATTCATGCATCCATGTATCCATCCATCCAGCCATCCATCCATGTCTCCTCCATCCTCCATCCATTATTACAATAAATATAAAGACAGTCTATTGGGTAGCAGGTCCCATGTCAGGCTCTCAATAGTCCACTCCAAAAAGACACTCACTGGTTGGCACTCTTCATTAAGAGAATCACAGAGATGAACCTCGCAATGCAGGAAAACAAGGTCATAGTTCCCAGCAAACATGAACATCTGCACGGAGAATCGGCTTTCTGAGGACACCCCGTTCTCCTGCACGTTGATAGTGGAATCACGTTGATTTGGGCAGCTAGGAGGGTGAAAGGCCAACATATAACTTCCAAACAGTACTAAGGCCCTTTAAAGAGCCCCCCCACTAAGCTCCTTCCATTACTGCAACATTGCCTTTCTCTGTTTCTCTGTGTTTCTTCCATAATTTCACATGGTTTAAACTATTTGGGGCACAATTTTTGTAGTGAGCTAGATTGGTTTTAAATCCCAGTCCACCCCAATTTCTGGCTATGTGATCCTAGGCAAGTGTGGAGACACTAATATCTACCTCAAAGTATTGATATGAGCACTTAGTGAGACATCTGTATCTATTCTTAGCACAGTGCTTGCACATAGCTACGCTCAATGATAAACAAGATCTAGTGTCATTACTATGATATGAATAATGATCTGTAGGTATGCATTTTCCTTTGTTTTTGTCAGTGGATGGCAGTAAATGATATTTTGTCCCATAATATTTGTAATACATTTTCACATTGGTTAATGTTAACATCTATATAATAGTCCACCACTACTTAATTTAGCTATTTTTGAATAAAAATCTTATTAGCAAAGTTGTCAAGAACACTGAAACAAAGACAATCATTGTTTCTTTATCCTGCTTACCCTTATTTGTATTAATACTTTAGGTTAAAATATTAGGGGTGGTATTCCTGTGTCAGAGGATACGGTTACAAGAATTCCAAATTACTTCCCAATGAGGTAAAGCAACTTACACAACTGCCAGGCGTGGATGAGATGAACATTTTCCCCAAACTTTGTTAAGACCAAAAGATAGTTCCAGAGTCATTGGATACCTGTTTCTGATGATGAAGTACTTCACAGGATCATCTCTGTCCTTCGTGGGTGTGGCATAGCAGTTCCTCAACAACAAGTTAAACCTGGAGGTGTCTCCTCTTTCCAAGATGGCACCCACATACAGCATGGATTCTACAGACAGCACTACATTGTCCCCTTCATAAGGATGTGTGTAGCTTTGGTCTTGGAAGAGGGCCATCCTGACAGTGAACTCGCCTTCCCCACCCACATTGATGTTCAGAGAACTGAGACAAGAAAAACCATAAGAAACATCAGGTTTTGATCACAGACAGAGACATAAATCAAGCCCTGCGCATTTGCAAAAGCATGGAGACAAAGGTACATTTCTGATCTCTAACCAAGCTATTAAACCATTCTTTTCAATGGAGCATGTATTATCTGATAGGCACTAACTTGACAAACAGACAAGTGTGTCTCCAGGGTTTCCACCAATTCTCCCTGCATGGCAGGTCACATATATCTCTGATCCAAGGATTAAGGGTTAGTGCCCACCACTGTCTTATCACCTGAAGAATGGGGCTTGGGACCAGTTCTTCAGGTTCACCATTTTTAGCCTCAGATCTTTTCCTTCCATCCCACAATCTTCAGTTAAAAGTCAATTTTAATAAGGCAAGTACCTTTCATTTTGATTTTTTATGAACCACGGACTTCAACACAATATAGTCTGAGAACCATAGAACTCCAAAATTTCTCAGCCTCCTGATCCTGACATTCTGTGAGCCCAGGAGGTAATGAAGGCTTTCTGACAGCTCAGAAAGTCTCGTAGCAAGTCTAGAAGCTCTAAAGACTTGATTCAATGGAACCCCATTCCAGGCACAAAGGTACAGCAGTGAACAGAGAAGAAAAAAGCCTTGCTTAGATTGAATCCCATGCAACTGCTATTTGATTCTACTTCCAGTAGGGGAATGGGGCTGTTTATCCAATCAAAGATGGTCTCAACTTAAATCTCAAGTCTCCCTGCTCTGCACCATCTCCACTCTGCCAAGATTAGGTGCGGAATCACTGTTCCCTGGCCCAAAGCACCCCGCATTAATCCTACATTGCATTTATCTCATTTGTAAATAATTATTGATATAATTATCTGATTAATGCCTTTCTTCCTTCAGGTGAATGAACTTGTCCTCTGTTTTTTTCCCAGGCACATTTATAAGCCCTGTTTCATGTTGCATTGCTTCCTAACAATCTTTAATATTCACAAGATATTCTATGCATGCCTTGTTTATGCTGAATGTCCTTAATAGGCAGTCAACAAATATTTGTGGAATGAATAATTGAATGAGTGAAAGCTCCCAAATTGAGTTGATAGCATCTTTTGTGATGGAAGTTGAGTGTAACCAAAGTCAGGGTTATGGGTCAAAGGACAAGGGTGAGTGTCATACCTGACAATGGGCTGAAGTGCAGTTTGGAGGCTGACCTTCATGTCCAGTGGGTAGGCACACTGGAAGTTGATGTTGACGATGAAGTCCCTGATGATAAAATCGGTGGCCAAGGACAGGGTGTTTTTGTAGATGGCATGGGTTCCATTACTCTTTGGCATAAAAACAAAACCACATATGTTTACATGAATGTGTGCAGGTATGTCTTGAACTCAGATCTCTCTGATTCCAGAGTCGGTGTTCTCAGCCATGTGGCCACTCTGCCTCAATGAAGTAAAGAGGTCTCTTCCTCTTGTGATACTGACCTTTTATGGGAGGGGGAAATAGGTGCACAGAGTAAAAACTGGAAAATAAATGTCTGACCCTGGGGAAGAGTCAAGACCCATATACTTGCTCCTCTCTGTATCCCTTCTACACTATTCCTAGTTAAGAAAATCATATTCCACTTGGGCACCAGTGCTCATGCCAATACCTGTAGCTACTCCGAAGGGTGAGATCAGGAGGACCACGGCATAAGGCCAGCTGTGGTCTCATGATGAAGCAGGGAGGAGGGCCAGAAAAGAGACAGGTTGTGTGCTGATAATGAGGCAGGAGGAAGGGATGGCAAAGCAGAGAGATAAAACTTAAAAAATGGAACCATGAAGGTCACATAGCACTAAGGAGATGAAATAGCCAATAAAGTCACATGCAGCCAGAAGTGGGTTGAGCTTTGCTTTTTGCTTCTGTAATCTATTTGCAAGGGTATATAAGGTGAGACCCCTTTGTTCTCAGGGCTCAGCCTTTGGACATGACTCCGCTGGGTCTGTGCTGGCACAATAAAAGGTTGCTTCCTGCTAATCTGCCTCAGTGTCCTGAATCTCAGCTCGTAATTTCCCACAACAATGTAAATACCACTTACCTCAAGGATGTTCCCACAGGCACTGGCCTGGACCGGGCTGGTCACAGACATCCAGTTCCCATCTTCTCTTTGCATGATGCTGCTACAGTTCCGGTCCCTCAGATAGGCAATGACCTCCTCCCCAAAACCCAGGTCTCCCAGCAAACACTTGTCTAGTGTCACCTTGACCTCATTGGCCCTGCAGTCCAGCTGAGGCTGCAAATTGTAAGCATCTGGAAAGCCAAGAGATGGGAATAGGTATGTCACCAATGGGAGGTCTCTGAAGACTCTGCTCAGAAGATTCTCAGACTCTTGTGTCCAGGTCCAGAACAAAGTTTTATTGAAAGGAGGGAGAAAACAGGAGGAGGTGGAAACAGGGCAGTCTTTGCAGGGTGGGCTAGGCTGGGTCTACAAAGTATCATGGGTCTACCCAAGCCCCAGGATATGGTTTTCCTTCTGGTGTTTTTTTGTATCTGTTTTTTTCAGGATGTGGATGGTGACACATCCTAGGGTAAATAACTCAAAAATACCTTGTGACTTCCTATGGCCTTGGCATGTTATTTTAATCTTATGGAGGCTGTTTAAATGTTTTTCTATTAGAGACCTTAAAGAATCCTCCATTTTCAGTTCTTTTTGCATATCCCCATTGCTTCATTGGGCTGGGACAAAGAAGAGTTTCTTCTTTCCCTGTCACTAGCCTGCCTGAGGTGAAGTGGAGAGGGGTCTGGAAGCAGTGAGCAGAGCCCACTTTGCCTGCCATTTGGCAAAACCACCATGCCCACCAGGAGGCTTGACGGACTAGAAAGGGTCTGAGACCCAGATGGAATTCCCACTCAGTCTGGCAAAGAATCTGTGGCCCAAGATTCCCAAGTATCCTATGTGCGGGTGTAGCTAAGTTTCTCTTAGTCTAGAATGGTCCTGCATTCTAGACTACAATGAAAGCTAGATATCCACTTTGTGAAGTCAGTACAGCTAACCAGGCTCACAGCCATTGCATTCAGTCATGCATTCATTCATTCACTCAACATTTATTCAAAGACTACTTCTTGAATGTTTATCTGTGTCTTGTCCCAGGAGTCTGCCATGTCCCTAACCATGAAGACTGTAGATATTTGAACACAGCTCCCACCCTTGTAGAGTTACTGTCTTTAGTTCCTTGTGCCCAAGTCAGAATCATTTTCTGAGGCCATGGTCCAGTGACTGACCTGGACATTTGTTTTGTCCCTGCCTTCCCATCCTTACAAACCCTCTGGCTTTGTAGCAGGCACACTGGAGAACCCGTGGTATTCCCCCTGCCTCAGTTCCCATGTCTCCTAACTCTGATCCACACCTTGTCCTGACCCGCTAATGCTCTGTCTTCCTGTCCTGTCCATCCAGTAAGTACATCAACCACTGGTCCTGGGAGCTACTCACCAGATCCATTGAAATCCTGTCGGCAGACACAGTTCCAGACACCATCTTGAGTGAGACACTCCTCTTCAGGGCGGCAGGCATTCTCGCACCTGTCCTGCACAGTGGAGGGCTCTAGGAGATGGAAGATAGAGGAAGAGGGACAGGATGCACAGCAGGGTATGTCTCAGACCCCCAAATACAACTCTCTCATTCTATCAAGGGGCAGGGGTCTTTCCATGGCCCAAACCTCAAACTCATACAACTCTCTCATTCTATCAAGGGGCAGGGGTCTTTCCATGGCCCAAACCTCAAACTCAAGTTTCCTGATTCTCAATACAGAGGTGTTAGTGATGGCCCTGAAGGTGCCATTGATTGGAATGTTTACTACAGGCCAGACAATATTCTAAGTACTTTCCATGTATGAGCTCAGTCAGTCCTCACCATAACAATATAAGTCAGGGTAGCACAATGGTTAAACCAAGGATGCGTGGGCTAGCGTGTCCGAGTTCAAATCCCAGCTCTCCTACAATTCCAGCTCTATGATACTGAGAGGGCTACTTCTCTGTGCCCCAAATAAGTCACCCTTAATCTGAGTGACTAAACTTCATAGGCTTTGTGGAATGATTCAGTGAGTTTAAAACATTTAAAGTACTTAGGATAATAGCAGGTTGCTGTAAGCCCTATGTGTTAGCTGTTATTCTTGTTGTTATCCATTTTTTTAGGTAAGAAAACTGAGACTTGAAGAGGTAAATTAAACCAAATGAGAATGAAATTTGTGTTCTTAGTGCTATACTGTTTGTATCTGTAAGTCAGGAGATTTCACTTTCAACTTGGAATTTCTGGCTTTACTTGGAGACCTGGCACTCCCATTGGGCAATTTCCAGCAGGCACCAAGTCCAGGCTGTTCTGCATAGCCTCCTCTTAGCCAGTTCCCCTTGCTCTACCAACTCCTGTTGCCCAGTCTTGCACCTGACGCTCACCTGTGCAGTATCTCAGATTGCACTCAGGGGAACCCTCGAACCGGTACACATGGTAACCGCCTGGGCAGGCCTTCACTAGCACCTCAGAATTCCAGAGACAGCAATTTTCACTCCAGTGGGCACAGGCTGTGCGGTTGACTATGCCATCCCCAAGGACGGGATGGGGACCACTGAGCCACATGGGAGCAGCTGACTGGCATCGGAACACTGGCACACAGGTCTCTGGCATTCTGATTCCTCCTTCGCCCACAAAGCGGTACCAGCCGTACATGTTCTTGTCACAATTCTGGGATTCTTCTGTGTTCTCCGTGCTTCGGGAAGGGTCATCCAGGAGCGTGTAGTTCTGGCAGGGATCAAAACAGACGTTGGCTTCTGGGGTGCCAGGGGCTCCACATGCCAAGTCTGACCCGTAGGAACTGGATTCTCTGGGGTTTCTGTAACCTGAAAAAGGGAGAGAGAGGGCTTACATTCATTGGGTACCTCCATAGCCTTCAAGGTTTTTATCCCCACTACACTCTACTTTGGGTGTGCCCAAATGAGGCCACCAGGCACATGATCCATTAATTAAACACCAACATCCCATCAATGCACCCAGAATTACAAAGAGCTTCCTGAGGGTCAGGCATAGCAGCCCTGCTTTTCTCATAAATGTGATGCAAGTTCCGTTGGAAAATCCAAGCATCACTAAAATAAGTAAAGTGAAAATGGAAGCTGTCATAGTGCTTGCACTGATAGGACCTATACTAAAACAAAAGTTGTCCCAATCCTATTCCATTCCCAGAAGTAACCATAAATCTGTTGTGTAGTCAGTGTGATTTTTTAAAATTAGGATATATTTGCTGTACAGGAGAGATTCATTGTAACAATTCCAAATAGGCTTATATTGTACATTGGTTATATCACCCCCACATTTCTCCCCCTTTAACCCTTCTCTGCCCCACTTAGAGCAATTGCAAGAGGTTTCTCTGTTCTATTTCATGTAAGTATATGAAATTTATCCATTACATACCCTGATCTTAATCTCCTTCATTCACCCCCTCCCTCAAGTGACCCCCCACATCAGTATAATTTAAAAAAGGCATACGTGTTGTTCAACCTGTTTTTCCTACTTGCATTTTTTGACTTCCTATAGCATATATAGGAAGTCAAATATAGGCGCTGATCCATATTAGTAGATACAATCTTAACACAAGATCTCTCATCCTTGGAACTATTGGGTTGTTTTTTTATTGAGGGGCCATCCTCACCATAGAATCATAGAATGTTTAAGAATGTTGAAGTCTGTAAATAGTCTCCAGGCTTTGCCAAATGTCCCCGGGGGCAAAATCACCTCCAATTGAGAACCACTGTTTCAGCAGGAATATTTCTGATTGTTGGTCTTGCACAGGTATTTTTATTTTTTATTTTTTGGATTGTTTTAGGGGTTGTGATGTATGAAGAGGCAAAGAAGGGATGAAAGAGGATGGTAGAGGCTGGTCAAGGGGGTTTAAATCCAGCTCTGCATCTGCTATTTGGGTGACTGAGGCAGGAAATTAGTTCTCCTGAAACTCTGCAAAACCGCTCTGAGGGCTAGTTTCCCATACTTTCCTCCCACACCTTGAGTCATGCTGTGTCTGTCTGTCCTGTTATTGACTTTTAATATTTCTTTCAATGATTCCCTTTAAAATTGATTTCATCTAAAGGAATAATGTCAACGATATCATAGGTATGATGCACTAGTTATATTATTTAATATCCATGAAAATAAATATATAACCATTGACAGTATTTTAAAAGAATTTGTTAGGCACTGTTAGAGTGGTGTTGGGATATTGGGTGCTCCATTTCGGGAAGGAAGCCTTAAAGAACTGTTAGAAAATTAAGTGAGGTGATTGGTGTAAAATGCCAAGCATAGTCCCTGAGTCAAGCCAGTTGTCTTTAATTCCAATTTGTGGAATAGCATGAGTGCCCGGATGATGAACTAGGCTCGCCCACAAGATCAAGTTCTTATGACACATGTCAAAGAGGCTTTTCAGAAGAAGATTTTCCAGCCTTGCTCATGCATGTGTTTTAAGGAAAGGAATCACTGTCCTTGTTATTCTTGGATCATTTCCTGCACACCCTGTGTTTTCTCACTGGAGGCTGTGAGCTGAGTTCTCCCAACCTCCCTCCCCAGGTCTCACCTGTGCACCCCGGTCTTGAGCCTGAGAACCCTTTTTAACAGGTTCTAAGTTGCCCAATTCATAAGTCATTGACAGATACCAGAGCGATTGCTAGTGTTGTCTTTTCATTCTTGCAGATTAACCACTTGACACAGAGGAAAGAGAAAGCAACTGCCAAAACAAAGTGACTGGGTGATTTATCTCCTTTTCTCCTCCAATCCAGGCTCCCTGATGGCCCCCAGACATGCGTAAAGGAAGCTATGGTAATTGGTTTCCCTGTCCTTTTCCAGGAATTTCCACTTTGACTCTGAGAGACTGTGACTTGATTCTTTTTTCTCTCATTGTGTTCCCCTTCACTTCCAGTACTCAGTCTTTGCTTTAAACTCTGCTGTTTATCTTGCTAGCCTGAACCACTTCTTCAGTACCACCCTGCTCATCTCTGGTCTTATTGGGCATCTGAGATGCCAGGTGACCAGAGCACTCACCTTGCCGCACCGTAGATGCCAATGTCAGAATGCTGGAGGCTAAGGCCACACACAAGAGGTTTGAGCCCATCATCCTTTCCATAAGGTGAGGCATTGCAGGTCACTCTACAGCGTGAAGACTCTTCATGCAGCTGCAGGAAAGGAAAGGCCCACGTAAGGACAGGTAATACAGGTGTTTACTTTGGGTATGAGGGTAAGATGGGATCTCATATCACTTTAGCATCTACCATGTGACACCACTTGTACTAGTCCCTTACCTACTTTCTTTCATTTAAGGCTCTGAACCACTGTACAGGGAAAGCATTAGTATTGTCCCCCTTTATGATGTAGAAACAAAAGACTCAAGGATACACTCATCCATGCAATATTTATTGAGCTGCTTCTGTGTGTTAGCATGGTGCTAAAAGTTAAAGAGTTTGCTTAGGACAACAGGCCCAGGTTCTGAGAAACAAATGTTGGTCTCCTTCATGAGGTGAGCTAAGAAGAGTAAAGGATTTACCAGGAGATGAAGCCAACAGCAAGCAAACCAAAGGCAGGTCAGTCTTGTAGGATGTCCTAGAAGGGTCTCAGGAAAGTCTCTGTTCAGGTAGAATTAGAAGATCTGGAGATCGAAGGAGAGGATTATAGTGCTTGAAAATGCATACAGACAGAAGTCCTAGCTGCCTTCTTTATTACTTTTATGCAGGAGATCCTGCTAAGAGCCCCCCTGTCCACCAAGTGTCCACTTTACAACTTCCATGAAGGTGGGACCATGACTGAGACCCATGCCTCTTGCTCCTAGCACAGAATTTATCACACAAGGGCCACCCAATAAAGATTTAAAACCTGAATGCACAAATCAGTGGGGGTCAGATAGGAAAGGCTGTCCACACTCATGTGGCATTTACTATCCTAGGAAACTGTTGCCCCAAAAAGGGACAACATCTCTGGGGACTTCTCACAGTCTCTGGTGGACTTGAATTGGAGGTAGAAATTTGGAAGTTCATGGTGTGAGAGAGCAGGGACTGAAGAGTACAAGAACTATGGTTCTTAGAGATGCTACCCCAAGTGGACACCTGTCTTCCTTTGGGAAGGACAAGAGCAACATCTATAGGCTTGGCACAACCAGCCGGTGTCTGGAACCCTGGCTGAGCAGAACGTAAAGTGTTTTCAGGAGTACTTGACAATGGCTAAGGTCCAAACTCCTTACTGGGTTCTGAAAGTTTCCAGAAACAAATGACCCTAGCAAGTCCAGTGAGTGAAGAGGGCAGGGCTCCCAGGATTAAGAGAAGTCTTGTTGGAGCTTGGAGCAGAACTTACCTTGGGGTGAGAACCCAGCGCCTTCCTCCTCCTCTTGCAAGTGTGGGAACACAGCCTGCTGTGGGCTGGCTTTTTATTGCAATTTCCTACCCATGTGGCTCTCCATGATTGGTGCTGAGGTCGGTCTGTGGTTAACTTCCCAGGTAAGATAAGCGATTTACCGCTAAGGGTGGAGAAAGAAGGGCCCTCCCCATGTCCCATTGTAAACCCTTCCAGAAGTCTGTCCTTCATGAGAGCGCCTCTCTATAAACAATTGCAATGTGTACTGAATGGTGAATTCATGGGCACTGTCAATTTGTATCCATTAATTCTCACACACTTAATCCTTACAATAAACCCATGAAGCTGGTGCCATATTTATTCCCTCAAGCCAAACACTAATGAAAAGGAAGTTTAATACCAAAAGGAAAGTGGAGAGAAACCAAACAGCACTTGTTTGCACAATGGATTTCCAATGTTCCTTGTGTTCTTAGCTAATTACCTTAGAGAAGTTCTGTCAGGTTAGCTTGAGACCAGTGAGAACAGGGAAATAAATAAGGAAGAGGGGATTGGTGTTTCTCATTCTTGGCCCACAGAACCTACTTAGATATTTAACTCCAAGGCATTTGGGAATGGCCCATTTGTGGTGACTTGTGGAATAGAAAACAAGAGGCTCCTGGGAAAAACCAGGCATCCGAATAGCCTCCCCTCCAGTTGCTTCTGATAGGTAGGGTACCCTGGAGAGTAGAAGATACAGACTGAGGAGAGGCAGTAGACAGTCTGGCATGTTTATTTTTTAAACACATTTTTACTAGCATATATTAGTTGTCCAGGGGATTTCATTGTGACATTTCTATATATGCTTACAATGTACCTTGGTTAGATTCATGCCTACCATCCTTCTCCCTCATCCCCCTTCCCTCAACTTAATATGATTTTGACAGGTATCAATGTTTTATCTTCATACAAGTATATAACGTACATGGACCATATTCACCCTCTTTCACCTTCTTCATTCACCCTCCTCCTCCCAGTAGTACCCTACATGTAACAGTTTTATATTCCTATCCTTCATTATTTAAACTGTGTATTCATTGTTCAAAGGGGTTTCACCATGGTACTTCACCAGTGAATATACTGTACTTTAATCAGTCTAACCCACTCTACTACTCTTCCTTACGCTCTCTCCCCACCTCCTACTATTCAACAGCTTTTAGTGCATTTCTTTGTGCCTTCTTCCTATACAGATGCAATGTATTTTAGTATTATTCACTCGCTATCATTTTCCCTCCTCCCTCTAGTCCCAGCAAACAGCCCCACTATTGAATATATATATGTATAATCATGTTTGTATTTATGATCCAGTACTTTTAACCTCCAGGACTGGACATGGTGGTTGAACTCTTGGGGTTAATAAAAGAGTCAAAGCTTTGGCAGAACCAATGGCCCCCATCTCTTCTTTGTTTCTCTGGGACTCGTTAAGGAGCCAAGGCTACTGGGAGTCTTGACATTGGTAATGTCTTCTAGAAAAATCTCAATCCAAACAAGAAAGAGGTGCTACAAGCCATATTCTCTACTCTCTGGCACAGTTGGAGAAAACAACTGGGGACAAATCCTCCAAATGTTGGCTTACCACACGTGGGCCTATGACATAGCTCACTCTTCTTTCCGTTTGGCCAGGGTTCATCCAGTCTCCCCAAGGGTTGCTTCTAACCTTCATCCTTGTAAGTGGGGTTTGTAGCCATTATCACCTCTTATCCTAGTGCCCTCAGAAGGTGTCCTGAGTCCTGCTTCAAGAAAATTAAGGCCACAACCTAACCTTGCTCTTTCCCCTATGTCCCTCCTCACCTATGATCACTCTCCTTTCTTTTTAAAAAATGTGCAGTATCTATTCATTTAGATTAGATTTTTATTTATGATAAAAAGTTATATTTTTTGTATACAGCATTAATGTTTTGAAGTACATATTTATTGCAGGGTGGTTAAATATAGCTAATTAAAAATGCATAATGTCACAGTTATCATTTTTTGTAAAGAGAGCCTGTAACACTCACTCTCTTCACACTTTTCAGTACAAATAAATTGTCATTTACTAGAGTCTTCTTGCTGTATGCCAGATATCTTGACATTTATTTCTCCCATCTATGCTTTGAAAAATAAGGAGATTTCACCTCACCCCAGTTAGAATGGATATTTTGTCAAAAAGACCAAAGAAAGCAAATGTTGGTGAAGATGTGGAGGAAAGGGAATCTTTATATACTCTTGGTGGGGGGAGGTAAATTTAGCACAGCCATTACGGAAAACAGTATGGGTATTCCTCTAAAACTTAAAAATAGTCCAGCAATCTCACTTCTGTGCTGATATCCAAAGGGAATGAAATTAGTATGTTGAAGAGACATCTATACTCCCATATTTATTGCAACAGTACTCACAGTAGTCAAGAAGTTATGGAATGGCCTAAATGTCTATAGAAGTTGGATGGATAAAAAAATGTGGTATATAAGCACAATGGAATTCTATTGGATCTTATAAAACGAAGCAAATCCTGTCATTTGAGACATGAATAAGTAAGCAAGGCACAGAAGGGACAAATACCACATGAACTCATTCATATGTGGAACCTAAAAATGTGAGTCTCATAGAAGTAGAGGTGTAGAATGGTGGTTGCCAGAGGCTGGGGTTGGCAGAGGTTGGGATGCGGAGACATTTGTCAAAGTCAACTCGTTCGTACTCTTCTGACCCTTCCATTCCCAGTTGAACCACCTACTGCTAAGGTCATCTCATAACCAAGTCTCCTGGGCACTTTTTCTCATTCCCTCGTCACTAGATGTGTCTTCTGTTTCCTCTGGGCACTCTGACTTCCTTGACTCCCTGTAACATTCTTATCATCCTAAACCTACTTGGATGTTCCTGCTGTTGCCACAGAGTCCTCTCCTCCAGTTGTCTGTAAAAATGCTGGAAGGTTCCAGTTTTTGTTGTCAATGCATATGCTCTCTGTGGGAGTGTCAAATGACCTCATGGCTTGAATTACTGTCCACAGGCTGATCAGTTTCACACCTGCACCCAACTTGGGTTACTCCTCTGAACTTCAGATCCATGCCCCCAGTGTCGGCTAGGCCTCTGCACATGGGCTGGGATGGCTGAGGCCCCTTCAACTCAGCACCTCCAAATGTGACCTCATTAATTCCCCTGAACCTTCTCCCTGGCACTGTATCATTTACCTCAGTCAGAGGTACCACTGCCCTACTGTCACCTAAGTTGGAAACTTGGCTGTTTCCTGTCTTCCTCAGCCCTCATTCCCAATAGCACCAATCTTGCCTTTCCACCTTTCAAGTGTGTCTTGACTCTCTCCTTCCAGCTGAACTTCCGCATCTTAACTTAGGTCACCATCTCGTATAAAAGGGAGTATAGTAGCTCTTGAATGGGTCTCCTTGCTTTTGTTCTGTGTTTCTGCTTTCTCCCCTGTACCCAGAAGGCACCAGGTCAACCCTCTGCATTATCCTCCATTGCCAGCACTCTATACTCCCTGGGATCTGACCCCTGTTCATAGTTTCCATTTCACTCACAGCTTCTACTGCACATTCTCTGCTCCAGCCAATGCGTGATGCTCCAAACTCTTCCCCATCCCCTAACCTCTGTCCCAATCACTCTATGTCCAGCCCCTTCCTATGACCACCTCTTCTAGGAAGGCTTTCCGGATTCTATGGACTGTCCAGTACTCCTCTCTCTGCTCTGACTCTAATCACACTCAGTTTCTTGGTAATTTGTCTGTCTCCCTCTGATGGCTGTTAAGGTCTCAGTGGACAGGGATCTTATCTCTGTTGTTCTAAGCAGCACCTAGAAAGTATTTGTTGAGTAAACAAATGAAAGAAATCACAATATGCCAGTGAGTGGTGCCTCAAATGTATGGCTGTCCAAATGGTGGTCAACTTTGGTAGACAGACATAAGAACCTGCCCCAGGACTTTTTACTTGCTATTGTTACCGTCTGTAATGTTCTTCAGCCATCCCCCCGGTTCACCCCTTTGCTTCTCTTCACCTCTGTTTATCACAGATGACCTTGCCTAATCATCGTATATAAAATCACATCCTTGTGCTATCCCTTTTTCCTTGAATCTTTTTTCTCCACAGTACTTGCCACTGTCTACCACATTTCTATGTTATTGTTTCAATATGTAAGTTCCTTATCAGAAAGGGCTCTGTTTTGATTGCTTGCTGTTGCTTGGTAGAGAGCCAGGCATTGAATTAATACCCAAAATATCTGTTGCATAAATTGAGCTGAATGACAGAAAACAAGAAAGGAAAAGAAACAACAAGAAACAGAAGGGCATTATGGCTTATACTCTCTCTACAACAAAATTAGAAATAAGGGCAAAATAGTTTCTGCTGGGTATTGAGGGGGTGGGGGGGAGAGGGAGGGGGCAGAGTGGGTGGTAAGGGAGGGGGTGGGGGCGGGGGGAGAAATGACTCAAGCCTTGTATGCGCATATGAATAATTAAAAAAAAAGAAACAGAAGGGCAAAATAGTTCTGATGTTCTTTCTTCCCACCTGCCCTCCCCAGTGCTTGGTTCTGGCCTTCAGTTTTATTTTCCTTGGCCCAGACTTTTTGTTTGGCTGTACCCAGGTCAAAATACAAATGAGTCTACACATGGCCAGTCAGGTGCAGCTGACCACAGACTGACCATGGGCAGGGCTGGGACCACCCTGTGGGCCTCCTATGTCAAGTTTTTATGTAAAGGCAGCAGACATGCACATTTAGTGTGAATCAGTGTGATAAGACAGCTCTTAGCATGAGACACATGTCCCAGTAGCCCTTGTTTACAGAAACACACATGCTATTTTCCCTGGGATCTGACAGGGCCTTGACCTCTCCTGGTGAGGCCCAGCTGGAGTCCAGGGAAGCAGCTGGGTCAAGGCAGAGAGTTCCCATTGGTGACAGCGTCCTTTTGCAAAGAATCCAGAGATCCTTGGGCCCAGAAACCCCTTGGTTTCTGCTTGTACATCCTGGAGGACGCCAGGCAAAGCCTCCTACCAATGGGATCAATGGGTCTCCTCTCCATTGCTGGTGTGGCCCTGGTGACAGGTCTAACCTCTGGATTGGGTGAGAGAAGCCCAATGAGAGAGGGAGTCCCAAGGAAGTCCCTGGCCCTGATACTACCCAGTTTTTTCTTTTCACCCCTAAGAACTGAGAGACTCCTTCAGGTGGGGACTATGTCTGTCTCCTTCATATTGCTTCTCCACCACCTAGCACTCATGTTTCAAAAATGCTTCCTGAAAACTGAACCCTGTAAGGACAGCATTACCATCCCCATTACAGAAAAATAGCTGCTGCCTGTTAACCCTCCCTTTCTGTCATGCCTGACCACCTTGGACTTCACTTGTTTAAGTCTCTCTCCCATCAGACAGTAAACTCCAGGCAGTCAGGTTGTATTTGACTTGTTCTCTATGTACAATCCCTAGTACATAGTAGTAGGTCAGCAAATATTTCTTCTATGAATGAATGGATGGATAAATAAATGGATGGATGGATGGATGCAGCTCAGAGACATTGTGTCTCTTTATCTAAGCTGACACAGCAGAACGTAATTTCTCTGAGCAGACTCCACAAAGATGGGTATGGGCTTTGTTTTTTCCCACTGTGGGATCCTCAGTGTTCTGGACAGTGCCTATATTTAGTGGGTTCTCAATGAATACTTGTCGAATGAATGAATGACTCCAAAGGCTGATATTTTAAAATTATTTATTATTTTGCTGTACTCAAGTATAGACATGTCACAAGTCCCATTTGTAGAATGATCAGCATTGAAAGACCCAGGCTGGTTTTCAACAGTGAGGATCAAAGGGAAGGAAATCAGAGCAAGCACACCGAAGTACAAGCCCCCTCTTCCACAGCTGGAGCACTGGCTTGCTTTTCCCCTCCTGGCCGGCAGGAAGTGAACTGGGAGCCAGAGCACACACGGGGTTTCCCATTGTCCATCACTGAAATGCCAGGGCCATGGTGGTGGAGAGAAGCAGAGGGAGCCAAACCTGCAGGACACCTGAAAGGGAAGCAATTATAGAGCCACTGCTAGCACTGATGTGTTTTTGTGTAAACTAACAAAAGATACTTCGTATAGACTGACCAATTAGGAAAAGGCTGGTTGCTTAGACAAAAGAAACTTTTTCTTTATCTGACCTGAAGCTCAATTAAAAAAGCCTCTATGAGTAGAAAAATAGAAAAAGGTGCCCTGCTGAGTGGACTAATTTGACAAAGGCTGGGTGACCCCTCAACAAAGCACTCTTGTTCAGTGTCCAACCTACTCAACCATCCTTACAGACCCCAGGGGATATTTACAGGGGCAAGCTTCTTAGAGGCACCCTGACTCCTAGCTCTAAGCTCCCCAGCTCAGGTCAAACACCAGGTTGGTGTAATAAACCCTTTGGATCCAGTTGCTGCGAGCCAAGAAAGGCAACGTTTGTATAGATCCTGTTTTCATCTAGATTTATAGACAATTCAGTAGTTGTGAAAGTGAAGGGCCATAAAATGCCACCAGTTCCTGGCCTTTGTGGTCTGAGGTACAAAGGAGCAGAGAAATGGTTTCTGTTTGTCTGCTGTGCTCACCCAGCGCTAAGCATGATTCTTGGCACATAACGGTTCTCAGCAAATATTTATCATGAGTTGAGCAAATCCTGAAAAAGGTGGAACAGATGAGCCTCGCAACTTCAGGAAGTGTTGAATACGCATATGGAGGTGTGTGCACACCACTGGTGTGTGTATATCTGAGTGTGCAGACATGCATGGATGCAACCGCAGCTGCTCGTGCATCCATAAGCATGCAAATCCGAATGTGTGTGCAAATCTGAGTATACATGCATGACTTCATGTGTGCGTGTTCTGTATTTTCACATGCTTGTCTGAGCATGCCTGTGTCCCTGCAAGCCACTGAGACAAGCAAGAGTGTGTGCACATGTATGGCACCAGGTCTGGGCATTTTCAAAGGTAAGTTGCCTCTTTGGAGCTCATACCAACCAGGCCAGGCTCTCCAGTCCACCTTGGAGTTCAGACAGAAGCCCCAGAGGGGCATTTTGGAGCAGGTCCCTGTGCAGAAAGGACTTGAACTTACCCAAGTTGCTGGAGGCAGCCCCCGAGACTGAGGCCTGAACACCTTTGGGAGAGAAATAGAGAACTGGTGAAAAGAGAAGCAGGAGGCTGGTGAGAAGTCTGAGACAAGCCCCTCTGCCACCTGCTCTTCTTGAGGTTTGGGTGACCTATTTGACATCCACATCGGATTATGCCACATCTCTGCCTCACCCTCTTCCAGGGCTGCCCACTGCTTTCAGAGAAAGGTACAAAAACCTTAGCAAGTACTAGGGGGTCCCACGTGGGTAGGCCCCACTGGCACCAGCTCATCCCAAACCACTCCCAGCCTGCCTGGCCTCCCCTCAGTTCTTCTGACAGGCTGGGTGCCCTCCTACCACATGCTCTTTGCCCATGCCAAGAATTCCCTCTTCTTCTTTCCCTTCCCCATTCCCTCAGCCTCCTTTCCCAAATCTCAGCCTTATTTTTCTCTAGCATTCCAGACTGGGTCTGGTTTCCCTTGTGGTAAGGGCTCAGAGTTCCATATACATTTTCTTCACCACACTGGGGACAACAGATGTTATCCATGTCTAAGTGACAGTATGTCAATAATTTCTCCCCCATTAATCCATAAGCTCCTCATTAGCAGGTCTGTATTTCTGTCCCCACAAGATCTCTAAGCACTAGCTGGGGTCTGGCATGCCAAAACACCTTTGCAATGAATGACTGACTGAGGAAATGAGAACTGGTGTAAAAGGAGCACAGCTTATGTTCCACCCTGCCCAAGAGAATGTGCTGGTTCCCAGTTCTTCAATTCCCAGTAAGACCCTAAGGTGCCAGGCTCTGTCCTCCTTCCTCCCCCCCAGAAAGCATTCCCAGCCAGGATTATCAAGGACCAAGTAGCTCTCTTACTTTGGCGCTTGATGGGACCCAAGTTTAGGACACGGGATTGGTCTATGAAGCCCCCACTTCGGAATCTGGTCCCAGAACAGGTCTGCAGAAAAAGAAAGGGTGACAGAAAAAAGCCTTCCATGAGGGAGGGCTTCTGGCCCATGGAGTGGACGGCATGCTACAGAGGGGCAGGCCCCCGCTCTGATATCGTGTCCAGCCCTGCCATTGGTCACGACTGCAGGGAAGTCACTTAAATTCTCTGAGCCCCTTTTTCCGTTTAGAAAATGGGGCTGGCAGCCTGGCACAGTGGCTGACACCTGCAATCCTAACTACTTGGGAGGTGGAGATTTGGAAGAATTTTGGCCCAGGCCAGCCAGGGCAAAAACACCAGGCCCTATCCTAAAAATAACTAAAGCAAAAAGGGCTAGGGCTTGGCTCAAGTGTAGAGCATCCTGAGTTCAACCCCCAGTACAAGAAAGGCAAGAAAGAGAGAGAGAGAGAGAGAGAGAGAGAGAGAGAGAGAGAGAGAGAGAGAGAAAGAAAAAGAAAACAAACAGAAAACAGGACTAGTAATACTTTCCTCATAGACTTTCTGGGAAGGATTAAAAAGTTAAAACACCTGAGGTGCACAGATGTGTAAGAATGCCAACCCCGGTTATTAGGAAATAAGATTTCAGATAAACTGGAGCGTTTATCAGTCAGGCACTCTGAGGTCACTCGCCCTGAGGACTTCCCAGCTGTGCAGGTGTCCTGCCAGGTCAGATCTACCAGGTCAGATCTTACTGCTCCTGTCCCTTGCTAAAAGTGGAAATGCTGCCGAAGTGTTCGTCTTGTTTTAAACCTGTGGCCAACGGGTGATGGAGATGCATGTCGAGCAGAGTGAAGGTGGGGAGGTGACTCACAGGCTTGCACTTTTCATTCACAATGTCACACAGGTACACCTCACAGTGCAGGAAGACCAGGTCATGGTTTCCAGCAAACCGGAACATCTGGATGGAAAACCGCCCCTGTGGGGACTCTCCGTTCTCCACCACTTGAATTGTGGAGTCCTTTGAGCTTGGACATCTGGCGGGAAGACAGGTTATGTAACGTCACGTGGCTGGTGTAGCACAGACTCTGGAGTCAGGCTTATACCAACATCTATTAGCTATGTGACCTCGTGCAGCTTACTTAACCTCATTTCTCTGTGCCTCAGTTTCCCCATGTACATACAGGGGACAATCACTGTATCCCACGTCTAAAGATCATTGTGAGGATTTAGTGAGTTATTATCCTTTTTCTGTGATGGTACTGGGGGGCTGAGTTCAGGGTCTTAAGCATGTTAGGTAAGTAATCAGCCCTTGAGCCATGACCACAGACCTTTGTTTATATCTTGTTTTTGAGATAGGCTCATCTTAACTTTGCCCAGGCTAATCTTGGACTCAAGATCTTTCTGCCTCTGCTTCCTGAGTAGCTGAGATTACAGGCATGTGCCACCATGCCCAGTTTAAATGAATTAATCTAGCACACTGTTGGTGCAGTCAGTATTTAGTGCTGAAGCAAAAATGTCATCAATGCAGAGCTGAAACTATGCAGATGCCAGAAGTTTCTGATTTCCCAAGAAATGCATTCATGGATCCTTAGCTACGACATGTGATCTCCTATGTACCTGTTATAGCAACGAAAACCTGGGCATCCTGGGTGCCACAGAGCAAACTCAAGTGTACACACCTGTTTGCATGCAAAACATGGCACCCAAAACAACTGCAAAGGGAAACTCAAAGTAACCCAGGCAGAGATTCAGCATGTGCTCCACTGCATTGGGATACCTGGACTCCCGGGCAGGCAAAGTGGGCACCCCTTTACCATTTCACTATTAATTTAAAAGAGAGACTACCAATTGGGAGAACTAAGAAAGGAATTTCTAGGGGTGACATTCTCTCTCTTTTCTGTGTCCCCTATATCTCATATCTGACCTTAACAGTACAAACTCTACTCCTCAGGGCAAAATAAAAGCCCTGAGGTTAAGTGGCCCCACCTCCCAAAAGGCAGAAAGAGGTGTTCCTTCGTGACCTGGGCAGCCCTAAGCTAAGCACTCAACACAGGGAAGGCATCCAACTGTCCCCTCCTGCCACTCAATGTCCTCAACTTGCCACCTTGTCTCCTTTTCATGTATCTTGTGATGTTCTGACCCTCCTCCCACACTAGACTGGTGGCTCTTAACCAAGCTCCTTCACACACCCACACTGAAACACAAAACACACCACATGTCTTCTAGCTTCTTTCACAAAACTTTCTGAGTTTTCCACAACGTGCATGCTTGTACTTTTATCTCAGGAAAAATAAGTTTAAAAATTCCTGCAGAGTGGATATTATGCATTCTCATATCACGCGTGAGAAAATGAATAGAAAAATGAATTGACAGAAGATCTGATTTGCATCTCAGAACAAAGAAATGAGCCGGGCTTGTGGTGCAGATCTAGAATCCCAGAACTTGGGAGGCTGTGACAGGAAGATCAAGAGTTCAAGACCAGCCTGGACTACATTAAAATAAGTTTCAGGAAAACTGAGCTGCATAGTGAGACCCTGTCAAAAAACAACAACAACAACAAATAAACCAAGCCCCCAACAAATCAACCAAGCCCACCCCCAACTAAAACAAAATAAAAATGAAAGAAATGGCACAGCCAAGATTTGAATTCAAATCTCTGTGATGCCCGAGGATCATGTCAACACTTTTCTATCTCTTTCTTTTCTGCCTTATTAAGATACCACCTTTGTGAATATTGTCACAGGCATCCCAGCATCTGTATTATTATTTACTTATTCTTTTCTCTAAATCTATTTACATTTTAATCATTTTTTAATAGAAATGCATCTATTTTCCAGAAGGATGTGTGTGTGTGTGTGTGTGTGTGTGTGTGTGTGTGTGTGTAGGCCAGACTGGCCTTGAACTCACAAGTTGCCTTAAACATGAGATCCTCCTGCCTCAGCCTCCCAGGTGCTGGAATTACAGACATGCACCACCACACCCAGCACTAGAAGAATCTTTAGATCAGGAGCATAGATGTCAATCACTTCACAATATCACTTGCCATAAGCAGAACATGAACATACAAACGAGAAAAAGAAAAACAAGAGAGTGCTGTAAGAGAGTGCTATCAGATTTTCACACTGATCATTGCAAAAGGCCCTCAGATAGGCTTCTGCTTTCTTTTTTATCACAAAGGGATACATTCCAAATAGTAGAGAGGTAAGAACACCAGATTAGCATCCAACCGAGAATTAACCAGGCAGATTCTAAGTGAACTGAACTGCATGGGAATAGGTAGGCCAGGATTTCTCAGACTTGCTTTCTCTGACTGTGATTCAAGTTACAAATGCCCCTTCCTCGCCTTCTTTGATTTTCCATAGCTCCTTTACCAAGATTATACTTCACTTTCGGACCAGATTTCACATTTACTGAATTGTCAGTCTCCCCTTCAGAATATAAGCTGTCCAAGGGCTGAGGTTTTAGTCTTTTCCATTCACTGAGGTATCCACAGAGCCTGGCATACAGCAAACTTCCAAATCATCTGTGAAAATACCTTTCTCATGGTGTGGTTCACAGTGATCTCTTGATGAAGGTAGCACACCTGTGTCTTTCTGGTTTCAATTGGTCATTGGCTAATTGTGCCCACTCTTCACACCTCCCAGCCACATGCTAGGGTCCCTGCTGCTCTGGGTCTCCCTTTCCATTGGGTTTCTTAGATTTTCTGAGCCATGGACCCCCAGGATCTTTAGAAAAGCATTTACATTACTCATCAAATGTAATTTTTTTAAAGACATGAGACAAAATATTTTAAGGATTATAAAGGAATCCAATTATATTGAACACAGTTCTTAAAATATTAAAATGTTTGGCATGTGCCTTACACACCTGCATTTACATTATATGTAAATATATGCTTGCAAACGTATACATGTATATTTGACAATGCATTAAATAATGAAATCTAGTGGCAGTTCTAGTGCAAGCATAACTACAAAGCATCAGTGAGCATAAACAGTTTCGTGCATCCTTTGCACCTTTTTGTGACTTTTTGCCATCATGCATGGTGGGATGGGAATGCTAAATTTTGGTTAGAAGGTCATGGATATAAAGATGTCTTCCCTCACATCCAAGACCAAAGACCCTCCCCCACCCCGAATCCCACGCCACTGGAACTGCTGCTTTACCTGTCCTGGATGATGAAGTATTTCAGGGGGTCTGTGGCGTTGCTGCTGGGTGTGGCATAGCAGTTGGTCATTAGCAGTGCAAACCGTGACAGGTCCCCTCCATCCAGAATGGTGCCCACATAGAGGAAGGCCTCGGTGGACAGTGTCACCGAGGGGCCTTGGTAGGGCTGTGTGTAGGAAGGGCTCTGGAAAAGTGCCATCCGCACGGTGAACATGCCTGTCCCACCTACACTGATGTTCAGAGCACTGCAGGGGTAGAGGACCATGTTGAGAACACCCACAGATGGTTACCCTTTCTGGTTCTCATTCCCAAACAATCCTTTGCATGTATCTGTCATTTTTATCCAGCAGTAGGACTGGAACCTATCCACCATTGCTTTGCAGAGGTCACCTTGGGTCTTAACTTTTTTTTTTAAATTCTTTTTGGCAGTACTGGGGTTTGAACTCAAGGCCTCACATTTGCTAGGCAGGTGCTCTACCACCTGAGCTGCTCCACCAGCCCACCTCTGGTCTTATTAAAATGCAGGTTCTGATCAGGTGGGTATGTCTGGGGTGGGGCATAAGGTCTGCATTTTAACGAGAGCCTGATGATGTGGATACTGGGGTTCTACAGGACCACATCCTGAGGAACACATCTGGTCCCTCACTTGGGAGCCCCTGCTACCACCCTATAAGCCTTCAAGATGGTACAATTTTTTTGGTACAGTGCTAGGAATAGAACCCAGACCCTTACACATGCTAGGCAAGCACGTTATCACTGGGCTACATCCCCAGCTGTGAGATACACAATTCTTCAGGGAGTCACCTAGATTCCTTCTTTAGTCTCAACCTACAGGTTTACCATGATGAGCTACAGAACCAAGTCCCAGGGACCCATCAGGATGTATCAGCACCTAAATCAGAATGGGATATTTTTTTAACCACACTAAAAGCAGTTATGCTAATGTGAAGTAGATGATCCCTTACAGGACATTGCAAGGCTGGCATCACATGAAATAAGGTACATGAAAAAAACTCCTCATAACCAAGAGGTTCACTTTACAGGTGAGAACTGGATTATCAACTTGGATTGGGGTGAGATTTCCAGCTCAAACCTGAGAGATTTATGCACAGATGTATTGCTCTGGCACCTATGAGGGCTAGGGCACTTCTTGGCCGAGTAATACCCCAGCCAATGACCTGTAATGAGCAACCTTCTACCTCCAAGTCAGCCATGCACCCTCATCAGTGTCCAGTACCCTTCACTGAGTCTGGCTGACCCAGAGAACATGTAACCATGAGCAAGCTTCATGGTGGAATTCAAGTAGGGTAAGTAGGAGATTTAGACTTGATGTTTGACTCCTAGCTCTGCTACTTAAACTTTACAACTTCAAGTTACTCAAATTTTTCTGAGTCTCAATTTCCACGTCAGTATAATGGGAATAGTAATAATAATAAACATGTCAACATCTTCTAGGGCTACTGTAAAATTTTAGTGGGATGCTCCATGAAGATCATTTAAACCAATGCCTGACATATATTAAGCTATCAATAAAGGTTGATCATTATTCCCCAACATTATTTTTCCAACACCAGCATCATTGGCCTGTGATTCATCCTATTTGAAGGCTTTCTGTTTTATTAGCAACAGGATCTGTCATTAAAAAATATAGCAAAACCTCATGTGGTACAAGGTATTGGTGGAACTTCTCTGAGAGCACCCCAACCACCAAGTCACCTCCAAAGAACATAGTTTGTAAGTGCCTCTTTAATCAGATACCTTTAATTTATAGAGGAGGAGGGAAAATTGAGGTCTAAATATGGGATATGATTTTACTAAAATCCCATAGCAGGGCTGGACTGAGACTACCTCCTTCCTTCCAATCCAACCACCCTACCTCTCTGAAAAGCCATACCACTCTAAAACTTGATTCACATCTGTAGAACACCACTGTATTGCTAAGAAAGACCCCAAAGAAGTCTATTCATTTCCCAAAGGCATTTGGTTAGTATGGCTTGGAACCTGAATTCCTAACTGGAGTTCTCTACTAAGCAACCCTGCTTCCAGCCACCACACCCAGCTCCCTATGGGTGACAGTTGGCAGGGAAGCTGAAGACCTCATGGTTAAGAGGCGGGGGGATGGAGTCATCCAGGATCACTGGAGACCCTTGCTGGCCGCACCTGACTATTGGCTGCAGGGAGGTCTTCAGACTGACTTTCATGTCCAGGGGATAGGAGCACTCGAAGTTGATTTTGATGTTGATGTCACGGATGATGATCTCATTTGCCAGGTAGAGGGTGTTGCTGTAGGTGGCGTGGGTTTCGTTCCTCTGTATCGGAGGGAGTAGGTGAAAGGGGAATCAGCAGGACATCAAAGCAGTTTGTCTCTGGCCACCTGCAATCTGCGCTCCCAGTCTCCGTGAGGAAAAGTTCCAAGAGCAGTGGCCATTTATGAACACATGTCATGTTCCAGACCCTGGACTAAGTGTTCTTCCTACATCATCGCGTAGTAAGTCCTTTCAATGACCTACCAGGCAGAGTTGCCATACTCCTGCTTCCAGGGGAGCGGACAGAGGCTCACAGTAGCTGGGTAACTGAGTAAGTCCCTGCAGTAGTGAGAGCTAAGAAGCCTGGGCTCCTTTTATCACATGCTTCCTCTTTTAAAGGCTAAAAACTATAAGGCAAGCTATCACTAATAGAATTTCAGAATTTCATACAATTACTTCCTTTCTTTTGTTTCTTTCCTTTTTCTTTTGGGGAGTGGAGTGAGGAAGCAAGAGGAAGTAATGCTCCATTTACACAAACATTATATAGGGGTCCCATCTGAGGAGGCTTCTGTAGTACAGGCAAGGTCCTGGGTCTCCAAATACCAGTGGTTCAGACCCTGCCTCCCAGGATCACCCACCAGACACAGAGCTGTTTCTGATTCCAGTGCTGACCCCTAGTCGTTAGGCCACCTTAGTCACTGCTATCTTAGCCTTACTTTTCCCATCTGTAGAATGGGGAATTATCACTTGGATCACCCTCTTTATTTGAAACTAACATTTATTGAGTACTCACCATGTGCCAGCCATTGTCCTAATCTTTTCAAGATATATAAATTCATTTCATTCTCTCAGCATCAATATGGAGTAGGATAAGTTATTCCTCCATTTTACAGTTATTCATCCAAGCTACATAACTCACCCAAATTCATACAATTAGCAAGTGGTAGACCTAGGATCTAAACAGCAAGTACTCTGAATCTGTCCTCCATGGGCCAGGACTTACCGTCAACACTGTCCCACAGGGGCCATCCCTGGTTGGGGTCACCACAGACATCCAGTCCTGTTCGCCCCTCTCACTGAAGCCAGAGCAGTGGCTGTCACGCAGGTACATGAAGACTGTCTTAAATCCCAGGTTCTGCAGCTGGCACTTGCTCAGTGACAACTTGATGTCATTGACTCCACATTGCAGCCTGCGCTCCACGAGAGAGACATCTGAAACAGTCAGGGAGGGGAGAATTTGGAACCTGTATTTATAGCTCAGGGGCCCAGCATGTCTCTAGCTACCAGAGAGAGCTGGAGGGGCTGGCCACTAGTGGGGAGTGCTCAATGCCCCATCTCAGGAGTGATGGATGGGGACACAGGACTGGACTGCAAACATCACTGGATGGATCCAGTGTTCCCCTAAAAGTGGGTTATACACAAATTGCAGGTCGGTTTTGGAGGCCTTCCATTGACCCACCATTAAATAACACTGAAACCCAGCAAAAACAGAAAAAAAGGAAAAAGTTAACTGTAATTGCTTTCCATCCTTTCTAGACAAAGATGACAGACCGATTTTTTTGTTAATGTCTTTAATGTTTACATACTTGTTCATTTCCTCTTAAACAGAGAACAGGCCTCAGGCTCAGAGTTTGGGGCATATAACTAGAACCAGCTAGATTTTTTGTAACTATTAAAGTGTTTCTTAGCTTTAAATTTTTAGTATTTTTAAAAATTACTTTATTTAAGCATTATAGTGCTACTGGAATTTAATAACTTTCTTTCAGTTGTATTTATTTTTACAATTAACCTTCTAAGTTAAATGTTACTTGCTACAGACAAACCCAGAAGTGACCATCAGTATTCCAAATTAACCTGAAAGAAGGGATTCAGGACTGAGAACATGGATCAAGTGGTAGAGCACTTGCCTAGCAAGTGCAAGGTCTTGAGTTCAAGCCCCAATACTGCAAATAAATAAATAAACACACAAGTAATAGAAGGGATTCAGTCAATTTGAAGAGAAATAAGCTAATCATACAATTCACAGTGTAGGTTGTATTTGGATAAAGCAAAATTATAAACTTGGTGGTAGGTAGGCTGTGATTAAAATATTGACTTCCGTCTAGAAAAATCCCAGCCTTCTTCCATCATTTTACATAGGCGGAAATGGAGGCTCCAGAGGGGGCCAATGCCTCGTCCAGGATCCCAACCCAGAATTCCTAGTCTGGTGGTCTGATGGTGCTGCAGCAAGGAGCAATCCGTGTGTCCAAGTAAGGGCCTCAGAAAGAAGGTTCAGGGCATGAAGAGGTCCCCCAATCTCCGGGGACACTGGAATCAACTAAGGGAAGAGTCAGGGAGCCCCGGAGGAGTGTTCTTGCCAATTTTAATGGGTATTAGGGACCTTCTTTTCCACTCAGCCGGATATGCCTCAGCCAATTCACACCCACGGGAACATGTCCCTTCCCCAGCCGCTGCCGCTTTATCCACAAATCGCCTCCTCTCCCCTGTCCCTTCCCCAGTGGCCTCACCAGTGATGTTGGTGTCTTTGCACTGGCACCGCCATTTGCCATTTTCTGATATGCAGTCCTCGTCTACTCTGCACTCAACACACGTCCCCTCCACGGAGCTGGGATCTGCAGGGTCACAGGGACAGTCAACAAAGATGCACCCCAGCCCCCTGCCCCGCACCCGGTGATGCTAATCGGGACTTGGGAAGAGGAGTGTCGCCCGGCTCACCTGTGCAGTAGGCCAAATTGCACTCGGGGGGCGGAGTCAAGTTGTACACGTAGTACCCACCGGTGCAGGCCTTCACCTGGACGGCTGTGTTCCACAGGCAACAGTTGCCGCTCCAGTGCGCGCAGGCTGTGCGACTCACGATGCCCTGGTCGCTAGATGGGTGCGTGCCATTGAGCCACATGGGCGCAGCGGTGTTGCAGCGCAGGATTTGAACACAGGTCTCAGCCATGCGCACGCCACCCTGACCCACGAAGCGGTACCAGCCACGCAAGTTTCTGTCACAGGCATAGCCCTCCCCATACTCCGCACTGCGCCAGTACTCGTCCAGTGTGCGGTGTGCAAGGCACGGGTCTACGCACACCTGCGCTCCACCCACTCCTTCAGGCAAGCAGTCCAGTCCTGGCCCGCAGGAGCCTGGGGAGCACTCACAGTGCCTCCCGTCCCCCACATAGCCCTTGGGGCACACGCATGAGTAGTTGCCCTCCGTGTTGACACAGGTGGCCAGGGAGTGGCAGCGGCTGGGCTCTGGCCCCGCGCACTCATCCACATCTGTGCAGCCCTGCCCTGGAATGAGGCGGAAGCCATCTGCGCAGATGCATGTGTAGGAGCCCAGCGTGTTCACACAGCTGCTGTTGGCCGAGCAGTTATGCGCCCCTGCAGTGGCGCACTCATCCACGTCCTTGCACACTAGCCCGTCGCCAGTGAAGCCTGCCTGGCAGGTGCATGTCGTGATCACCCCGTCCACCATGCAGGTGGCATTGCTGTGACATTCCGAGCACTTTCCTGCAGGCAGAAGAGCCCAACCTCAGAGGTGTGAACAGTTGAGCCAATGACCGCGAAGAATTTCTCACTCTCTCAAGGGAACCCACCATCCTTGAGACGTAATCATAGATGACTTCATCTGGAACCAACCAACCAACGTCCCCTGTGATGGCCTAGATTTTGCTGCTCATTCTGTGTTATATTGTGTCTTCTTTTAAAATAGCTACTTTCCCACATCCAGAGGACTAATGCTCGGAATTCCTGATACTTTAGAAGGATTTATGGAAAACCTGCTACCTTTTCCCAGTCTTTGCACATTTTATGCCTTCTGTCCAGGTCCCCTTCCCTGCCTGGTGAGCCTTCCTCAAGCCCCTGCTTGATGTTTCCTGCTCTCTGAATGACTTCTCCAAGTCTACCTAGCAGAGCACTCACACTTTTTTCATTCACAACAAATGCAGCATTAAAAAACAAAAGAAATTACTTCCGACATGCCAGGCAATGGGACATGCATTTTTCATTTGTAATCTTGGAATCACAGATAATATTTTTTTTCTTTTAAAGATGAAGAAACTGAGGTTCTTAAGGAAACTCAGATGGTAAGCAGCAGAACCAGGACACACATACACACACAGCAAGACCAGAGTGTGTGATTTTAAACGTGACCCCATAAAAGTATTTACTGTGGCCCAAAGTACTCCAACAAGCTGAAAGCCTAGCAGAGGCAATGCTCAATGTACTGGGGTGACTCTTAAGGCTGAAGTGGAGGAGTTGGGAGCCACCTGGGGTGTTAGAATCTCCTGTGTGGTTGAGTGTGTTCCTGACTTTTCTGTAGAGTTCTGGAAGGCCTTAGAGACATTGTGGCCTCTGGCCTTCAGGTGGGACCACCCTATCAGTATCACCTGGGAGCCTGCTAGAAAGTCAGTCTCAGGCACCTCTCCAGACTTACTGAAGCCTGATTTACATTTTAGCAAAAATTTCCATGTGTCTTGTGCCTATTACAATCTAAGAAATGTTAGAATAAAGACTATGTAAATACCGTAAAGACTATGATAGGAAGAGGTTAAGACTGTTTCTGCAAAGGCCCGATTGCTCCTTACACATACACTCCCCCCCACACACATGTCAAACATATACCCCACATGTACACACAGACACTAGACATACACAACACAGCACACACACACACACACACACACACACACACTACTACACTTACTTGCTTCTGTGGAGGAGACCTTTGCTGTGGCTGTGATGAACCAAGAGGTCACCACCATTACCATCAACATCCAGGTCAGGGAGACGAGCCGCTGCATCCTTTTTACTTGTCACAGCTACTTCTGCTCCCAGGAATACCTACCCAATAGCAAGTGTGCTTTCCTCCCTGTTTCTGATGCCCGAAGCCCTGTGAACAGACATGAGTGGGGAAAATGCGTAACCTGACTCCCTCCCTGCAGTTGGGAGGGATGTTTTTTTGTATACTGCACAATCCCAGGAGGTACCATTTATATGGAATATAAAAATTATGCACTGCTGAGGCCCTAGTGTGGTAGGGTTTCCCTTCTGTAGCCACACTGCTATCCCCACCCTCATCCCACCCTTGACTTTTCATGTCTCAGTGCATTGAACATTTTGAAGAACTGAGTCCCTCATTTTGGAGGAGGGAGTTAGCAAGATGGGGTGATGCTCCAGATTCACCCCCTTATTGAAGGAAGCTTTGAATTTTTAACCACCAGCTCCTGATCACTTCCCTGGAAACTTTCAACTTACCCATGTCTATTTATTCTTTCAACTAACATTTATTAAGTAGCTTTGTGGCTACTGTGTGCCAACAGGGAGCTACTCGCCAAAATCCACACCTTCATGCAATTCAAGTATTGCAAAGAATGACTTCAGATAAGCAACTTGAGAGGCAATCGATATTCAGAGACCTTTTAATATTTGGTTTCACCCAAAGGGTAAAATAATTCTAGTGGCGCTAATATTGGTTCAATTTTTACAGTAGCAAAATAGCATCATAGTGAAGTGTATGGGAGCCAAGCTGCCATCAGGATTCAAATCCCTGTGACCAATCGCAAACAGCGTGCCATTGGTAAGGCTTTTCAATTTGTTAAGACCAAGTTTTGTCATCTGTGAAATGATGGCAAATGAAGTGGCAATGAGGATGACTTCCTCCACAAACCGAGTGTCTAAGAAGTGCTGGGCTCATTTCTAAGAAGTCCCTGTGCCCAAAGAACTTATGTTCTAGAGCAATGTTTCCAAATCTTGGAGATGAAGCTATAAGGAAAATATTTTATGTCATGATTTGGTGCAGCTGCTACTGAATGTGTGCATAAACACACACACACACACACACTCACACACATGCACACACAAATGAAGTAAAAGTTTTATAAAACAATTCTTATCTTAACTTGTGCATTGCTTATTGACATATTCTATTCTATTTAACAAAAAGAAAGCTCCCATATAAATCACAAATGAAATGATTTCATGTCCCACTAATGAGTGGGTAGTTTGAAAGACACTGTTGTGGACAGTAACCTACCACATACTGCCATCACTAAAATGGTATATGCAAAGCCAGGCACAGCTCATAGCAGATGCTTTTGCTCATTGCTATATCCCCAGTGGCTAGGATATAGTAGGTACTTAAAATATTAATTTAATGCATGAGAAAATAGTGGGCATTACCAGAGAAGTTTGACTCAAAGAGCAGGAGACTAACTTGCTATAGATCATCAAGCTAACAAACACAGAATAGTGACTCAGGCACAACTCTGACCCCAGTGTCTAAACACTTAATTTCCTCCACCTCCCTCAAGTAAAATGGGAGCCAACCAAAGGCTAGATGGGGAAGAAGCTGGACCAGGAGAAGACAGCTACAGATAGCCTTACCTGAGGCCAGAATGTGGGACTGGTCTGTTCCCAAGTATGTGCCTTTTATATATGCATTTGCCCTTGGCTGGCAATTTCTCCCCCAGTTATTCTCTGGTTCTGTTCCTTGAGATTATTTCCTTGGGGGTGGAATTTTTCTTTTTTCCTTTTGGCATAATATTTGCCTTTTCCAAGCTGTAAGGTGCCGGGTGTTGTTTTTTTCTTTTAATAGTTAGAGACACCAAATAATTGATATTGGGGGTCACACCTGTGCCTGGGAATACAAAGTCTCTGTTTTTCACCTTTTGGCAGTAAGAGATTCCTTAGTTAGACATTAACTGGAAAAGCAGTGCCAAGGTTCTGGGCCTTCTCTTGGTCATTGACAAGGACGAGCATAGAACCAGGCAGAAGCCAGAATTTGAGGCCAGGCTGCATTAGAATAAAAGGATTGCCCATACTGGAATGTGTACCCTTTTGAAACACCCTGCCCTCATCGAATCAACCTTTTCTTTAGGGTCCAGACATGAGCAATAGAAAAGCCCAGAAACAGTTGAAGGTCAGGGTCAGAAGACCTTTGGGACATCCCTGGACCTGACCTACTGTGTCAAACAAGAAATCTGAGGTCTGATGAGTGAAGGTCCCTTGGGTGGTGGAATAGCTTTGTGATTAAATAGACTGGCTTTGAAGTTGAATTCTGGGACTGCCATGTAACGTGTACCAGCTTCCTGAGGCCATTTTCCTCATCTCCAAAATGAAATTACCCCTCTCCCTGAGAGGTAGTGGTAGTGAATGGAGACAATGCAATTACAGACACATAATGATGATTTTAATTATAGAAATTCTACAAATGCTGTTTCATTGATGTAACATCAGAGGTAAAAAATGCCAGATCTTGAGTTGAAAGCCACATCTCCTGACTTAGTCCCACCTATCCGGCAATCCCAGATCAGTGGCAAAGTGTAGGATATTATGTCAAGAAAAATCAAACATGTATGAACTTGGACTGACTAAGAAACATAACCACATTGGCTTTTGGGGGACTTTTCTCATTCTGTCCCATGCAGTAGTCATCAACATTGGGGCAACTATCAGTTCAGAATAATTTCATAGGAGTGAAATCTCTGAGTCAAAGAGATGCACAGTTTTAAGAATATTGGTACCTTTTCCCAAACAGCACATCAGGGAGATTTTTTGAAAATTAGTTTATAATCCCACAAGTGGTACCCACTAGCTCTAAGTATGGCTTCTATCCTCTTTGTGGAAAATAAGTGAAATATTATGACCTCTTTGTGGGAAATAAAATAAAGTTTTATTGTTGTTCTTTTTGCAACTCTCTGATGAAAAGGGAGGGTATCAACTCTTCATTTGTTTATTAATGGTTATTCTTCTTTTCACAACTAGCTGTTAGTATCCTGTGTCTTTTTTTCATGATGCCCTGTCTAAACCCTAGGCAGGTGTGTCTAAGGGATTTGAAGGCGGTAACTCCATGTGGCTTCTGGAGTTGTGTGGGCAAAACCTCAGGCAGGAAAAAGGGGAGTTTGGGCTGGAGTCTATTCATCAATGTTAGCATCATGTTTTCTGGTTTCTGTATTTGGTACTTTTGCATCTTGGTGCCTTTCTGGTCCTGGAGGGGCAACAACATCTCTGTGGACTAGCTCTTCTCTAGAGGTAGCAACCAGCCCCTCTAGAGCCCACACCTCTATCCCCTGACCTCTTCATGGGGACATCACACTCAGGGACACTATTTCTCTGTAACCTACCCCAGAAAGCTGGGGACAATTCCCAGAGACCACTGAAATTATAGAAGTCAGACAATCCTAAATCTGCTTACCCTGCCTGCCTTACTCCTTCTAATAGAAACCACAATAAAGGCTCTTTCCCATCTTCTTCTCTTGCTCCTTCTTAGGCAAGGGCTCTGCCCAAAGCTACATCCTCAGCCCTGACTCCCTTCACTTCCTGGAAGAGCCTGGTCCTTTCCCAGATGCCCCTCTCCCCCACTCCTCTGCCCTCTATGGCATGTCATGCCCCCTTCTCTTGGAATTTGCAAGTATAACAAGCTACCTTTTCAATGGCAACATTCTCCTGCCCTGTTGCTCTTGCCATACCTGAATAGTAATAAAAGCTGCATTTAAAAATAGCTTTGGGGGTGGGAGGTAAAGAGGTATGGAAGTGGTTGAATGGACCAAAGTAAAGCAGACTCACAGCAGGTATACATCGAGAAAACTTTTTGAACACCAACTTAAATATTAAGAATGAAAGACATAACTGTAAAATAGGTACAGTGAGGGGGGCAGCATGAATGAAGGAGATTAAGGTGAGGGTATATGGTTGATGGACTTCATAGACCTATATGAAATAGAACTAAGAAACCTCCTGCAATCGCTTTAAGTGCGGTGGGGAGGGGGTTGAGGAGGAGAGATGATGGGGACAATGTAACTAATGTACACTATAAGCCTAATAGGAATTGTCACTATGAATTCCCCTCTGTGTAACAAATACACTCTAATAAAAAATTCATAAAAACAATAAGCATCAATTATATTTGACACAGCTGGCTCATCCTCAGTATGTATGTCTCTACTTGGTCCTTTTCCCACTCTTTCCTCAAATTTAGTACCGTCTCTCTAGCCATTCACACTCACTGACCTCAGGAACTTCAGTGGTGCCATGAAGCAATGCCTCCCTCAACTTCTCCATCCACCTGCATCTCCTCTCCTGGGAATGAAGGTCACATCTTTCTTCCTGTGAAGGTCTCTCTCTTCAATGATCTTTCCTTCATTTACCTTCCTCCTCCCGTGTCCTCAGTCTTCTCTTGTTCCCTAGGTTGTGCTCAACTACTTAGAATAGTCTACAATAATATTTCTTCAACTCCACACCCACCATACTATTTTCTGCCCTTTAAATTTTTAATGATCAAATTTCCCAAATGACGTTATCTGTGTCTCTCCAGCTCACATGGGTACACCTGCTGAATGGCCAGGTTGGTTGACATTGCTCATCAAGACCATCAAAGGTGTTCATATCTCCTCACACAATCAAGACTTTTCATTTTTCATGCGGTGTTCAACAATGCTTGTTTTTGAATGAATCCCACTCAATTACTTGAAACACTCCTCTCTCTTAACTTCCAAACACAGGTAGGAGACTTGATTTTAATGATCAGGACATCTGTCACTTACTGGGTGCTTCTCTGGGGCCTGGCTGTGTTTTTACATTCATTGTCTCAAACAGTGAAACACAGCAGTAGGGGAGAAGACTGAAGTTCAGAAAGGCTGAGTAACTTTCTCAAGATTACACAGCTAGCCAGTGCTAACTAACTCCACACCAAAACACAAATCTCACTCAGATTTACCCTTTTGATGTTCTGCACTTGGGGGTATAGAACACTCCATGCTTAGCCATGAAAGGGCCTTTGAGTGACAAGTGCTTTTAGGTATTTTTGGATGGAGAGTTTTGAGAAACTGGACAGATAGCACATGAGAGGCAATGATAGGGGATTGAAGTGTTGGGAAGATGCAGAAAATGAGCCAAGGGAGAAGACCCTCTCAGCAGAGGGATACAGATAGCTCAGTGGTACTTCCCCTACCCATGCCCCACCTCTGAGCCTCCAGTCGCACCTGTGGGACTTACAGGTGCCTCACTTTTTCTGTGGCTCGTGGCTTGTCAGAAGCTTTGTTCCACATGATTTCATCTCAACAGCCCCCATGGGCCTCTCCTTCCACAGGCAGTCACATGGCCTTGAGGAGGAAGCAATAGAGCTTTGCACGTGTCCGGAATACTAACACCTGTCTCTGTTGGGGCACTGGCTCCTGTGAGCTCCAGGGCCCCAGGCTGTTCCCTGCTTCACCTGAATGCAGGCATTGGGGGGTGTAGTGAGGGAATTGGCCCTGGAGGTCTGGAAAAGCACAAACAACCTTTGCTTTGTGTGATGAGGAAGAAGTGCATGGGGCCGGATAGTTTGCAGAGAGCACAGTTCCTAAAATAAGGCTTTCTCCTTTTCTCCAGAGAAGTTTCACTAGTACCTAGCTGGAATGAATTGGGCAAATCAGTAGTGTGACTGAAGTGGGCTGAATAATGACTCTCAAATATGTCCACCTACTAATCCCTGGGACCTGTGAACATTGTCTAACAGGACAAAAGGTACTGTGCAGGTGTGATTAAGTCAAGGATCGTGAGATGGAGAGATTATCCAGGCAGGTTGGAGGCAGTTACAGTGGTGCTCATAAGATGGTTGCAGAGAAGGACGGGATATAAAGGTGGACCTGAAAGTGAGTGATCCCAGGATAGAACCACAAGCCAAGGAATGCAGGTGGCCCTGGGAGCAAGCAAGGAAAAGGATTCTTCCTGAAGGGACCAAACCTAATGACACCTTGATTTAAGCCCAGTGAATTTTTTTGAGATAGGGTCTCACCATGTAGCTCAGATTGGCCTCAACTCATGATCCTCCCACCTCCATTTCCTGAGTGCTGGAATTATAGGCATACATCACCAAGCCTGTTTCCTGAAATTTGATTTCTGGTCTTCAGACCTCCTTGAGAATGAATTTGTGTTGTTTTGAGCCATTAAGTCTGTGTCAGAGCAATAAGCGAGCTAATGCAGAGTTCAGCATGCATCTGTAGACATTGACCTCGTCTCTTCCTTTTGGGATGATCATGAAATCATTTCTTTCTCAGAGAGAAGGTGGTGCTGGCTTCTATGGTTTCATCTGGTCCATGAGAATTTAGTGAGCATCTACTATGTACCAAGCAGAACCCTAGACATTAGAAATGAAGAAAGAAAGAGAACAGATGCATCTGCTCTCATGGGGATGATGTGCTAGTGGGGAAAGTTGGCAATAAGCATTTGAAAAATGAAATAAGATGCTTTCAACTATGTCTCCAGTAGGGGCTTTCTGAGGTGGTCACATTGTAGCTGAGAGTGAATAATGGAAACACAGCTGCATGAAGATCTGAGGGCAGTGTTTTTGGAGGCTGTGCATTTAGGTAGAGGAATGGCCATAAGAAAGGAGAGAATTTTTTTGCTTAAAGAATAGACAAGAAGTGTGGCTGGAGTGTAGCTAGTGAAAGAGTGGGAGGGAAGGAGGAGAATTTGCAGGGCTAGACCTTGCAGGCATGGTAAACAGATTGGATTCTATCCTAAAAGCAATAAAGATGCCATTACAGGGTTTAAACAGGGTGGAGTTGTAACTACTTGTGGCTGTGGCTTTTTAATAGATCAGCCCAACAGCTATATGACATGGAGTGTTTCTGGGGGAGACTGAAGAGTGGAGGTATGGTGTATCAGGAAAAATATCAATTATGAGATTGCTGCAGCTGAGAAATGATGGGTGATGGTGGCAACAGAGGGAAGTAGGCAGAGTTGCACGGAAGTGGATGGTCATGTGGAATGAAGTAGGTGGAGTCATGTGGAAGTGGGAGGGGTCAAGTGGAGAACTGGGTGGAGTTAGGTGGAAGGAAATAGAGTCATGTGGATTGGTACATTAATGTACCAAACACCATGGAGGATGATCCTGGAGTGATTGCTAGAGTGGGTCACTCACAGAGATGTGAAAGTCTGAGGACACATTTTGTACTGAATTTCTTTACTGTGCCAAAAATGCAGCATAATCCAATCCATTCACCTCATTTGATCAGGCTGGGGGACCCAACCTGGTAGGAGGTGGTACATATAGTGGTTAAGTGCTCAGTCTCTGGAGTGAGACTTGAGGGAGGAAGCACAACCTTCTAACTATGGGATCCTGACTGGTTGTTCAGCCTGTCAGTTTCCTCATCCATAAATGGGGACAAAGAAACCCAGCCTCCAGTGATGACACAGAACTACGTAAGGCCCCCGAGGTTATAAACACTCTGTTTCAATGTTGCCATTGTGGCTTTCCTTGCAGCCCTGGCTGAATTTCAGATCAAACAGCACCAACCAGGAAAACAAGCTAATGGATTAAAAAGGGTTGAAGACGTTCACTGACTTTATTAGTCACCCCCGTTCATCCCACCACAGTTACATATAATATTATTGTAGTAGACCCACTCAGAGAATGATGCCAAGACCTGAAAAACAGGCCCTTTCCCTCCTGGCTTTGGAGAAGCTAAAGTTCTTCCTTGATTCTTGGTATTTTCTCTTGTCTTGGTGGTCCCATTGGCTTAGGCACTTCCTTCTCCTTCTTAGTTGTTTTCTTTTGTGCTGCTGGCTCTTCCAGCTTGGTTCCATTCTCCATCTCAGGCAACTCTTCCAGCTTGGTTATGTTCTCCATCTCAGGCAACTGCTGCTCAGGTAACTCTTTCTCCATAAAAGGTACTTCCTTTTCCTCAGCTAATACCTCCTCCTCTATCACTTCATTTTGTTCAATGGACAATAGCTATTAAAGAATAGGTGGAAAAAAGAGAAAAGGGAAATGAAATATATGTGATAATTGTGACTATAATTATCAAGATTTATTTTTCTTGATGTGCCCAAAGAAAATCAATATTTGACTTAGAGATCCTTCATAGATATGATGAGTTGGTAAAGTTCGTTAACTATGGCTTTGCCCTTCTGGCAAGAGGAAGTTTGAGGGGGCCACTCTTCTGTGCTAATTCCACAGGAGTGGCTGCCTAACCCCTAACTGCAGGACTGGTCAGGTGACCCAGACTTAGCTAATGAGATTCCCATTCAAAACACTTGCTGAGACTACTAAGAAGCAGTTCAGAGCTGGGGGTCATCTTCGACCATCTATAGGAATGGGGGGAACAACTGCTTGAGAATGCAGAAGAAACCAGAGATGGAAAGGTACTTTAAACTCAAAATTCTGGATCTACCCATGCTAGATGTTCTACCAGTTACATGAGATAAATTCCTATTGTTGCTGAAGCAGAGGAATTGTGTCTTTGACATTTGCAAAGAGAAAGAGTCCTAATTAATGTAAATGGCACCTTCTGGAAGATGGCCTTGCTGAGGCATGGTTAAGGGAAAGTGGGACTGTGGCCCCATGTCAGGAGAATAATGCCAGGGGACAGAATCTCATCAAGGCACCTGGTTACCATCACAGGATAGTGAGTGGACTTCAGGAAGCAGCCTTAGGATCTATGCCCTTTCCACTATTTCTAAGTCCACCATTTCTACTTCCTTGTCATAAATGCCCTTGAAATAACTAGTATAGTCACCTAAACTGGATAGTCATTTATTTACCCTCAACCATCTCCCAAGACTATGAGTTTATGACACACTTTCTTCTAGTTAGTTGACTTCCTGATAGTTCTCCATGGGAGAGATAACCCAATGTGTTGCTCTTGCACTTTACCTCATCCTCAATCCTTATCTTGATTTGGCTTTCCAGGAAGTCAGAGAAGCCCTTCATGGTGTGTTCTCCTTTATATAGTACAGCCTGGGAAATAAACAGAACAGGTTAGGATGGGAGCCTCTGCCTGCAACTTGCTCATGGATTGTCGTAACCCAGGACCAAAATTCTAACAATCTGGAAATGCTGAGCAGGTTCCTTAATCTCTAAGAGCCTCCATTAAATAGGGATAAGGCATGTTCCTCCATCATAGGATGGTTATGTTCTAGGTGGCAGCATGGATTATAAAGCCACTTTCCCAGAGTTTGACCCCTGGCTGCCTTAATTAGTGGTGTGGTATGCTTGCTGAATCTCTCTGCTCAGTTTCTTCATCTGCAATATAGAGTTAACCTCAGAGTGTTATTATAAGTATTAGATGAGTTAATACATGAAATATACTTAAAAATAGTGGTTCACAGTGAGTACTATATGTGTTTGCTATTATTATTACAATATCAACAATGATAAGAATAATAATTACTTTATAAAGCATCTGGCATATTGCTTAGTGTTCAGTTATCACTAGCTCCTTTTTGTCTGCCAGGCTTCAGGAAGGTGAAGTAGCTACTTACTGCCACTGGTTGGCTAAACTTTTCTTCAGATGACTTAAGATCAGCAACTCTTAAGTCTCATACTGCCAATCCTGCCACATTTTCTCCCATCTTCCTACTTGCATCTTTTGCATCAGGATGGCATCTCTTCACAGTGCTCTAGTCATTCTTCCACCCACCTCTTTGTTCATACTATACATTCTACCTATATGTCACAGCTCCCCTCTAACTGATTGAAATCCCCACTGTTCTCCAGTCCCAAGTCTACATGAGTACTGCAGCCATATCTGTCCCTCCTGCCAATTCCCAATGCATTTGGAGATGGACCCATGCCACAGCATCATCTACCCCTCCCAACCATACTCTTCTCAGGAGCAGAAACCTTGGCTCACACTTCTTTGATTAACACTGTTCTCCACATGACAAAGCGGCATGTAGAGTGTTCTATCGTACTGTTGATGGCTGGATAGTGACTGCGATCCTGAGGTGTTAAAGGCATTGATTATTTGTCTGTAGCATGCATTCTTCCTTCATCTGGTAGTGTCCCATCCCCAGTATTCCCTGGATATTATCCCCATTTTATTCCATGTTGTCTAGGGGAGAGCTCAGCCTGAAGACTACAGAAAACCATGTCACTAATTGACTAATTAAACATCACAGCCATTTGGCACAATGATTGAGTCAGCCGTGAATAAATGAGTTGTGTGCAAGTATAATGAGTCTTGGGACTTTGGTGGAAGCTACTGAAAAATGTTCTGAATTTATACAGGAGGCATAATAGGGATCGAGCTGAGAGTGAAGATGGTTTGGTAGAAGGCAGAGCTGGAGATATGCTAATGATAACATAACATAACAATATCTTCAATTTGTGGGTTCTAAGAGCTCCTCACCTCTTGAGAGTCTGTGGGGAAAAGCCTGAAGAATGGGTACTGGTCAGGGTTCATTAGTTGAATGTCATTTGCTGTAATGTCAATCTTGGCGATGGTGACCATGGAGTGGTTTTGATATTTTAAGCCCAACTCCTCCAGCAGCGGGAACAGGGCCCTGCACTTCTGAGACCAGGGTGCATCTGGAAGAGAAGAGTCCTTGCTCAACTCCACACGAGGAGTTGAAAGCTGACCTCATCCCCCACACCACGCACATCATCACTGAGTTCTTCTTATGGTGGGGCTGCTCTGGGAATGGCACTCTCTATTATTCATTTGTTAGGTGATTTTTACATTTCCTTACCTGGCCATTATTAAATAAACTACAAAAAAGTTAACCTATTCTCCCCTTCTATCCCAGACACTAACACTTCTGGTGTGTTAACATTTTCTTCTATTTGTTTTTTTATTTTTAGTTCCTTCTTTTTAACATAGCATTCCACTCCAGTTGAAGGGGAAAACCAAGAAAAATATTTATGCTAGAAGATTCCTAATGTGTTGCCAAAAATCTTGTGTGTGTATTATATAGTTTTCAAAGAACATTAAGCTTTTTGTCCAAGATTATCCAGTAATTAAGCAAAGAGAATAGGATTTGAAGCCAGTGCAAAGACTGTACTACAAATACGACAAAACATAGTATAATATGACATAACATAGCACAAATATTCAGTCCCTTGGAGGATAACATGCCCAAGAAGTATACAGGTGTGGCCCAAAATTGTCACAAGCACAACTATCCCTGGAAAGGGGACACTAGACACTTTGTGTCTGTGTGCAGGACTGGGGTTTGAACTCAGGGCCTTGTGCTTGCTAAGCAGGGGCTCTACTACTTGAGGCACTCCCCAGTCCTTTTGCTTCTAATTTGTTTTTCAGATAGGGTCTCATGATTTTGTCCAGACTAATTATTCTATGTGTGCCTCCCTAGTAGCCAGGATCACAGGCATGCACCACCACCACATCCAGTCCTTATACTAGACTTTCTTGTGGAAAGTTCGAGCCTTCCATGTGGTTCAAGCCTTTCGGCTTTTAGAGAGAAACCAGAGACCAGCTTCCACACAGAGAAAACCAAACCTCACCTGCTTGTTCACCTTTCCTCTAAACCGCAGGGCTCAAAATTGCTGGTGGTGTGGGAGGAAGAGGCTGAAGGCCACGACACTCCCCTTTAGATGATCATACTTCATTTCTGAACCAAGGGCCTCCATCATCAGCCCCCCTGCCAGCAGCACCCGGCCCCCTGGAGCCAGGCAGGCCCTGGGTGGGGATAGAAGGGAGCCTAATGGCTGCAGCCCCAGGGGGCCAACCTGACATCTCTGCTTCCAAGAAAATGAGCCTACTTTTGCCTTTTATCAGAAGCAAATGAGTGTTCTTAGAACTCTGGGTATCAGGTAAGTACAGAAAGGCCGCCCCATCCTCTCACAGAAAAGCAGCAAATTGAGCTGATTCACCTGCACAGAGCTCAAATGCCTCACTCCACAGACAAGAGCGTGTTCCAGTGCAATTGTAAAAGGCTTGCAAGATGCAATCATCCCAGTGATGGCACAGAGCTCCAAATGAACTTTTGGTTTTTCTACTTACTGTGTGACCTGGAGTATGGTAATGGACTTCTCTGAGGCTGGGCTCCCTGACCTGTGTCACAGGGAAAGCCACTATCCTCCCTTCCTCACCAGCTTATACCAAGTGCACACCTGGCTCACTCCTAAGAGCTCATTAAATGGTAACTCTGCCTGTTAAAATACAAGAGTCTGTAGTAATTTTGGAGTCATCTCCAGTGTCATGGTGGAAAAGTAGGTCTCTGACTCTCACACATGAACCAGAAATCACAGGAAAGGGCAATAATCCTTAGGCAAGCCCTGGGAATAATTATAATAGGAATAAAATAATGACATTAATAGTTATCATAAATCAAGAGGATACAATATGCCAGGCACTGTGCTAAGTCCTTTATATGAAGGATTGGGTCTCCAACTCAATTGGGCCATTGGATAAGTCACATAAAGCCCAAAGCAGGAGGATTCTAGAGAGCAGTATGAATGACAGGCTGGAGTCAGATGGCCTAGGTTCAAATACTACATGTGTGACACTGGAAAGGTGTCCTCACTTTCCTGAGGCTCTGTTTAGTGGTCCACAGCAGGAGGGAGGGTGGTAGTTACTTTCAAAAGGGTGTTGTAATGATTAAATGACAGAAGGTATGCATTGGTTCAGCATGGCTAACATCCAGTGTTACCCATTGTCATTATTATTGTCATAAACAGCCACAGGCCTGGATTTCTAAGAACACATTGGGAAGGAGGTAGCATATAGCTGGTAGTATCTTGATCCAATCTTTCTGGTCATCTGGAAACCATTCCTTGGCATGGTGCATTGATGGGTTTTGCAGATTGCATTTCTTAAGAATTTAGGAGGAACACTGATAATGTAATGTTGGGTCCCATAGCTTCCCATCAACTTGGTGGAGATACTTACAGAACATCACAAACACATCCTTTTCCTTGTCAAAGACAACTACATTGAAGTTCTTCCCCACGAGCTGCTTAACTGGCCCTTGATCCCAATATTTTGGAATCTCTTCGCTGGATTTGTGTTTCTAGGAAACAAATTCAAGAGGTTTAACAATCTCCAGAATGTGCCATCATGATGGGACTTCCCACCCTGACTGGAAAGGCTTCTTCTTGTTTTTTCACAAGAGCCTTGGGAAAGAGTTTGAAATGCTGGGAAAGATCATGACTTTGAGGCTAATTCTGGATTGTTCAGGATAGGCTGGGGTTGGAGGGTAGAGGAGAATAAGATCTGGGATGGATTCAAGTATTCAAATAGATGGTTTTTAGAGAGCAGGGCTCATTTCTTTAGCATCTTAACTAGTTCGTTTAAAAAAATGGTGACCCTAATTACTCTGAGCATGAAGACCAAGGTCATTTACTGGACCTAAAGCATTCTTGTCACACTTTGGTTCCTGCTAGCTTTCCCCAGCTCATCACCATTCTTCCCCTTGCTTTTTTTTTTTCAGCCATATTTGAGTCTTCAGTTGACCCAAAGTGCTAACCTCTCTTAGCTCAGGCTCCTGTTTATGTTTCTCCCTCTTTCTGAAGGGCCTCTCCAGCCTCGCTCTCCCTTCTTTCTCTAGTTAAATTAAACTTACCCTTCAGAATGACCACAATAGAAAACTTCTCTTGACTCTTTCTCAGACCAGTCCTGCTGTCAAATTCATTTGGCACTTTACCTTGTATCATTTATTCAAGTTTATCATTTATGCTTACTTTCCTGGTTATTTGACTAATGTGTCTCTACCACATTAGATGGAATGTCATAAAGGACTTTTTTCTTCTCTCCTCATTGAGTATTTGCTGCACCATGCATAGTAGGACCTCAATAAATGCTTTACAAATGAAAGAAAGAATAAACTCAGCTCTTGCTTCTGTTTGAAGGAAGTGTTGGAACTCTGAGATCTTCTTTTTCTCTACAACAATTGTCTCCTGGATGTCTCTTGCATCCACACCTTTCTCTCCTCTTGCCACATTACTGTGGTAGTCCAGGTAGCCCACATCTGTTACTTGAGTCACTGGAAAGGTCTCCTGTATCTCCCCTTCATCTTCTCCATGCCTTTAGTTTCTATAAGCATAGCTCTATTATTACCATGCAGAGCTGGCCTTCTCATTGCTCTTAGTGTGCCAAATCCTTAATGTGCTTATGGGGCTCTTGCCATCTGGCCTCTGCCCAACTCTCTACCTTTTTCTCTCATAGCACCACCCCTTGTCCTACCCCAGCCCCTGAAAATGACTTAAAAGATCTTTCCATGGGACCATAAAGGGAGAAGATGCTGGGTATGGAGGATGGGCAATGATGGAGAATTAAGAACTAGAATTAGAATCAGGTAGGTCTCACAGACCATGGGAAGGATGGTCACCTCTGTTCCAGGAGCACAAGAGGATATGCTTATCTTTGAGAAGTTGTCAGATCTAAGTGAAGGGAAGAGAGAGGGGATGGGTGGAGTTCCAGGTAGTTTGTAGGTTGGTGATAGAAAATAAGGAGGACTCAATATGATGACATCTCTTTTCTTAGTGATGTATGGGTAGAGTACTCTCTGAGATTGAAAGTAGGCATGGGATAGGGGTAGAAATAGACAAGAGAGGGGTTTGGTTGCTGACTCCATGAAGCCAGCCAGCCTCATGATGGTATTGCTTTTCTCCAGTATTGGTCTGGAAGTACTAGGGAAGTCAAGTGGGATCAACTGGAGTTGGAATTTTGCCTGGTGAGTACTACAGGGTATAGAAGAGGCGGAAGGTAGAGGGAATGAGGGAGTGATGAGTGACGAATCATGGAATCCAAGTTCATAGAAGATGGCACTACAGAGGCTGAAGTGGGATTAGGAGCTTAGAGGCCATGAGAGGGGCAAGGAATTGTAGCAGTGGGATCATGGAGAAGGATGGGAAGCTTGAAGTCAGGCATTTGGAGGAGCTGCCATCTCTAGACTGTGGTCAAGAGGGTGGGTGATATCCTCTTGGCATGGACATACCAAGTAATGAAGAGAAATCAGGGTTTCAGATATTGACATCTCTGGAATGATGGCAGAATAGGGGTAGAGGTCAAGACTGTAGTGGCTTACATTTTCAGAGAGTGAAGGGGTGGTGGGCAGAGAACAGCAACAAGGGGTAGGAGTAAGAGGTCTGACATCCAAAAGCACATGATCCAGAAAATGTGGATTTTTTTTAAGATGGAGGGAGAAGAAATGGTTTGGAGGTAGCAAGGCGGTCACATGCATCAGAGAACAACTTCTACTTAAGAAGTGTTCCAGGGGGAATAGACAGAAGCAAACAGAGCACCATAGATTTGGGATTGTTTCACTTATACGTATTACTCCAAATTTTTTTTTGAAGAATTCCCCCCCTTTATTCTCAAAGGTATCTCAGTTTGGAAAATAAACAATTTGGTCCCCTTACTCAGCAAAAAGTCGAAGCTATAGCAAGTGCTAAATAAATAGTAGGTGACAGTGTGTTACCTGGTCATCTCTCTGAGGCTCTCTTTACTTTCAGCAACATGGACCCACTTGTAGCCCCACCTAACCAAAGGTTCCTAAGGCTTTTGAGACTAAATTCTGAATTGCTCTATGTGCACTATCCCCTCCTCTTCCTCTCCAAAGCAGCATCTACCCTCAGGACAAGTTAATCTTTCACTTTAGACTGAAGGAGGTGAGTGCCTCTTGTCAGAGGGTGAGTTAGCTGTCCTGAATACCTGCATATATATCAGAAATTCACTTTATAACCAAAGAAGTAATGGTGCAATTATGAGCTCATAGGATAAGTCAAAAATTGGATAGATCCAAGGTGGGCAAATGGGGAGATTTTCCCATATTAAGCCATGAAATTGACCTTTATTCTGCTTCTTCATACAGGTGGTCAAAGCCAGCAAAATTACACAAAAGGAATGATTTTGAAGTTCTGTATAAAATTTACCTAAGAACAAGCTTACCTTGGCATTTTTACTCAGGAAGCTGTGAGCAAATTTCTTGAGGTTTTCATAGGTTATGTCATCTGTAGGCATTTTGTACCTGGCATCAGAGCTCAAGTTCAGGATTTGAACAGATGGGATGTTGACCTTTGTGATCCGGAAGTATTCAAAGACATGTTTGTTTTTGGGTTCATCTGCGTTCACAAGAATGAAAAGGATCTGCAAAATCAAACAAAAACCTTGTCTTTGTGGACCCTTTATGGAGGGAGAGAAACTGTTGTAAAGCTGTGAGGTAATGGAATGCAAATGTTGGACTCTATGAAGCACCTGTGACTTAATGAAGGTTCCTTTCCAAATGCATAGATAGGCAGCAGCCACCAGCCTGCCTCTGCACTACGCACCATGCACACAACTTTAGGAGGTTCCAAGTCCTGATCTGTCATCCTCATCCCATGCTTCAGTTTCCTTATCTGTAAAATGGTGATTATACCTATACCTACCTTAGAGGGCTGTTGTGAGAATTAAACAAGACAATGTGTGTGAAAACTTATTTTGGAGTCTGGTTTAATATTTGCCAACTCTTGTTATTATTCAAAATAACTCTATCAAGGAAACTCATGACTTCATTCTGTTATTCATTCAACAAATATTCATAGTGCTAACTATGTGTTGGGTATTTCACAGAGCCCTGGGGATGCTCCCTCATGGAGCCTATGTCCTGGGGGACAAGATAGATGACAAATGAATAAACAAACTGGTAATTCCAGATAGTGATAAGTGATACTTAGACAACCGAACAGAGTAATAGGATAAAGTGACTACATGAATGAGGTAAGGTAGGAGCTCAATAATAGTTGGGGAGGTCAGGAGGAGAATTTAAGCCAGTAACATTTTAGCTAGGACTTGAGTGAAGTCAGGGATCCAGGAAGTGGAAACCACCAATGAGTGCAAAGGACCAGTGACAAGATGAATAGAGTGCAGAGTATTCCAGGAATAGAAATGAAAGGCCAGTAAGTCTTCCATACCATGAGGGAGAGAGTCATGGGAGGTAAGGGCAGAGGCTGCCAGAGGTGAGGTCACAGAGCCAGTAAGGAACCTGGGTTTGCTTTGAATATAATGGGAGGCCAAAGAAGGATGGCAAGGCAGAGAGTGGTGTGATTATCATTCTGGTCTCAGAGAAGCAAGAGTGGAAGCAGGGTGAAGAGTAAGAGGCTCTTGTGGATAGCTGGCAACAGATACTTCCAGGTCACTCATCCATCCAAAGATTAAGGACCCAAGAGCATGCCACTTTTCTAGGTGTTAGGGGACTATCAAAGACACAGCAGACATTGAAACCATCCTGTGTACCTTCAGCATGTACTGGCTACCTTCTGTATGCTGGGTGCTGGGGCAGAGGGACCAGTAAGATAGACATGGGGGTACAGTCTATTGGAACAATAGATAAATAGACTATTTATCTTTGGCTCAATAAATGGAATTTGGGAATCTCATTATAGCAATAAGAATTTAGAACCTTGTCTCCCAACCTATGCCAAAATAAATTCCAGCTACATTAAAGAACTAATTTAAAAACCTAAAGAATATATGGCTAAGTTCTGATTGCTACAGCATAGGAGAAATGAAGGGAAAGAAATTAGATCATAATTAATTTAATTACTCCAAAAATCTTGAAGTGTAAAATTCAAAAGAATAGGAAATGTGTTCACAAGACCCATTTGTGTGGGTGGAGTCATCTTTCTGGAAAACAGCATTATAGGATCAACTTTGAACATTAAATGTGTTCAAGCTCTAGTGGCCTTGCTCTGTGTTTATTTTAAGTTTCAAAGTTTTTAAGCATTTGTTTAATTTTTGAATAATTTTGTTCAAATGAAAAAACTTGCCAATATCATATTTCTTATAAAAATGCAGAGAATAATTAAGCAAATAAGTGGTAGATACACTAAATATAGGTCCAGAGCTTAGGAGAAATAGATTTTCCTCTACTGGTGATAGTAACAATACATAATAAGCACTATAAATTGTATTTTTGCTCATTGCTTTATAGATAGATTTTCTAATTCTTTTTTTGTTTATTTGTTTGAGTCAAGGTCTATTTATCCCAGGAGATCCTCCTGCCTCAGTCTCTCAAGTGCTGGGATTTAGATTTTCTACTCTTATTACCACCTTTGCTTACCCATGAGGAGACTGAGGCCTGGAGGTCAAGAAACTCTTAGGGCAACATAGTTTATGAAAGAAGAAAGTTTGAATTCAGGTTTGGTCTCGCAATTACTTGCTAGATAACCTGTGCTGCTCCACACCTTCAGGCTTTTCATATTCCTTGGCCTCAGGCAGATGCAGTCTTCCTTCCCCCTCACATCCAAGCCAAATGCTACCATTGTTGGTGAAGGGTGGAACGTCAAAATACAGCCAACCATCATGTTCCCACAGCAGCCGTATTAAAAAGATGAAGGAAAGAGCACAGGCTTAGCAAACAAAAGGAAGAGAAGAATGGAGCACAGCAGACTGATGTAAAATAAAATAGCAAATATTGTGTAGCAATATAGGCTGATAAGAAAAATGGGATGCCAATGTATATGCGAATCTTTTCCTGACTTAATTTACAATAAGTGGGGCAGGCATACGACCTCAGGGTCGCAGGTCTTGCATCTCCATCCAAGAGCCTGGAAGAGCAATGACACATTCTACAAACCTTGTTTTGGAATTCCTTCGATGCTAGTCTGTAATGCTGAATTATGAGGGCATACGACTTGGCCCTTTTTGAGACAAAGAGCAGCATGTGATTCAAGATACGCAGTTCATAAATCAGATCCTTATTCTGAAATTATAAGAAAAACATGTTGACCCAAGCACATGCAGCCGCCCCAGTTGTCCTTCTCCAGGGAACCCTTTGTCCACTGACCTCAGTATTGTATTCAATCACAAGATCTGTAAGGTGCTGTTTTATGACATAGTTGAGGTCCTGTTTGTTCGTACTGTCATTAATAAGCTCTTGGCGTTTCACAATTTTTCCCTAAGATAAAAGAAAAATACCAAGGATAGTGGCAGGTGTAGTATAACCCAGGTACTCAGTACACATGAATACTGAGAAAATTAGCCTATGGTGGCATATGGATGTGGCAACCATGAAATCTCAGGTCTGTGACAGGAAGTGTAACTGACCAATATCCCCAGCTGTTGTGCTCTAAAATCCACCAAAATATTTGTGCTGAGGAAGAGGAGTGTATCACACACTGCTGAGAGTCAACAGCAGGGTTACAAAGCCAAGCCTATTCCTGGGAAATTTGGGACTTCCCTGAAAGGCACGAACTTCAGATGAACTTCCTTAAAACTCTACGACCATCAGAGTCCCTTCCATCAACCTTCATTCCTCCTAAAGGTCAGACCTTCATTGTGGTCCAATGGCTGTCCAAGTCTCCCCTACCTCTTTGCTTTCCTTCTGAGACATTTTCCCTAATAAAGATTTGCATATCTAATCCTGATAGGTAACTGCTTCTCAGAAGGATCTGGACTAACACAGAAGTGAGAATTCTTACAGCCCAGGATCAAAGTCTATGGAGGAAGGAGAAGTTATCTCCTAATAGCTATTCAAACTTCCCTTCATCCACCATTCCTACCTTGGTCCAAATCTCTCCCCTGGACTCCTGCAATGCTCTCTCATGGTCTTCTCTGTCCCCCCTCCGCCTTGCTTCCTTCCAATCTGACTCCCACACGTCAGTCAGAGTGACGTTACAACACAAATCTGATTATGTCATGATTTCTGGCTTTAAGCAAGAAATAGTCCCAAATTGTTCTCTGGATAAAGTTTCAGCTCCTGACGGGTGGGAACAACGGTCTACTAATATTGAATAGAGACTTCAAGTTATGCTGGCCACAGTATCTACCATGGTGAATCCATTAACTTATTGAATCCTCCTGACACCTCTTTGAATTATGTTACTGATATTTCTCCCAACTCTTCATAGGATGCAATCGAGCCCAGGGAACTGAAGTAACTTGTCGGAGGTTGCTAAGCTACTAAGAAGTGGAACCAGGATTTATGTATTTAATTAGTTATTTATTGGTGCTGGGGATTGAACATAGGGTCTCATGCATGCTAAGCATATGTTCTACCACTGAGTTCTACATACAGCTGCTTTTAAAATGTACCTTCTGGGTGGCAGGTGTAATACATAACATAGGCATGTAATAAGTCCACTTATTATTAATAAATATAAAAATACCTGGGATGTATTTCTATATTTGCTATTTGACTTTTGGATTTGTGATAGGGTTTATTTTGCAGAACCTTTAAATTTTTATGTGGTCCATAAAGTATAGCAGTATTTTCAGGGCTCCTGCCATGCTTTATAAAGAGGCTTTCTCACTCCACATCTAGAAATCAAACTCCCCCTCTGGTATTTTCTAGTCTTTCCATGGTTTAATTTTTTGTATTTTTGAATCAGAAACCAGCCTTGAATTAAATTTGATATAAGGTGTGATATGTGGGTCCACCTTCAGTTTTTTTTTCCTCACATGGCTATCCAATTGTTCTCAACACCATTCATTCAACAATGTATTTTTTTCCCACTAATCTAAAGTACGGACCTTTCTCATATACTAAATTTCTATGTGTATTTGGATCTACTTCTGATCTCTATGCTGTCCCACTCAAAAGCTCCCCAGCTTAAAATTTCTCAATGACTTCCATAGGCCCAAGAGAAAACCAGAGGCTCAGAGTCATCTCTGAAGGTCAAGCAGAACTGGGTGTCACCTCACAAATCTCAAGTATGACCTTGGAAAAGTAACTAAGCACTCTCAGCTGTATCTGGTAGTAACAAGGCTATTGTAAAGATTGAGCCTGTGTGGGAAGGAGTGAGGCATGTTTCAGGAAACAGACCACAGTGTCCAGAACTTTCAACAGAACTTTTCTGTGGTGATATTGTAAATCTGTGCTATATCTACGGAACACTTGAAATATGGCTAGTGTGACTGAGAAACTAAAATTTTAATTTAACTCATTTTAATAGTCACGTGTGATTAGTAGCTGCCATATTGGACAGCTTAGGTCTAGATGTCAGAGAGGGAAGGAAGGAAGGTATCCATGAGTTTAAGCTGGGAAAGGCCTTATAGACCTCATTAAGAATTTGGGTCTTTAATCCTCTTAAAGAGAAAATCATTAAAGGGCTTTCAGAGAGGAGGAGGGTTTTGCAAAAAGATTTCTCATCAGTGGACAGAGCAGATGAGTTGGGAGGCTGTGGTAATATGCCATGGGAAATGATGGTTAATTTATCTAAGGTGGTTGCAGTAGTGACAGGGAGAAATGGATAGATTTGAGGTGTATTTTTGATATACAATGAATAGGATTCAGGCATTGGTTTTGAGTGGTGGAGAAGAGGGAGGTGTTAGCATGATGTCTGGGATTTCTGGCTTATGTCACTAGGTTGAGGAGAGGGTGGCACCATCCACTGAGTGAGTAAAAATTCTGGAGAGGACTTGAGAAGAGATTATAACTTTGGGATTAGCTATGTTGAGACATGTGTTGCTTATCAAGGTCTGGAGATGAGAGAAGAGTGGCACTTGTAAGTCAAGGGTGTAGATAGTGCAAGGGGAAGCATGGACTAGAAGAAAATGAATTCCAATTCATGGGATTGACCTTGATGAGTGACACTTACTGGTTAAAGAAAGGAGGAGGAGCTTATAGTAGAGTGCAGCTGGAGAGGCCAGAGAAACATCAGGAAACTGAAATTTTATACAAGTCAACTAGTCCAATACCACTTAGCACACAGGTAACAGAGCCAGAGTTTGTAACCAAAGCCCTTACTCTTCCCATAACTTTGAACTAGAGATCCCGCATGACTAACAACAGGATTAAGTCCTACCTTTTTGAACACCAGGACACTGTCAAGGACAACGTGAAAACGTCCAAAGGCATTTTTGATTGATATCGCACCAAATGTTAGCTCTGGGAAGTCCTTGATCACATCATAGAACAATTCTGCTACTTCTTCCTCTAAATCCTGTTTGGGAAAGTGAGTTTATAAGGTGTTGGTAGAAAGCAAAAATCCCCAAGTATTTAAATGGTGGTAGTTCTGCCTTCATTTCTCCAAGTTCTGAGTGTTTGCTGGGTCCCCTAAGCCCCCTGTAATAGATGCTTCATACCCAGAATGCTTTGTGGCTATGGCCAAAGCCCATGTAGGCAAATCCTCCAAGATCAATGGAGAGAGCTGACTATCTTCACCTTTTCTAATTATTATAATAAAGGCTGTTCTAACCCAAGGACTGAGAACTTTTAATTCCTTAGTTACTTTCAGAAGAGGCAATGGATTTGATTAAATGGAATATCGAATGTGAACTTAGTATTAAGATATAGCTACAGTTTCAGCCTTCATTCTTTAGCTTAAAAGAACATTGGGGCCCAAAACCTCTCAAAGAAGGAGAAGGCAAAGAGGTACATTCTCTTCCCATGTGTAAATATAATGTCAAAGTTATGACTTAAATTAGTTAAGACACATGAGAAACTCATTTTCTGGAAGCAAAAAAATCTTTCAAATTATTTGTATATCTAAAATATAAAATCAATAGAAAGCCATCAGGAGACATTTCCTAATCACATCTAAGTTATTTACGTACTTGCCCAAACATCTCCCCTGCGTTTGTGATGAGGGTTTATGTATTTTCAAATGGGTACAGGTTGATGCAATGCTAATGGTTTTAGTTTATAGAGATGTTTGGGAAGAGTTCAGAGATGGAGATTGGCTTGGCTGAAGCAGGCTAGCAGCTGTCAGTTAGAATTATTGAAAGCAATGGTTTTCAAATCAGAAAATAAAGACATCCCTGTATTCTTTGATGTTCTAAATGGACCCCCAGAAAGATCAGTTATACTCCTAAAGCCAATTAATATGTCAGTCTCATCTTCCTTTCCATTCCTGTCTATCTTTCTGGCTAATCTTGAACATTTTGGCTTCCATACTTCTTTCTACATTTAAACCCTAGAGCTTTCCCCCCAAAACCCTCTCACTGAATGGGGAAAATTCGGCCTGAAATAATCTCAATTGGAGAGTCCCCTTAACCTATCCCCTTGCAGACAGAGCCCTTCTCATCTGTTGAAAAAACACCTCCCACCTCTTGACCCTAGTACCTGGAAGAAGCCAATGATGACCAAGGGCCTGGATTTCACAAAATCTGCCACCTGCTGGGTGTTGTTGAACAAAAATGCTTTCTGGCTAATTTGTCTTCTCAACCAGACAACCAATGCTGTAGATTCAACCACTCCTGGAGAGAAATAAAGTAAAATAGACGCCACAGAGGCTTCCTCCTGAACTGTAGCAAACCCTGTCTTCCCCAAGGACAGTGAGTAGAAGCATCCTGTGTTGAGGTCCACCCTTGAAGGCTAAAATCAATCTCTCCATCCCTCTTCTCCCCAAGCTCCAAGGTATGAGTTTTAACAGCAGCAGCTAAAGGTCTCTGAACTCCTGACAAGGTCAAGGCATTGTGCCGAGCGTTCTGCTTGTATTAAATCTTCACAACATCGCTACAGAATAGACACCTTTCCTCTTCCCATTTTGGAGATAAGGAAATAAAGATTCAACTTGCTAACACCCAATCAACTAGAGAACCCACTATCAATCGTAGGAGCAGGCATTCCCAACCTTCTTATCTTACATACCCTCCAAGGTGACAGGAAAATTTTACTAAACTATAAGTTAAAAGACCAGATCACTGTGACCTTGAGGAAAAGCCCAGTATCCCCTGTGACTCCATTTCCCTAGACGAGACCCAAATACCTTGTAAGTTCACAGAATTCTGTCTTCTAATTCTCAGCTACCATGTGGGAGGTGCCAAGCACACAAAAGTCTTAGCTTATAAAATCAGGACACATATAACTCTGTTTGGGAAGACATAACTGACTGCCAAATGTACAAATGGACATGTCCTTTATAGAAACATCCACTTCACACGATGGCAAGTGATGTAAATTATTATTTTAGATCAATGTCTGCTATAGAATAGATGGGAACACTGTAAGCTTATGAGATAATGCCATATCTGTTAGTAGCTTTGGAATACTTTCATAGCCCTTTATTCATCCACTCATTTATTCCTTCTCTTTTTCATGCACTTGACAAATACGTTTTGAATGAGTGCCTGGTGTATAATCCAGTGTGTACTTAGCCCTGAGGGTGTAATGGAGAGCAGAAACAAACACATTATCATGGTTTCACAGCTCTCGGTATGTTGAGGAAGACAGTCATCAAATAATTACAGAAACAAGCATGTAATCCATCCAAAGGGAGAGTCTGGAAGCAAAGTTCTAGGAGCCCGTAGTCAGGATATCTGACCTAGATGCTGAGGTCAAGAAGGGCTTCCTAGAAGCCAAGAGGTATGAACTGAAAACAAAAGGATGCATAGGAGTCAAAGAGAGGAAAATCCTTTCAGGTAGCGCAACCAGTCTGTGCAAAGGCCCTGATGCAGCACAAATTACCACATGGGGCCTGATCAATGCACCCTAATTGCTAATTATAGAGCTTCCCTTATAATTCCTAAGAACATTAGGCTTTTCAAAAAACCTTGTAATGAAGTATATTTCTTGCAGGAAATTATGAGCTGAGATACAGGACACTGAGGCAGATTAGCAGAAAGCAATGTTTTATTGTGCTGGCACAGACACAGACTCGTGTCCAAAGGCTGAGCTCCGAGAACAAAGGGGTCTCACCTTATATACCCTCGCAATCAGGTTACAGAAGCAAAAAGCAAAGCTCAACCCACATGTGGCTGCATGTGACTTCATTGGCTATTTCATTCCCCCAGTGCTATGTGACCTTCATGTTTCAATTCTTCAAGTTTTATCTCTCTGCTTTGCCATCCCCTCTCCCTGTCTTGTCGTCAGAACACCAGACTGTCTGTTTCTTTTCTGCCCCCCTCCACCCCTTTCCTGCTACATATTTACATGCTGTAAGGTAACCAACTTGAATGTATAGTTTGAAGACTGTTCACAAAATGAACACATCCACGTAACTATCATCCAAATAAGAAATAGAACATCACCAGCCCCTCAGAAGTCCCTGTGGGACTCCCTGCCCTCCACCCAGGGTCAACCACCATTCTAACTTTTCCCAGCATACATCTATCCTGTTACTAAGTTCTTAAAATGGAACCATATGGCAGTTTTTCTTTTGTGGTACTGGCGATTGAATCCAAGGCCTTGAGCAAGCTATGCAAGCACTCCACCACTTGAGCCACACCTCCAGCCCCTTAGTTTGTGTTTTATTTTTGAGATAGGATCTCACTAACTTTTCCTGAGCTGACCTTGAACTCTCAATCTTCCTACCTCCACCTCCTATGTGCAGGCATGCACCACTAAGCACAACCTTGGTGTATGTTCTTGAGTCTGGCTTTGTTACTTTTGCGAGATTCATCCATGTTGTTCATATACTTAAAGATTCATTTCTACTGCTGTGCAGGATTCCAGTGTGCAGTTCTCTGTGGACATTGGAGTGTTTCTAGTTTGGGGTTATCATGAATGAACTCTAGTGCACATCTCTGGGAACACATTGAATGCACTTCTGTCAGTTATATACATGGGTCAGGAGTAGGATCTCTGAGCATAGTGGATGCCATATCCAATATCGATGCACACAAACAAGACCATTTTAAGAGCTATGGTGAGTGAGGCTTATGGAAGTTCCTGAGAAGATGACATGGTCCCTTTAGGAGGCAGAGGAAGAAGGAGGCTCATGTGAACCTCGCACCTTGGTCTTCCATCTCCTCCTCCAAAAATTCAGCCCTAATGTGGAATTTCTATGTTCATAGTGTTCCTAAGTCATCTTCAGGAGAAAAACAGACACAAAAAGGAACAAAGGCATCTAGTAAAATTATGTCGTTAAGTGCCATGAGAGAAATTGTTTTAGATTTGTGGACTTATCAAAACAGGTGAACAGAAACCCTCCAAGTGAGTTTAAACTTCAGGTCTTCATGGCTCCTGTCTCCCTTTGTGCCATCCTCGAGCCACCACAGTCATTCTCTATTGTACTAGCCATTCTGTTTTCTTCATTAAATCTATCACTTTCTGAAATTACTATAATTTTTTGGGTTAATTTCTTCATTGTAAGCACCCAATGCCTACATTGCCTGGCACATATAAGGTGTTCAAAAAGTCAATCAAGGAGGAAGGACTGAAGTGAATGAGTCATCAGGTAAGCCGGCAAAAGGAACTTGATTTTGGGCCATCTTCTCTGGGATGAATGGGCTCCATTTGCCCCTGTAGGTTCTGTGGAACTGAGGTAGCTATGAACTTGATCAACGGCTTATTCTTGAGTTTCCTGCATCTGGAGAGCTGCCTGCGCTGAGCACTATGTCGCCCCTGGTGCTTGGCTCTGAGCCAGAGGACACAGTGACAACTGAGGTGTGACTGCTGTGTCAATGATTGACTGGAGCTGGCTCTGGGCTGCATATTTCCAGGCACAAGCTGTGAACGCATCATTAATAGTGGACCTAGAGGCAATCTGAGTCTACTCTCTTCAAGGAGGTGGCAAAGGCCAAGTCTCTCACCATCAATCCTTGGAGATTAGAAGAAGGTGGCACTGGGCTTTGACCTGGCAAGGACTAAATCCCACCTGCCTCCTAAGAAGTGTTTCATAAGAGGAACATTGCAGGAGGTGTGCAAAGCTCTGTCTCCTATCTGAGCTCAAGGAGCCCAGTCAAATCGGAGAAACTGGTATTTTTCATCCTGTTTAGAAAACGAGAAATTAGGAACCCAGGTCTTACAAGGCTTGTTCAAGTTCCTGTAGATAATGCATGTCCTAAAATCCAGGTATCCTGAGTCACACCTCTGGCTCCAACCTGGCATCCCCTTGTCTCTTCCCCTGGTTAGGAGTAATATTGAGGAATAGAGGGGACAGGTGGCCCAACAGAAATATGGGTTGTCTCATTATACCATGCTTACCTACAGGGGGCCTTTGCAATTTCATACATTCAAACTGAAAAATGTTTAAGAACGTAATTGTTCCAAGGTCTGATTTAGGGTCAAACTAATAGTCTGACAGTAATAAGTACATCTGCCACTTATTTAATGGACAGCACAGTGTAAAGCAGTGCTCAAAAAATACATGCAGTGGGTCAAATCTGGCTCACTGTTTGTTTTTATAATAAAGCTTTATTAGAACACAACCACACCCACATATAAAAGCATATGGCTGCTTTTATACTGCATTAGCAGAATGAGTAGTTGTAACAGATTTTCTGGTCCATAAGTCCTAAAATATTTATTATCCAGCACTTTGCAGACCCCACTGCTTACTAGCTGATGTGTTTTGAGGAAGTGATTCAACATTTCTATGCCTCAGTTTCTCCACCTGCAAAAGTACTTCCTATGCTGGGTTGTTGTGAAATACAAGGACCTAGGTAGTGCATGGAGCACAGTACATGCTGCAGGTGTGCGTCAGGCCCTGTGACTTGCAAGAGCCCTGGGAGGTAGACGTTTTTTACCACCCCCATTTTATATATGAGGAAACTGAGTTTCAACAAGTGGAAGCCATTGCTTCTGAGGCAGGTAGTGAGGATTTGGATCCAGAGAGGTATGGAACCAGGAATGGAGGTGATATCAGCCCTTGTCCTGTGAACTTTGGGACTACAGAAGTGAGTTAGGCTTTCCTCTCTGGGATAATCAAGACAGACTTCCTGAGGAAGGTGAGGATGAAACCTCCTCCATGGCAGGAGGCTGCATTGGGTCACAGTAAAGGGGTTCAGAAAGCTTTAGGGGTCTCTGTCAATCTCATGCACAGTTTGGAAGTTTCCATATGGTCACCTTTTTTTGCCTCTCAGTGGACTCAGGTCTCACCTGTCCTTCAAGAGAGAAGGACAGGAATCACTCCATGAGCAAATATGGACTTGCACCAAGTAGCCTGGGCTTCTCATTTCTTCACAGCCCTCCCTTAAGCCAACATGTCACAAAGGCCTCCTTGCTTGGGACCAAACAGGTTCCCATGGTCAAGGATCATTCCTCAGTATTTATAAGAAGTAGACTTCCTATTTCTCTCTTGCTCCTACACTCACAGCCCTTTCACACCCTTTGGGGTGCCCTAGTTCTGCCAGGTCTATTAGGAAACCTAAGTTCCCAGCTTCCACTACCTTCCTCTTGGCCAGTCTGTCCTGTACCTCTCATGACCCCTTGTGTCCATTCCTAGAACTGCAGTGCATTCTGCAGCCCTGACCATGGTCCCACTTCCCCACTTTCTTTTAAGCTTACTGGGAACTGGCTATAAACACAGAGTCTCTTCCTCCTCTCCATCTCCTGAAGCACACTCCTGTTTAGCTTTTGGGCCTTTCTTGTGCCCACTCCTAAGGAGCAAGTTTCAAAAATGACTGTCAAAGGCGCTCAATTTCCCAAATCTGTCATTCAACACATATATAACGAAAACATCCCACTAGACTAGTAGGGGCTGTGCTAGGCTCTTTTGTGTTCATTAATTTTATTCCATCCATCCATCCATTCATCCCTCCTATCCATACATCCATTCTGCCTCCATCAATGTAACTTTTTAAAAATCGGGATTTACCATGTGCCACACATCAAGACACATAATTCCAAACATCCTCAACTTGAAGATAGAGCTTGATACATGGTAGCTTGTCATTCACATAAATGGGTAAATGAGTCAAGGAATAAATGAAATGAATGGCAATAAAGTTAAAGTGTCTGGTAGACACCCCATCCCAAATCTCTTCTGTTCCATCATCTCTCAGCCTTCCTTTTGGTTCACCAATACTTCCCAGACTTGGAACCCTATCAAAATCATTCTAGAGTGTGGTTGTTTGCAAGCCTTGCACCCCACCTTCCATCTCTTGGTGCTTTGGGACCTGGGGCCCATTAGCCGAGATGCAAATGAGGTAGAGAGACAAGTGTTCATCAAAACCCATTTTTCTTATGGACACAGAGAAGAGCCATGATTTAACTCAGACTTTCTTGCAGTTGAGTGGGACCATATAACAGAAGTCTGGTCAATGGACTATAGTGATATTTGCCACTTTCATGGATACCACCCAAGGCAATCTCCTGCTTCCTTCCCCTTACTGCTGGCTGAATACCAAGGAAAGAGCAGGCACCTCCCAGGTTCTAAAGAAAGGCAGAACTGCAAGCTGGAAAAAGCCTGGGTGTCAAAGAGGCCATGTGGATCAGAGGCTTCCATCTCCACCTTTTGGCTGTATAACCATGAAATCAACTCAACATCCCAACACCATTACCTTTGCAAATGATGGGCTCTGACCTGTTGCCCTCAAAAAACAATTTCAACTCTGGGGCCTTCTTGATGTCAAACTCCTGCTTAAGCTCCTTCTCCACGGTGATATCCACTTTGCCAAAGCCAATTCCATTCTTGCCCTTGCCCATTATCTCCACAGCTTTGCCCAGCTCCTCAGCCAAGTTCCTGGATTGTTTGGACGATGGATTGTCTGAAAGAGAAAAGATGAAGACAGACTAACCAGAGCCTCTTCCTCTACCTGTCTCCCAAGTTGTATTCTTTTTATTTAGCCTGCTTAGCTCCTGGCCTTTCTTTTGTTCACTGCTAAGGGCTAGGTTTCTGAAATGTGACAGGATGTGGTGACACACAGTGGGTTACGAAATGGGACAGTTTGTCAGTTCACCCTGAAAACAACACACCTTTGAGAAACTTAATCTCCCTAAACTCCAGTTTTTCCTTGTGTAAAATGGGTACTTCATGGAATTGCAAGACTCAAAGACTCAAGTAGATTTACTTAACTATCTGTTATATAGTGCTTATAATTTTCTAGGAGCTTTACTGGTATTAAGTCATTTACTCCTCCCAGTAACCATATGATGTAGATACTATTATCATTGACTCAATTTTATAGATATAAGGAAACTAAGCACAAGAAAATGACCTAACTGCCTATGGCCCTGTGACAACAAGAACTATAGCCAGGACATGAACTGCTTCTGTTTGGCTTCTGTTTGGTGACCTCCACTAGACAGACACCTGGGACATGGTGAGTACATAATACATTACAATTACTACTGCTATTCTTATAAAATAGGAGAGAGAAAGATTGAGAGAGAGCTTATCAGCGCCATCTGGTGGAATATTCTGGAGCTAACAGGGCAAACTGAGTCCCTTCAGCTGCCCTGCAGCTGCATGTAACGAGGCAGGGAACCCCCTCAAGTAAGGAAGACAGGTTTAAGAAGGCTGGGGGTGGGATATATTATGATTTCCCCCCTCTCAGCCCACCCCTCTTGTGGGAGGGGTTATGGAAGATACCTGACATACTCTATTAAGAGATTTGACACTCTGGATCTCTTGCTTGGTTGCTTACATAGCTGGGCAGTGAGGAGGTAGTAAAGGCCCATTTCCTGAAAACAGTCTCAGAAAGCTGGCATGTGACATTTCCATGGGACACACCTTTCTGACCCAAATGGGAAGGGACTAAAAGGTGTCTCCAGTTTGCCATTCTTCTTCCTGATGACATTGCAAGACTTAGGTCCCCAGCTGTCCCATGTCTGAGGCAAGTGAGCCCATCCAGGGCAGGGAGTCACAGACTCCCTTTCAAGCCAGAACACTCTCTATTTTTTTTCGAATCTCCTGTCCATCTGGAGCACTTGGAGAAAGTGCAGATTACTTCCTGGCTGAGGGCAAGTCCAAGACCAACAGAGAAGCCTTTTGTAAAGCACAGTGCAGAAGGCTGGGCCCCAGGACAGCTGGCACTCACTCTGTTGCCAGTCAGAACACCTGCTCAGCAATGGAATCCAAACATTGATGGTTATTTTCATTAAACTCCCCATCAGTGGACAGGAATCAGACTTCTGTGGCTTCACCACTGCCTGCTTTATCAGCACCGTTGCCTTTGCTACCTCCTTCCATCACCAGCAGGCACTGGCCCATAGACAGTCACTCTGGTCTGTGGCCTCTCCCAGCTTCTGTATGGATTTGGCTGGGCCAAAAGGTGTGTAAACCTGGCATAGAAATGCCCAATGAACATTAGTCATTATGTTAACAGAGACAGAATCTTTTTTCTGGTTCTGACTGAGCTCTTTCTGAGATAGGAGGGTCCTACGGAGAGGTCAGGATGCCCTTTTGATCTTTTGGCTACTGGAAGGGGAAAAACAGTATCAAGCACAAATTCATACATCCCAAAGCCTATGCCTACTGCGTGGTTTTTATGTGGCTTTCATGGTAAGTGCATAGGACCCAGGGTCTGGGTAAGAGTAGCATTGCCCCCATGACTGTCTGCTAGGGATGGAAATGTGTTCATGGCTAGTGGATCTAGGATCAGTGTTTTCCTGGGTCCTTGGTAGATAACCCCAGTTCCCTTTCCTGAGAATCCAACTTGGGACATGGGAGGGTTGGGAGATGAAGAGGTGGTAAGTGGGGGGAATGAAATCATTATGGTGGAGCTGCAGTATGGCCAGGGATGCTCAATGGAGAACATTTGGCAAAGTCTGGAGACATTGTTTTGGTTGTCAGAGCTGGGCAGAGGCCAGAGATGCTATTAAACATGGCACAGTGCACAGGCCAAACAACCCCCAAACAAAGACTTGGCCAGCTAAAATGTAAGCAAGGGTGAGGATGACAAACCCTACTCTAGACCTAACTTCAGTTTAACATGGAAAAATATTCTGAGAATAACCCTCCTTCCATCCCACAGGGTCACTTAATTCAGAGAGGTTCACAGCTGTTGGGGACTTCAGAGTGGTCATCCATCACTTCTAGTTCTTTAGGTACCAGCCAATGCATTGTTCTGATCATCACTGTGGCCTTTCAGGTCCCCAGAGATGCACACCTCCTGACCTTTCTGACTTGTCTTTCTAGTACTCTTCAACACTCAGCATTAGCCACACTAGCACATTCTTCCCACAGGGCCTTTGTATGTGCTGCTGTCCCTGCCTGAAGCCCCAGATATCTGCATGGGTTTCTCCCTTGCCACTTTCAGGTCTTTGCTAAAAGGTTACTTTTCCAAGAAAGCCTTCCCTGGCCACTCTATTTAAAATTTCAGTCCCACGTCCACCCACCACACTATTGCTCTTTTTTCTCTAGGTACTTTTAGCCATAAGACATGCTACATATTTTATTTGGGTATTTGTTTATCATTTCACGTCCCTCTCCAGCATGTAAAGTCCAGGAGAGTGAGGGTATTCACCTGCCTGTCCGCTACCGTATCCTCTGTGCCTGAAATATATCTGGGACATGATAAACACTAAATCAATATTTAATGAGTAAGTAAATATCTAAATGTTTCAAAGACCAACAACAGCCAAGAGATGAATTAAGTACCAATTTTGGTGATAGATATGGTCTTAAATTTGAGTTTCACCACTTACTGGTTGTGTGACTTTGGGCGAATGATCTAAACTTTATAGAGACTTACTTTGCCTCATATATAAGATGGGGACCATGATACCAAGTATAGTGCCTGGAACCTAAATCTTCATAAATGGCCATTGCCATCATCACTACTATGGTCATCACCATGGCTACATCATCACCATGGCTACCATCATCGCTAGCATCATTTTCATTATTGTGATCACCATGATCTTCTAATGCATTCCCAAGACAGACTCTTGCCAACTTTACCTTAGGAAAAAAATAGTAAACGACACTAGATACAGCTCTTAATGTCTTTTCTTGGCCACTCCCCACTATAGACAGACTTTCCTTCCCTTATTGACTTATTCAAATTAATTTTCACAGTGAAAATTATGAGCCAAAGGAAATCTTGTTTTACTCATTCATTTATTCCTTTGCTCAACATCTGTGGATGTTTCAGGAATAATGTTCGATTTTAGGAATCAAGAGGTAAGTAGTATTTGGCCCCTGTCTCCATGGAGTACACAAGTTTAAAAGCAGTTTTGATACTGTATGGCAGATGCAAAGAGGGCTGGATACACATATGGGAAGGCCTCCTAGACAGTCTAAATGGGAGTGAAAGTGAAAACAGCCTTCTGAAAATGAGATTACAATCCAGGTGTGGGAAGGACACTGCAGGCAGAGGGAATTAAAGGCCCAGAAGCCTGAGCCAGGATGACCATTCTGGCAACCCTAAATAATTCAGGGTTGAGAGCAGAGCATTCAAGTGAAGTGAGAAGTAGCCTAGGCTGGATCAAATGGAAGACTTTGTAGCCAAGTTAAGGAGTTTGGGGAACTGGGGCAGGGGCAGAGGGCATGGGGAGAGCTGGGGATTGCAGAAGATTTAGAAGGTAGCACCCATAGGCTGTGGAGATGGGTTAGATACACGAATAGAGAGGAATTGACAATAATCTTGAGGTTTCTGACCTTAACATTGATGTTGGTTGCATAGTGGTGGTGTCAGTGAAGGCAGGATGTGAGAACCAACAGGTGATTGGGACCAAATCCAAGATGTGGAAGTCTGTTTTAAGAGCCCATTGACTCTTGGGTCTGGAGTCCCCAGAGATGAGAAGGTAGACAGTAGTTAGGGACATAGAGCTACAGAGACAGTCCATCTACCCTTGGACAAAAGCTTTTATCATGCTTTCCCCACGTGATTAATTTTTCTAAAGGTCACTTCGGAAGGCCTGCCAATTTTTGAAAGCTTATTTTGGATTAAATTGCATGTTTGGCAGGAATCAATGATTGAAATGTAATGAGTTTAACTGAGTGTCTCCTTTAGATAAAAATCTCTGCCAGTGTGTGGTGTTCAAATCGCTTGTTCTCTGATTTCCAATGCAATTAAGGAATGTAAAACCAGGGGCCAGGGATATAGCCCAGTGGTAGAGGGCTCTACCCCTAGCACTGCCAAAAAATAAGCAAAATCGATTGACTATTTCTGTAGCCTCAGGTCTCTAAATTATGATTCAAAGAACCATGAAGTTGCCATTTTACCCTGGTTAAAACAGAGCTGTCATTGGGAAGAGCCTTGTATTCTCATGGGGACAGGAAAGTTTCCCTAGACTTGACCACTGGCTGCACCATTTTTGGAAGGGTTGAGGTGTGTGCTGTGTTGTGCAGTGTGGCTCTGCACCCTTCAATACTTTAATTGATGGTCCAGGACTGAGTTTTAGGGCCACAGCAAATAAGAGAAGATGACTTGATAATGTGACCTATGCAGAGTGTTAGTTTACAGACCACATCAAGCAGAGTAGGGCTGCAGAATGCTTGACCTTTCCTGGTGGAGGAAACCCTGAAAATGGATGCATGAGAGCAGCCTGATGCCTTGCGAGGATCAAGGATGTGCAGAACGGGATGGAGGAGTCAACCAATAAAACGTTGGTTGACTCCTCCATCAACTGTTAATAGCCTGAGGTAGAAGGAAGTCAGAGGCTTGGAACTCTTTTCATGTGTTTCCCCTATTGGATGGATGGATGCAAATATCAATCAGATATTCCTCCTGGGAACTGATTCATGTTGCTGTGGAGTGGCTAAACAACCCAGCTGGGGAGGTCCCTGGGACACAGGAGGACTGAATTGTTGATGGGATCACATCCCCAAACATCGCATCCAAGTGGCATGTCTCAGAGAGAATTATCAAATGAGAGGAGACACGGATTGAGGTAGGAGCTTTGGAAGGTATGGATTTCTAGCAGGGGACATAAACGCAAAAGCTATGGGGGAGAGTAGAGGTGCGAGTGGGCAGGACAGGGAAAGATAGTTGGGAAATCAATGGCCATGCGCTCTAAGGGAAATCATTACTCAGTTCTGAGATGCACCTGTACTTCTAGATCTGATTTTTAAAGAGTTGATATCGATTCAATTACAACTGTGAAGTTCCAGTTTTTAAAGCACTGTGTAGGTCTTAGTCCCCACTGCTGGCCGTCTTTAGTCCATGGGATTCCTGTTACATTCAGGGTTAAGGGAAACAGGAAAGAAACAGAGAAAATGTGAAAGGGGAGCCAGGGAGATCAGAGGGAACCAGGTGAGAATGAGCTCAGGACCAAGGTGGCTGAGGGTCTGTGGGTGAGGATGCCAAGGTCTAGGAAGGCAAGGGTTGGTCAGTGTTTGGGAACTAGACGTTCTTTGAAAGTTACCCTGAGCCAAATAGTCAAGAAAGTCAAGTATGGAGACTTGTGGTCTGTCTAGGTACCACAGGGACAAGAGAAGATGGGAGCGCATGTTTACTAAGCAACTCCCTCATGTCGGGTTACAGATGCTGTGCTATTCAGTCCTCATAGCAACTGTACCACTTTTCGTACTCCTACCTCACAGAGAAAGGACACATACTCACCCAATGTCTAGTTCATGGAGGAGCAGGGCTCCCACTCAGACTTGCCTGACACTCCATGCAATTCCTACTAAACCTAAAGTCTGCAGGACTAAGTTGTATGATTCAGATTAAGAGAGGCTCTTAGGATTCATCAGTACTTGCAATGGGGTGTTTGGTAAATACTGATATCAACAGCCATGAATTCTGAAGTCTTCTGCTAACTCCACTGCTCTGGCTGAAGACTTCTCATCATGGAAATCACTGGAACAGGATTTCTTACACTTTAAGGCAAACCTCAAGCCTCAAGATGTGCTTGCACTGGCCAGGGAATCCTTGTGCAGGAGCCAAGCCAGAGAGAAGGCCGCTCAGCTCTGGCAACAGAGAGACCCCTCTATGGGGCCAAACCTAAGCCATTTGTTCTGCCCTTTTGGCACCCAACATACAGAGTTTAGACAATTTAGTGGTGTGAGCTGTGTTTTGACAAGATTCTCACATCATATGACAATCCCAGTTTAAAGTGTAAAGTCCTTGAGTGGAGAAACAAGGACTTTTTCTCTGGGATGCCCTTGAACCCTAGTGCTCATCCACAGTCTGGCACGAGCAGAGCTGAGTGGAAGTGGAGTTATTAAGATCACAATGAGTTGGGTGCTGGTGGCTCACTCCTGTAATCCTAGCTACTCAGGAGGTAGAGATCAGGAGGATCTCGGTTCAAAGTCAGCCCGGGCAAACAGTTCGTGAGACCCTATCTCAAAAAAAAAAAAAAAAAAAAAAAAAAACCCATCACAAAAAAGGGCTGGTGGAGTGGCTCAAGGTATAGGCCCTGAGTTTTCAAGCCCCAGTATGCAAAAAAAAAAAAAAAAAGCACAATGATAACAGCTTCTGCCTGTTGAGAGCCCACCTGGGGCTGGTAACTGAATATTCAAGGCCACTGTCATCACCAGGATGTCACATTGTCTCTTCATACAAAAAGTTACCAGCCTCTACAGAAGAGGAAGTGAGCGATGGTAATGACAATGAAAGCTTCCTGGCACTGTGCTAAGCACAATTTCTCACTCAGTCCCCACAGTAACCCCAATAGTTACATCATGACATTAAATCCCCCATTTTGTAGGCAAGTAAAGAGAGGCCACTTGCCCTAGTTCACCAGACAGGTAAGTGGCAGAGCCTAGCATTTGGACATAGGACTGTGAATCTCTAAAGGTTACCTTCACCTGTAAAGGGCTGTAAAGGGTTAGAGGGGGGCAAACAGAGAGGGGAGGAACAGTAGGACAGCAGCCCAGAGGAAGAGAGGAGAATGTGGGCAGAGGGGCTGGTTGGGAAAGGGACAGGAACCAAGATGGGAAAGGGACCCTGCCTCCCTGCTCTGCTCATCTCAGGGCCTGGACACATCTCAGGCCTGGCATACCCTGGAAGCAGAACCTGGGATCTGATATGAAGCCAGTCGTTTCCCATGAGTAGCTCTGAAGACAAGAATCTGACTCCAGTGTTTGCACCTGCTTTCTGAATCTTCAGATCCTTCCATGTGGGATCAGTGGTCCCCACCTGTGCTATATGACCTTGGGCAATTAACTTCACCTCTCTGGGCTTCTGTAACCTCAGCTCTAAAATAGGAGATGAGCAGAGCCCCCATCCCGGGTTAGGAGGATCAAATGACTTGACAGTTCATAAGGTTCTCAGGACAGTAACTGGGACACGTTGAGCACTCACAAAATGAAAGCTCTTATGAAAATCCCTCAGGCAAGGATGGTGCCAGTGGACATGGCAGAGTCAGGAAGGTCTCATAATCCTTTCTTCAGAACGTGTGCACTCTTGTCATCTTTTATTGCAGGAACACACAACCCAGCTTGGTCAAGATATTCATGTCCATTTTACAGAGGAGAAAACTGAGCCTCAGAACAACAAAGACAACTGACCCGGAACCCTGGATCCTTGCCTTCCATGGGGCAAGGAAGCCATACAAAATCTGTGTTAACTGAATCTGCATTGTGGTGACAAAATACCTGATATAAACAATTTATGGGAAGAAGGATTTATTTTGGCTCATGGTTTCAGAGGTTTTAGTTCATGGTTGCTTGGCTCCACGCAGTTGGGCAGAACATCATGGTGGTGGGAGTGTGTGACAGAGGAATTTCTCACGCCCTCACAGACAGGAAGGCTAGAGGGAGACAGAGACCAGGGGCTAGTTATGACCTTGAGGACCCGGCCCCTAGTAACCCACTTTCTGCAGCTGGGCCCTGTCTCCTAAAGTTTCCAGACCTCTCAAAATAGCGCCACCAGAAAGGGACCAAGAATTCAACACTTGAACTGGAGAGAAATATTTCATATTCAAACCATAACACTCCATCCTTGGCTCCCCAAAGGCTCCTGGCCATCTCCAAGAGTCCCCAAAGTCTTAGCAGTTCCAATTCTGTTCTACAATCCAGGTTCAGAGTCTCCTCTGAGGCTCAAGGCAAACTTACCTGTGAATCTCTGGAAAATCAAAAACAAGTTATGTGCTTCCGAGAAGATGGCACACAGTACACATTCCCATTCCAAAAGGGAGACTGGGGAAGGAGGGGAGTACATGAGACTGTGGGAACACTTCATATTCAAACCATAACCAACCCAAGATGAAATGCCAAGATGCACAGCAACTAGCTACTAGTTTAACCTTCTTGGACCTCAGTATTCCATCTGGAAGATGGGGATAATGTCACACACATACACACACACATATATATATATATATATATAATTTTTAAAATTAATAAACATGTATTCTCATGTTTAGTAATATATGAAACTTCTCTGGCCTCCAAAAGCTTCTCTGGGCCCCAGAAGTAAGGAGGCAGACATCATCCTCTCCCTGCCCCCTATAATGGGACACTCACGGAAAAGCACCATGAGGAAACGAGTCTCGTTCAGGGTCTGGGTCAGGCCGGCAGGCGTCAGCACCAGCAAGTTGCGCTCCTCTAGGATGTGCAGGGGCTCAGGAATGTTGATGCTGGGATCACTGGTGTCCATCTCTGGTAAGCTGTGGACAGTGGAGACACAAGAGGCGACCAGCAGCAGTAGGGGTGTCCAGAGCAGTTCCATGGCTGACCTGCGGAGGCAGCAGAGAGAACAAAGCCCTTAAAGCAAGAGGTGGCAGGGGTCCTCACTCTCTCCTCCAGGCCTCTACCTGTGAGCACTGTGACCTGAGCATTGCTCACTGAGCCCCAGAAATGCCCAAAGCTTGACAGTTGCCCTTGGGCTGAGGTTGGCCTAGAACCTCATCTCTTGCTGTGTGGGAAAGCTCAGAGTCACAGGGCCCCACTGTGGAGCCACCAGACTCCCAGCCACTAGGTGAGACCTTTGCAGAAATGGAGTTCCATTCCAGGGCCCCAAAATGAGCCTCTGAACCAGGATCCTAGGATCCCCTCTGCTAACAATGCCCCTGTTTCATGCTCCTCCTGATCCTGCTTGGATGCCCCTGTGACAGGGAGCTCACTACCTTGCCATGTACCCCATTTGGTTTTGGAAATGTTCTCCAGTATAAATATTTTCTTTAAAAGTTATAACCATTATACATACTTATAAATTTTCCAAATGGTACAATAAAACTGTCGAGTGGAAAACAAAAATCTATAATTCAACATTCAAGAATGCTGCTAGCAGCTTGGAATGCATACTTACTGATGTTGTAAAGGCCTATAGAGACATATCTTTGGCAGCAGTGGGTTTTGAACTCAGGGCTTTGTGTTTGAAGATGCTCCACCTATCCCTTGAGCCACACTTCCTGCCTTATGGACATAGCATTGAATGCACAATTTAAACCATAAATGGAATCAGATTACACAGTGTGTGGTGCCTGACTCTCTCTTCTTAACACTGGATACGTGTTACAATCCTCTGGGGAGATTTAAGGACATATTTAATCTCAGCCCAGACAACCTTAATTCAGAATAGCCAGGACAGGGCCCAAATATCTATATATCCCAAAAGTTCCCCAGATGATATATTTTTTTGCTGTTGTTTTGTTTTAACTTTTTACTTGGGAAAATTTGAAAACACATAAAAATAGAGGAATGATATGAGGTACCCCAAAATAGCCAGCCCCTCAACTTCAGTTCTTGTCACAACAAATTCTTTCATTTATATTCCTATAACTTCTGCTCTGGATTATCTTTTTAGTCTCAGGCATTATAGATTTCTCCCACGAATATTTCATTATGAATCTCTAAATGAAAAGGATTTTTAAAAAAGAGCACATAACTACAATACCATTATAGTGAATGAAATAAGCACTATCACAACCAAACAATACAATAGCTGTGCCAAGTGGAAACTTAAGATCAATCCCCCAATTCCACCTTCTTGTCATCAACTATCCAGGCAGTGTGCAAATCATGCTCATTGTTTCATAAATTTTAAGTCTCTTTAAACAAGGATACAAATGAGATTTGTGTATTGTCATTGGTTGACTGATCCTTTAAGTCTCTTCCAGATAATTCTATATGGTTTGTAGCTCAAGAACCACAGGTCAAATTAAATCAACAAAGGTGAGTGGAGGTAAGGATGGAGGGCAGGATGGACAGCCTTGCTTTCTGGAATGCTGAGTGATGTATAAGATTCAGATCTGTGTCTCAGCCAACAGGCTCATTTCTGCCACCTTGGCTTTAAGTGTCACTGATCATCTATAGTGTCCCAGGATCCAGCAGGTAGCCTGCCAGTTGTGGTCTCAACTGGGTATGGTACAGTGCAATGACTATTGCATGGAACTTTGATTTTAGAACAAATTCACTTGTTTGCATATTTGTTCATTGAGGTATTTACTTGAGAGGGAAACAAGCATCTAAAAGTTTGCATAAACTGATGACTGGATCAAGAAAATGTGGTATATATACACAACGGAGTTTTACTCAGCCATAAGGAGTAATGATATGTGGTTTGAAAGTAAGTGGATGCAATTGGAGGACATCATGGTAAGTGAAGTTAGCCAGGTTCAGAAAGACAAAGGCCACATATTTTCTCTCATATGTACAATATAGATAAAAAACAAATATACACACAAAAAAAGCATGATTATATATAAACTCATATGTAGAACATGTTTGTAATATTGGGATTATTTTATGGAACTTGGGGAAGGAGGGAAAGGAGAGAGAATGATACAGCATCAACAATATCATAAAATATAACACCTGGGAAGGTAGAGGATATAAGGATATGTACTGAAAGCTGCTGAGAAATGGGGGCTGAGAGGTAAAAGGGTAAGGGAGAGTAATGGAAAGGGGTCTAGCAGACCAAAGTAAAGTATACCCAGAGCAGGGGTAAATTGAGAAACCCCTTTGAACACTGACTTAAATATCAATAATGAAACCCAGTAGTGTGAAATAGGTACAGTGTGTGTGTGGTACTTATGGGAGGAGAGAGGGGGAATGAAGGAGAGGAAGCTGAGGGAATATGGTTGATGGATTTCATATACTTCTATGAAATAGAACAAAGAAATCTCTTGCAATTGCTTTAAGTGGGGCAGGGAGGGGATGGAGGGGGAGAGACGGTGAAGGTGATCTAACCAATGTATAACATAAGCCTATTTGGAATTGTCACAATGAATCTCCCTGTACAACAAATATACCCTAATAAAAATTTTTTTAAAAGTTTGCATAGATGGAGACATCAGAGAATTAGAGTGTTAGTTTTTATCCTACAGAAATTTGCCAGAATGACCCTTTCTTAGTTATACCAAACAAGGCCACCCAGAACCTTCCTAGGCTTGACATTGTGTGTTCCTTCTGCACCTCCTTGGTACTTAGAATCCCTTGCCTGCAGGAAAAGTCCAGGCTTCAAAAGTGCCAGGGGGTCTTCTGGAAAGAAACCATGAAATTCAAGGTTGTGACAGAGCATCAGTAATATCGTAAGACATAAGGATGTGTATTGAAAGCTGATGAGAAAGGGGGTTGGGAGGTAAAGGGGTAAGGGAGAGTAATGGAAGGGGTTGAATAGACCAAAGAAACGTATACCCACAGTGGGCAAACACTGTCCCTTTGGACATCAACCTAAATATTAATAATGAAAGCCAGGACTGTAAAGCAGTGTGCATGTGTGTGGGGGTACTAGGAGGAGGGGGGGATGGTGAATGAAGGAGATTAAGGTGAGGATATATGGTATATGGACTTCATATAGCTACATGAAACAGAACTAAGAAACCTCTCGCAATTGCTTTAAGTGGGACAGGAGCAGGTCGAGGGGGAGAGATGATGGGGCGATGTAACTAATGTATAATAGAAGTCTGATGGGAATTGTCACTTTGAACTCTCCCCACGTAATGAAAATATCATAATAAAAATTATTTTTAAAAAAAGGTTATGTGGTCCTATCTGAATGACACTTGCTGGAGGAAAGAGGATCCTCTGCTGGTGACCTTGTCAGCTGCAGAAACTTCAGGAGAAAGTGCTGCTGGCCAGTTTATCCCAGGAGGATGCATATAAATTAGCTTATCTGAATATAAACCAGGCTGCAGGCTAGGGTGGGCTCACCCTCACTGTGCTCCTTCATGGGCCTTTGACACAGCCAAACCCAGCGATTACTGATCCATCCCTGGGGAAAGGGCAGTGGGAGGTTGAGGGTCTCCTGCTAAGCTGGGCAGGCTGGATCTTGAGCCTAGAAACCTTCTAGTAATCCAGGTCTCCAGGGTGGAGATCAGGCCTACCAGGTGGTGAGGAAAGCCCTCCTCTAGCAGCCTTCTGTCATTCCATCCTTCCTGCTGGCTCATGTGTTCAATCATTTATTCATTTATTTATTCATTCATTCATCTGTTCATTTGTGTGTTCATTCACCAAACGTTTTTGAGGTCTTGATACATGCTACTTGCCTTTCTAGGTGCTAGGGACACAGAAGTGAACAAAACAGACAAGAGCCTTGGCTGCTAGCAGTGGGAAACAGGGTTGATGAGACAAACAGGTACAATAAAAAGTGAGTCAATGCTGATGAGTGCTGAGGGAGAGAAGGCAAGTAAAGGAAGATTCCAGAGTGATGGGGGGAGGGGACCCTTAACATTTTAAACAGAGTGACCATAGAAACCCTATTCAACAGCAAAGACATTGACATTTCCAGGGGTGGAGAAGGGGTAAGCCTCCCTGAATCCCATACCCCTTGCAACTTCTCTTGAGAGCACATGGAGCCCCAGGGGGCTTTGCATCATTTCTGGGGTCCCCTCAAGCTCTAGATCCCATGCTGGCTCAGCCCTGGCATCATGCCCTCAGTCACTCTAGCACCTCCACTTTCTTGTCTGGGCTGTGGACAGCATTGTCCCAGCATCTGCTCGAGGGGTAGGCATCTCCTGGGTCCCCTTTGGGATCCCCTCCCCCAGGGCACTTCCCAGTCCTACAGAGGTCAAGCCCAGCTCTGATGTTTGCCTCTAATTCCAGGGAAAGGATGAGAAGCTTTAGTAATAAGAAAAGCTAACATAGAGGGGTGTGTTACAGACAGCCAGTGTCCCAGCTCAAACTGCGTTCTCTCCTTCCACATTCCACGGAGACCCCTTGCCCCGGCTCCATTGTCTCTTGTCCAGATGGATCCATGATCTATTCACTAGTCCCCCTGCTTTTACTCTTTACTCTCCCCCAACCCACACTCCTGCCAGGATTAGAGATCTCCCTTTTAAACAAGAATGAGGTCACACAACTCTTAAAAGGCCCCAGTGGCTTGCTGCCTCACATGATCAATCCAAACTTTGTACTGGGGTCTCTCAGGTTCACTGGCTCAGGGCCTTGTCCTTCTCCACACCCTACCTTACCCTCTTGGCTCAGTCCCTCATTGGCTGTGGACAGCCACCCTGGTCTTCTTCCCACTCCTCCTTGGGACCTTTGCTCTGCCTACAGCATGTGTGTATCCCACTAGCCTCAACCTTTTCTGGTCATTCAGTTCCCTGCTCAATTCTGTCCAGTCAGAGGTGGTCTTTCCAGGCCTCTTTACCTCACCAGCCTCTGCTGTGGCATTCTGTCATGTCACGAGGGTTTGCTCCATAGTTTTGTACTTTAAAAACAATTTTTTTTTTTGAAACACGACCTCACTATATAGTCTGAGCTGGGCTGGAATTCAAGATCCTGTCTCAGGCACCTGAGTGCAGAGATCACAGGCACTACCACCAAACCCGCTTTTTAAACTTCTAAATGAAAATTTCTTTGTTCATAGCTGTTTCCCTGACCTAACCATTAGTGTCAGTGTGTAGCTCTCTTAAATTTATGACACTGCAGAGGGAAGGCTGCCAAGACAGGGGCTTGTCAGAGTTGCCATTTTCATAGACACTCATACCTGCTGGAACCTGGGTTAGTTTCAGGGTTGCCTGGACCAACCTGGCAGGGCAGCAGACTCTGTGGCACTGCAGGAGGGAAGTGGTGGCCTGAACAGGCTCCTGGCTCCCCCTTGTAATCAGAGTGAACCCGTTGGGTGTTCCAAAGAAATCCAAAGGGGCAGAAATATAGTCCCTTCCTGGGTACACTGAAGCCACAGTCAATTCAGTAGCAGTGCTCTAAGTTCTGGGGTTCTGGAGGGCCTGGGGACCCCAGAGAAGAATGGGCCATTGTTGAGTAAGAGGGGCCCTGCCCAACAGCCCCTCCCCAGAGGCCTTACCCATGGACACTAGGAACCAGAGTTTACATGGGGCGGGGGAGGATGGAGTGAAGCAGAGCAAAGCTTACTGTGGGGTACTGGGTGCCTATGGATTGGAGTTGGATCCAGCTCTGTCCTGACCAATGTGGCCTTGGGAGTGTCATTTGCTCTTGCTGACACTCAGTTTCCTCTCTTGTACAATGCCATGAAACTCACAGGGAGGGTGGTGGGGAGTTAAACAAATGATGCGCAGAATGAGCAGTGGAAGCAATAAATGCACTCCCCATCCTCTTCCCCTCCCTCCTGCCATCCTTTCTTCTTTCCCTGCCTCACTGGGGATGGAACCCAGGGCCTTCTACATGCTAAGCAAGCTGAGTCCCCTTGGTTCTCTCTTGACTCTGCTTCAATCACATTGACTCTTTGCCAGAGCATGACTATGTATTTGACAGCCATGCTCCTACCTCAGGGTTTTTGTACTTGCAGTTTCCTCTGCTAGGAAGCTCCTCAGCAGGTACACTCAAGGTGCATCTCCTTGGCTCCTTCACGTCTTTGCTCAAACATCTTCTTCCCAGTTGGCCTTTTCCTGACACTTTTTAAAAAATGATAATAGGTAGTCCTCTCTTAGACATTAATCCCTTCTAAATTCAATATCATTTCCTTTGCCTAGCAGGTAAGAGGCACCCAATGAATACATGTTGTATGAATAAATGAAAGGTTGCTACTGTCATCATCATGATCATCATTATGGTGACAGAGTTTGCAGCCTTTAGCTCTTTGCCATCTCAACACTTATCAAATTAAGGGTGGTAATGCTGAGATCAGACTGCTTGAAGAATGACTGATGAGTCCACCCACCTGAGAGTGGAGATTGTGTCTTTAAATTTGGCTGGAAATTCAGAGATGAGGAAGCTGTCTAGGGCTCTGTAGAGGACCTATGATCAAGCTTGGTGGGGAGGGAGAGGACATGCCCACAAGGCTGACCTGGCCAGGAAATAAGACAGAACTACAGGGGAACTGGATACGATGGGAAAAAATACCCAGTGTGAGGTTGGTAGTCACCCATTGCCCCTCTCACTAGGCAATTGGCACTTTGGTCCAATCCTCGGGCTAAGGAAGGTGCTCTGAAGACTAAATGAACCAAAGTTTTCACAGGTCCTGGCAATTGGGAACACCATCAAGTTTCCGGGCAATTGGGAACACCATCAAGTTTCCTGGCAATTGGGAACACCATCAAGTTTCCTGGCAATTGGGAACACCATCAAGTTTCATTTGGTTCTGGAAAAAAAAAAAGCCCCAAAATCAAATAACACTTTCACACACTTTGTACCCAGAATGTCAGAAATCAATTTGGACCCGTAGCACATGGAAGTACCACCACAATGTCTGTGCAGATAAAAATCACTGAATAAATACTAGGTGTTTACTTTCCACAGACTCAACAAATATTTACAGAACAGTGCGGCAGGCACTGTTAGTGCTGTGCAGAAGACTCAAAATCTCTATCTACCTGGAGCTCCTTCTCAGGCCTATGTGAGGAGGGGATAAATAAAGTGAAGAAAAAAATTCATGCAATGTTAGAAAGTGATGCTAAGGAGGAGAACTGAGTAGGAAGTGGAGGGGAGGAGATGTCAGAGGGGAGAGGCTTAGGCTCAGGCCTAGATGGCTGCTGGGATACCAGGCAAGACCTGCAGAAGGAAGGTTGAGGATCATGTGGAAGGAACAGTTTTTGCCAGCCGCAGGCAGGAAGCAGTGCCAGCGTGCAGAGGGACTTCAGAGACCACTGTTGATATGTGGGAGCATGACAAGCAGGTTAAAACTTCAGAAGCTTGAAGTTGCTCATGGTAATAGTGACACTTATAGACACTGGCAAATGCTCCATGTCAGGCCATCTGCGGCTACTGTTCTTAGAGCCACAGCTTCCCAGCAGCCCACTGTGAGCCAGGACCTCAGAGAACAAACAAGGAGACCAGTGTGGCTGGAGCAGAATAGAGGCAGGCTAGAAAATAGGCCATGGGACTCCTCAGACCCCATGTAATTTATTCTCGGCACATCTTATACTAAACTTATCTCACCCTAATGTTATCCTTTGCTGTTGTAAATTTTAAGACAAGAAGCCTTGGGGTGGTTGTACCTCCCTTATTGCTCAGATAAAAACCTGATTCTTGATCACACACTAGCCTGACCCACCCCAAATCCTTTCCACTCTTCGATTATTGGTGACCAAAAATCGCCAGGTTTTTCCCATTCCACCAGTTGGCACGATTTAAAAAAATGCCTTGAAACAAAGAGAGCACTCTCTCTGCTTCTGGCTTTCACCTGGCCTACCATGGCCTCTTGTAACTCCTTTCCCTAACTTTTAATAACTTTTATTTTATACATCTACATATCCTGCCTGGATGCATCCATGTTGGAAATAAGAATCTGAATTTTCTGTTTACCAGCAATTACAAAGAATGAACTCAATGAGAGGAGAAAGGATGGCAGGGAAGGAAATGGGGACTTGCAGGCTCTTTTAAGGACTATGGCTTTGACTCTGAGAGAAATGGGGAGCTGTAGGAAGCTTTTTATTTCTCTTTTAACAGCTTTATTTAGACAATATATAATTATTATTATTTATTATTATTTTTAGTAAATTTATGTTGTGGTGCTACCATGACTACCATCTAAATGTAGAATGGTTTCATCACCTCAAAGACATCCTTGTGATCTTGGCAGTCACTCCTTGGCTCATGTACCTCCCTCGTCCCAGCCAACCATTCTTTCTCATTCTCTTTTCTAGATACTGGAGGCTTGTGAGCAGAATACGGACAACGTTGAACTCAGTGTTATTGTCACTCTTGTATCCTTCCTATTAAAACAGAATAAAGCTCCCTTTTTCTTTTTGGATTATTAGGTGACCTACATTCCCAGGGGATGTGTCCACCACTTGGGGGTGGGGACAGCAGGCACAAGAACTGGGGTTTAGTCTTACAGGTTCTGTTGGTCATAGAAAAACTTGGCAGGGAGCCACTCTCCCTGACTCAGGGCTCCTGGGCCAGCTGAATGGTGAAGCTGGCTTCTGGCTCTGCCCCTGTCTTGGCAATGGCTAGAGCAAAAGTCCCCTGCAGAAGGCTGAGTCAACAACTCGCTTTCCCCAACGTCCTGAGGAAACAGAATTATAGGCCTTCAGGTCTACCCTTCCACTGAAGCACAGGACAGATGCCTTTTGCATTTCCTGGGTTCAAGAGCAAGGTAACTAGGCAAGAACTCCTTCGGGGACAGGTGTCAGTGCCCTGAGGTCTTTGATGATTGAGCCTGTGGGGAATGGCCTTGAAAATCTAAGGGAAAGAGGCCTTGGATTCTTGTTATCAGCTGTCAAGAATTTCAAGTCTGGAAGGCCAAGGAAAAGGCTTGAGGCAGAGTTTAGGGGAGATGAGGAGTAGGGAGAGGGACTAGGGGAGGGAGACCACAGAAGAGGGTGGGATCTAGACTTTCCTGGGAGGTGAGACTCGGAAGTCACTTTCTCCCTCTGAAGACTTCCTGTCTTTAATTGTAAGAGAGAGAAAATACAACATCTATATCTCATATGGCTTTAATAAAATAATGTTTATATGACATTTTCAACATGCCAGGTACACAGTAAGCCTTCAACAGACAGGAGTTTATGATGGGTGTTTCTTTTTGTGACATGTTACTGATGCATTATTGTTGTTGGTTGGTTATTGGTACCAAATTCTGTTGTTATTACCAAGAGGAACTTGGCAGAGGGAATGGGTACTGGGGACAGCCTCTAGTCCATTGCTTCTCAAACTTTCATGTGTACAAGGTATATCTAGGGATCTTGCTAAATTGCAGTCTCGTTCCACAGGTGGGGGTTGGGGTGAGGTTCTGTACTCGTCACAAGTTCCCAGGTGCTGCTGCTGGTTCAGAGATCACACTCTAAGCAGCAAGACACCAAAACAGCATTGTGCAGTATACCGCCACTACCCAGCTGTGGCTTCTGAGCACTCAAAACATGGTCTGTCTGAATTGAGGCATGCTTATAAGTGTAAAATGCACACTGGATTTGAGAGACTTAGTACAAAAAATGCAAAATACCTTTAATCCATCTTTTCAGATGGATTCCCTGTTGAGACAATATTGTTCATACACATAAGATGTATGATTATGGCTTCTTTTTAGTTTTCTTCATGAACGTTAGAAGTCATTGTAGCTCATATTTTATTTATACAGGACAGTGCTGCAGCCTGAGAAGTTTCTTTGGCTTTGTCAGTCCAGTTCAGGATTGACCAAAAGATGGTAGAGGCAACAGATAATAGAGGGCATTTTGAAAGTTGCCAATGGAATGAAAGGATAAATTTTTCAGGAAATGGATATGTCAACGACCCTGATCTCATCCTTATACATCGAAATGTCACAGATAAGCCATAAATATATACAATTTCCATGTGCTAATTAAAAATTTAAATGTGTTTTTCAAAGTTTTTTTTAATGCAGCAACAAAAATAAATGATATTAGAAGGCTTCCTTTTGGAGGACTAAATTTTGAGAAGTGGGCTCTGAGTTAACGATCTCAGATCCACATGTTATCAGTGGGTGCAGTCTCTGATCAGAAAATTTCCAAATTCTTTGTGTCCCATGTGGAAGCATCCAGGCAGGACATATGGGTGTAGTAAGAGAGGTAATGGTGTTTATTAAAAGTTAGGGAAGAAGGTTACAAAAATCCTTGTTGAGGTCAGGTGGAAGCTGGAAGCAGAGAGAGCTTCTTTCCCTTTCCAGGAAGCCTATGCTAACCGATGAGAAGAGAAGAACCTGGTAAATCCTAACCACCAATAATCAATGAGTGGGAGGGGCACGGGTGGACCCTGGGCTAGGGGTGGGGGGACGTTGTCCCCTGGCCAGGGTGTGAATAACCCACATCTACACACATTTGCTATTGAAAAGAAGACTCAGAAAGAGAAGAATGTTCAACCCGAAATACAATATTAAGTTGTATATGTTCTAAGAGTCCAGAACTTTCCCTAAGTCTAGCTTTCCTCACATGAAGCTGTGAGGGATGGACCTCAGGGTCAGAGAGGAAGTGACCAATGTCACAGCAGTGTGTTATACAGGTCAATAGGAGCTATGGTCACCTTCAGAGCTGACCACAGGCATCTCTCCAAAGCCCAGAATTGAGGACAATAGCCTCTCTCTCTGTTTGTTGACAGGTAGCTGTTGACCAACGACATGAGGCTGTGGTTGAGAGGCCTGGTCCTCCAGGCACTGAGGAACTTCAGGGGAGTCTGTGGGGTTCATGGGCCGCCACCACCTGTACCTGCCCCTCAGATTATGGCCACCTGGGAAGCCATCAACCTGGGGAAGAAGCCGGTGCCTGAGTACTTCAACTTTGCCCATGATGTGCTAGATGTGTGGAGTCAACTGGAAAAGGTCAAGTCCACTCTTACTTAGGGTCCATCTTGGGCACCTGAGGCTGCCCTCAGCTGCCACAGTGGGACTTAAGACTATAGGACAAGTTGACTTAAGCATTTTGACCTGGGAACTTTGCATGTGAGCCCCTAAGCCTTAGGGAAAAAACTGGGATCCAGTGTTATAAGCCATAAACTCCTTGCACAGTTCTTGAGGTGACTCCCATTCATGAGCCCAAATTGCACTACGTCTCCTCTGATTCCCTTCCAACACATCTGATCAAGTGGAGGAGGAAGTTTTGTTTTGCTGCTATTCTGTAATGTTTCTCTCACTCTCATGCAAGTCCCTTCTAAATAAGGAGAGGACAGAGCCCAGCTCAGCAATTTTCAAAGATCAGAGTGAAGAGGTGCATAGAACTGAATAGGACAAACCTGATTTTCTGTGTGTTTCTGCATGTTTCCGTACTTTCTTTTCTACATGTACCTATTGTGTATGTCTCTCTGTATTGTATTTGTTATATGATGTTAATAATCACTGATAATAAAGGAATATGAAGTTTTATTTCAGATAAATTTGCTTATGTTAATTTTAAGGTAAATTTGTCTAAAGGAAAAATAAGAATGATACCAGGGCTAGTAGGTACAGTGATATTGTACTGGTGGTGAATACAGTAAGACAGATGAAGGTCAAGTGAGGATGAATGAGACTCAAAAGCATCCTTTGCAATCACATAGACATGGTTTGTGCATGTATTTGAGAGTGAACTTGAACAAGTGCCTTAAGCTTTCTGGATCTCAGTTTTCTCATCTGTAAAATGGGAGTCATGGCATAGCATATGCAATTCAGAGTTCTGGTGAGACTTACATAAGAAGTGTAAGGAATGGAGCCAGGATACTACATTCTGTACTGTCTACAAAGTCTCAGCTCTTTTTTGTCATACTGGGGGCACACTTTGTGTGTGTGTATGTGTGTTTATGTGTGTGTGTGTGCAGGGCTGGGGAGGGGACCTAGGTCTTTGTACGTGTTATACAAGTGATGTATAACTGAGCTATATCCTCAGCCCTTGGTTTTTTGTTTTGTTTTGTTGAGACAGATTCTCCTTACATAGCCCAGACCAGATGCAAACTCCTGATTCTCCTGCCTCAGCCTCCTGAGTGCTGGAATCACAGGCATATCCACCAAGCCTGGCCTAGGGTCATGCTCAGAGGACTCTCTTAATGGTAAAAACAAACAAGTGGGAGTAATTTAGCAAAAATGGTGAAATAAAGACATTTCAAAATTCTCTTCCTTATATAAGCAACAATGACAGCAATGACCCCAGAAAGGCTGTGGGAATCAACTTCTCTTCAGTACTCTGGAAACTTGTCAGAGAGTACAGTAACCCAGGGAGAGTGTGTTATTAAAGGAATGGCTGAATCTCAGTAAGAACAGAAGCTTGGTGCCATGTTAACTTCTTATTTCCCACCCCACTTCCCAGATACATGGTAGTCCTAGAAAACAACTCAGTTCCAGTGAAGCCTGTCAGCCACAGAGGGAGCAGAATGGAACTGAAACTTTTCAAAGTTTTATTTTCAAAGAATTAACATGGTTTGACATGTCTGGTCATTCTTTGGAGGACCCCGTTTGCAAGGCTAGCTGTATTTGACCTGATTCACAGCTTAATCAGTAAGGAAAGTCATTTCTCTGGGGGTCATTTGTCAAAAGTCATTATAAGCCAATGTTTTAACCTGTGGTTGTGTGTGGTGATGGTGGTTTGGACAAACAAAAGACTAACCAAAAAGCTCCAAAAGAAATGCTAGGGAATGACATATCTCCAGGAGCTTTGAACGTCTCCAACACCTTGCTACATGCATGAGTGGGACTGTGTGGGTTCCAAGCAAGACCTCAGAAAACCCTATGCCCTCATCTCTGATTGATCTAGAGCTTTTGAGCAAGCAAGAAGTTAAGACCGAGACAGAGCTGCTAATTTGTACAGTTTCTTTTGAAGGGAATGGAAATATTTTGAAATTAGTGGTAATGATTGCACAACCTGTGGAATACACTACAATCCAATGAACTGTGAACTTTAAAGTAGTCATTTTTTATTGTTGTGCTTGGGATACATTGTAGCATTTACAAAATTTCTTATAATATGTTGAATATATCTTACTTGAATTCACCTGCTCCATCATTCTCCTTTATCCCCAATTTAAAAAATATTTTAAAAAAAAGAAGGGGTGAAAGAGGCTGAATATATTCATATTATGAGTACATATATTATGTTCTCATGTATGAAAATGGAAAAATGAGACCTGTTGAAATTACTCCAGGAATTGGGGGAGATGGGGATAAAGGAGAATGATGGAGGTGGTGAATTCAACTATGATATATTCTAAGAACTTTTGTAAATGTCACAGTGTACCCCCAGTACAACAATGGTATAATAAAATTAAAATAAAAAAGAAAATTGAAAGTTAAAATAAATAAAGTGGTCATTTTATGGGGTATGAATAATATTTCTTCTTTACAAAAGGGAGGATGGAGGACAGTGTAAATTGTGTGGTACCATTTGCATTAAAAATGTGGCATCTAAAAATATACATATGTTTGCCTAAAGAAACACTGGAAGGATATGCAAGAAACTAATAAAAGTGGTTATTCACTTAGGCAGGTCAAGTTCAGCAGGAGAGATAGACACAAGGAATTGTGCAAGCCTCCTCAGCATGGGTCTTTCTATATCACCCTGATTTTTGAACTCTATGAACATATAAGCATATTAACTATAATAAAAGATAAATTTTTAAAAAACAAGCAAACAAAAATCTTCAACAAATGGCTTCTATGTCTTTTCTGCCTATACCTCTGTCTAGGATGGGCACCGGCCCCTGAATCCTGCATTCTGGTGGGTGGATGGCACAGGAGCAGAGGTCAAATGGAGCTTTGAGGAGCTGGGGGAACAGTCCAGGAAGGCCGCCAATGTTCTGGGGGGTGCGTGTGGCCTGCAACCTGGGGACAGAATGATGTTGGTGCTCCCAAGACTCCCAGAATGGTGGCTGATCAGCGTGGCTTGCATGAGGACAGGTCAGTGAGCAGTGCTGGGGCTCCCGGTGGGGGGGGGGTTGTGACACTACTTGCCAGCTTTACAGAGTCCATAAGGTTTGGGAGATGAAGCAAAATGAATCCCATGCAGAGTTTTGTTTACTGTCCTTTTGCCCTATGACCACAGCTTTGGTTGTACCCAGGGGCCAGATACAAGCAGACCCACCTACTGAGGTCAAAGTGTGAGGAGCCCTTACACTTTTCCTTGGCACTTGCTATGTGCCAGGCACTGTGCTAAGCAATTTGCATGATTGAAACAATCATCTCATGTGTGATTTATTTATTTATTTGCCACCTAACTTTCCCCTCTTCCATCACACAGATTCATCTATTTCTTTGATGTCTAAATAAAATAACTCAAAACCATGTTCCACGTCACCATACCAAGTGTAGCTTCTGCTCCAATATTTTGAAAGATATCCATCCAACCTATGTCTTTACAGTCCTGTAGACACATGTTCTCATGTGTACTTGTCACCTCTCAGACTAAGGTATCTGAATTTTTTCTCTTGCTGACAGTGCTGGCTATCCACCATCTATTTGAGCCTCAAACTTGAATACAGACCCCAAAGCACAACACTCAAAACTCTGGGTGGAATGGACTTCTTCTGGAAGTAGCTAAAACAGAGAGATGGAATGAAGAAGTGTGCTATTCACCTCAAAGTGTTCATTCTAGGGTTAAAATCCTGCAAATTTGGAAGATAGAACAAAATGCAATAAGGACTTTGACTTGGATCTCATGCTACTTGGGATTGGTCTCTTCCTCTGTCTTCTGTCCTTTTGAACTGGATGTGGCAGGATGACCTGTTTATTTAGGACATGTTTATTTTCATATGTGAAATAAGAGTCTTGGTCTCAATGGAATACTTATAACCTGCACTCTGAGAGAGTTTTCATGTGTCTAATTAAAATTTATCCTTGAGTTCTGCCTCCTCATTGCTGCTCCCCTTAGAGAGGAGATAAAGTCAGCTACTTCTAGAATGGCTTTGGTTGTAGCAGTGTGGGAATACAGGACCTCCCATCTTCCATATGTTCCTTGGACCAGCAAGCAATTCACACCTAGCACAAGGATTCATTGGCATTTTTTTGAAATGCATGGACAAACCGTGGAACTAGTAAATCTAGGGCATTACAATATAACCAAGATCATAGAGTCATATGGTTACCACTGCTTGGCACAATTCCAGTTTTACATTTTAGCTATGTGCTCTTGGGCAAGGAATTTAATTTATTTAAGACATAAAGGTGTAAATGTTAGGCTTTCTTAAAATCTACAAAGTGGGCATTACAACAGTATTCACTTCTCAGGATTGTGAGAATTAGATAAAATAAGGTATGTAAAATATTTAGTACATGTAAATGCTTCCTACATATTTTCTGGATTTCATTATTATTGTTATTGTTATCTCTTCCAGCTCAGGCATTCTAGTCCTCTCCAGCCACTTCCTGCTCCCTTCTCTGGCCTCTGCTCAGGGGTCTTCCTCAACTCCTAAGTCAACATCCCCTCTCTGTTTGATCCCAGGTGTTGTCATGATTCCGGGTGTCACCCAGCTGACAGAGAAGGACCTCAAGTACCGACTACAGATATCCAGGGCCAAGTCCATCATCACCACCAACTCCCTAGCTCCACATGTGGATGCCATTAGTGCAGACTGCCCCTCACTCCAAACCAAGCTGCTGGTGTCAGACAGTAGTCGTCCAGGCTGGATGAACTTCAAGGAACTCCTGCGGTGAGTTGGTGCTCTCCAGGAGAATAACAATGAAATGAAGTCACAACATTTCCCCTTCCAGCAACAAGAGGTGAAATGCATTGCTGCCTGCTTACAAGGAGATTAAATCAGAGAGCAACACTCCCTTTGGAAGCCAGATGGACTTGAGACATAATCCATGTGACCACCTTCATGTTCACGGTCACTCACTCAGGCAGCATGCACCCCAGTTGCCTCTATAAATGGGGATATTGTTATTAGAGCTATAAACCAGAGTATATGAGATAACCTATATGACATATTTAGTATCTAGAAGGTGGTCAATACCTTCCAAGTATTGAGTCCTTAGTGTACACTAGGCACTGTGCTAGGTAAGCACTCACCTATATTCATTCACGCAGGAAGGATTTAATGAACATCTATTTTGTCACAAGCACTGTGTCTGGTGCTCAGAACACAAATGAGTAAGGCATTCTCTCTCTTATTTTATTTTTCTTTATTGATATATTTTTTGGTGCTGGGGATCAAACCCAGAGTCTTGTGTGTGCTAGGCAAACAGAGTACTACCGAGCTATACCCGCAACCTGATATCATCTTATTTAATTCTTGAGAAGAACTCTATGAATTGCAATTTAACACAATTTTACAGATGAGGAAACAGGCTTAACAAAATGAAGGGACTTGTCCAAGATGACAAAGAAGAGCTGTTAAATTAGGGTTAGGATAAAGCCAAAACCACATTTGCCTTGGAACAAGAACCTGCTGGAAATCTGTTTGGGATTTGAGACTGTCCTTACCTAAAAGGGACCCCTCAGAGGCTTGCATTATTGAGTCACAAATGTCCATCCCATAGAGCATACTCCCCAAGTACTAAATCTGACCTACTTTACATTAGCAAGGACCCTGGGAATCTATACTTTAAATCAGCCCATGTAATTGTGAAGAGCTGCTAGGTTGGTCAATTTTAGTTGCCATTAGAATTGTCTGAGGAGATTTAAAAAAGAAAATCAAGATTATGATTTTATGTTGTCCAAGGTTAGTTTTAAAAACTAACTTGGGGATGTTAAAGTGCAGCCAGGGTTGAGAACCATCAGATTCTCCAAATCACAAAATCTGAGAATTACCTACTCTTAAACCCCTAACTTTAGGGAAATCTTTAGAAAATAGCTCTAAATTATTAGGAATTAAACTGGGGATGAGGCTGTGACTAAGTGTGTGGAATTATGCACACGGACATGTGTGTGTTCCACCAGAAAATGCTAACATCCTAGAAAGAGAAGTGAGTCATTTAAACATTTCTAGCCTCAGTTTTCTTGTCTGAAAAGGGTTGTAATGGTAGTATTAACCCCATGAGGGGGCTGTAGACCATGCATGCTGGAACCCTCAATACAGCATCTCACACCCAGTAATTATTGACACAGTAGCCATGCTGTTGTTGCAAATATTATTGGTACTATTTGCTACTTTTTCCTATTAGGAGTACCAGCTTATATTTTTGCATTTTGCAGAGAAGCATCTACAGGGCACAACTGTGTGAGGACCAAGAGTCGAGATACACTGGCCATCTATTTCACCAGTGGGACGACGGGGAACCCCAAGATGGTTGAGCACTCCCAGAGCAGCTACGGACTGGGTTTTGTGGCCAGTGGAAGGTACTGGTGACAGGTTGTCTAGAAGGTCCAAGACTTGAGTAAGTGAGCAGAAGGAGGTGAATGAAGAGAAAGTGGCAGGAACTAAGGTCAGAGGGCAAATCAGAAAGGATCTTGAAGTTTTAGGCTTTACTTTGAGTAAGATGAAAAGCTTCTGGAAGAATGCTTACCTAGTATGTGCAAGACCTTGGGTTCTAGCACCACAAAAGAAAATAAAAAGATGAAAAACAACTGGAGAATTTTTTAGCTTGTGGCAAAATTGTATTTTAGCTAATACATAAAAATTGTACCTCTTTATAGAGTTCCATGTGATGTTTAATACAGTTGTACATTGTATAATGTTTAAATCAGGGAAAACACTGATATCCTCAAATATTTATTTATTATGAAAACATTCAAAATAAACCACTGTAAGTATGTAATTCACTATTGTTAAATGACTGTTTACATTGTTCTGCAACCATCAACATCTATCCTTAGAACTTTAAAAAAATCTGCCCAGATAGAAACTCTGTATCCATTACACAACTCTCCATCACCCTTTGCCCTAGCTACTGGAAACTTCTATTCTACTTTTCAATTCTATGAATTTGACTACTCTATGTACCTCATGTAAGTGGTTTTACATAGTGTATTTATCCTTTGCAATTATACCTTCAGTGGTATATTTGTCCTTTGGTTTTATTTATTATTTTCCTTTGGCAGTAGTGGGGTTTGAACTCAGGGCCTCACAATTGCTAGGCAGGTGCTCTACTGCTTGAGCCACTCTGCCAGCCCTATCCTTTGTTTTTATAACTTGGCTTCTTTTACTGAGCATAATGTCTTGAGAGATGAGCTCTCAAGACATTTCATCGCATGTGTCAAATTTTTCTTACTTTTTAAGGCTGAAAAATATTTCTTACACCCACACACACATACCACATTTTAAAAAATGCATCAGTCTGTTGGTAGACACTTGGGTTTTTCCATAATGTTGCTGTGAACATTGGTGTGCAAATATCTATTCAAGTCCTTGCATTACAATCGTAGCTATGCATCCAGAAGTGGGATTGCTTAATTACATGGCAACTCTATGTTGATTTTTTTGAGAAACATTGGATACTTGGAGCAGAGAAGTGACATCATCTTACTTTTCTTTTTAAAGGCTTGCTCAGGGTTGAATGAGTAGCTTGAATGGGTTGACAGTAAGCTTACAGGGGCAACGGATGAAACAAAGGACCAACGAAGGGAACAGTGCATTAATTAGAAATGGTGGCAACTTGCCCAGGGGAGTGTAGGTGACATGAGTCAAAAGAGATGAGAACTTGAATGTATTTTGAACAAAAATCTAATAAGATATTTTTGGTAATTTCAATGTGGAATAAGAAAGAGATGAGTCAATGATGGCTGTAGATTGTATGGCCTAATAAAGCAGAAGCCATAAATGATAGGGACGAGATGGTGGGAAGAGTTGTCCAGGAAGAAGAAAACCAAGAGCTAATTTTGGCATTGTAAACTTGAGGGTCCAATTGTACATCTTCATACCACTAAAGCAGAGATGTAGAGTAGGCATTTGGACATACATGTCTAGAGGTAATGGAGAGATTCATGCTGTAGTTACCAGCACACAGATGGTATTTAACACATAAGGCTGGATATGATTGCAAAGAGAAGGAGCTCTCAGGACTGAGCACCTGAGGAATTTCTGCACTGAAGGGAGAGACCAGAGAACCAGCATAGGATACAAAGAAATAGCAGCCAGTGAGGAGGAGGAAGACCAGGAGAGCATATGTCTTGACAGCCAAGTACAAAACATGACTGCTTGTCTGTCTAACTACCAGGCTTTCAGGCCCTGTTTCCCTTTCCTAGCTTCTCCATCTCTGCCTCTGTGATTCCTCTGAATCCTTCAAGACTACCTCACATGTCCAGAAGCATTGTTCAGACCCATCTCCACCTTTGCCCTGGGTTAAGTGTTTGTTCTCCATCATTGCATAAGACTTTGGGTTTATTAGAACGTGCTGTCCAGGGGTTTCCTAGATGTTTATACTCACTAAACTATAGACCCCTAGAAGTATAGTCATTTCTGTACCCCTAATGCTAAGTCCAGAATAAGTGTTGAATAAGAATGGCTGGAAGAAGAGTCCTTCTCACAATGTATTGAGATTATTTGTTCTCTTGTAAATGACTCTCACTAGACTGTGGATTCCTTGAAAACATAGGATCTATTATTTTAATTCTGCACCCTTAGCCTAGAGCAAAGGTACATGAAAGATACTCAATAAATGCCTGAGATAATAGGTGATTAGATGGTTCTTGTGTAGAGTTGACAAGCATAAGTGAGTGAGCACCCACTGCTGCCAGAGCTCCAAATAAGGAGGCATGGGTAATGTAATCCTTCTTGAAGTTACAGACATTGCTGAGGGTGCTGACTTTCTCTAATTTTTGGCAGGAGGTGGGTGGCCTTGACTGAATCGGACATCTTCTGGAACACGACTGACACTGGTTGGGTGAAGGCAGCCTGGACTCTCTTCTCTGCCTGGGCCAATGGAGCTTGTATTTTTGTGCATGAATTGCCCCAAGTTGGTGCCAAAGTTATCCTGAATGTAAGGAAACACCTCTTATATCTTTGGTGTAAATAAGATAAGCAAGGAATAGAACTCAAAGCTGTACGAGAAAAAGTGTGGACTAGTGATCATAGACTTCCTCTATGCTGATACTAACCTAAAAGCCACACAGTACCTTCCAGAATCTGGTTCCTGTCCACCTGGTTACCTTCAGACATTGTCTATGAGAGATCCCTAGACACAAGAGCATTTCATCTTTCCAAACCTTTGCAGATCCTATTTTTTCTATCCTCCAGGCCTTTCATTTCACCACCTTCTTTTCTATACTCCTGTTAAAACCCTAGTGATTTGTCAAAACCTTGGGTAAAATCAAAGTCTATTTCTGCTCTCCATGTGCTGTTGTTCATGGTGCTAGTCGTGAGTCTTTTGCCTAATAATAGACCTGGGATTCCTTCCCTGCTTTCCTGAGGTCTTCTCCTGGGCAGGGTGAATTGATATTGCCATGAAGGACACGTGACACCTTTCTTCTGTCCTCCACATCCTAATGAAATTCCTGAAAACATCAGAAGACCCATTTGCCCATGCTCCTTGCTTTGAAGAATGTTGTACCAGGTGATGCCTAACAGCATGGGTTGTACCATTAGTCAAACTTGAACTTGTATCCTTTATCTTTGCTAGTAGTGTGGCTTTGGGAAAGTTACCTAGCTTCCCTGAGTCTCACTTTCTACCCTCTGACAGAAAGGAAAGAATGAAGGAAGGAAGAAAAGAAAGAAGGAAGGAAGGAAGGAAGGAAAAGAAAGAAGGAAAACACATAGTTCTAGAGCACGATTTTGAGAATAAAATGATATCTGGCACAGGGCCTGGCACATGGAAAGTCTTTAACACATATTAATTATTATTATTAGTCAAACTTACTGTCTTGTTATTCACATAGGATTTGAATAGTCAGTGTGGGTCTTCTCCCTTCACTGCCTTTATTCCTGACATAGTATTCACTTTCTATCACTATGTAGTAAATTAACCCAAGGCCTAGAAGCTTAAAGTACAAACCTTTATTATCTCACAGTTCCTAATAGCCAGGAATCTGGAAACAGATTAACTAGGTGGTACTGGAGTAGAATCTGTCAAGATGTCACTAGAGGGCTGGAGATATGGCTCAAGTGGTAGAGCACCTGTCTGGCAAGTGCAAAGCCTTGAGTTGAAATCCCACTGTGCCTCCCCACACCCTGCAAAGATGTCGCAAGGTACTCCCATGTTGATAGTGGCATGATTAACAGAAGCTAAAAGAGAAGCAACCCAAGTGTCTAACAACAGATGAATGGGTAAACCAGACGTGGTATATGCATACAATGGAATATTATTAAGCCTTTTAAAGGAAGCATACTCTTACATTCTACAACATGGATAAGGATATTATGAAAGAAGCCAGGCATAGCAGGAAAAAAACTATATGATTCCATTTACATAAGGTACCCAGGGTAGTGAGATTCATAGAGACAGAGGATAGAAGAGTGGTTACCAGGAGTTACGGGAGAGGGTATTGTGGAGTTACTGTGTAATGGGTACAGAATTTGGGAGCATAAAGAGTTTTGGAGATGGATTATGGTGGTGGTGGCACAATACGTGAAACTATTTAATGCCATTGAACTAAATACTTAAATGGGCAAATGTTATGTTGTAAAGCGTTTATTCCAATAATAATTTTTTAAAAAAGTATCAGCTAGGACCATAGCATCTCAAAGCTTGTTTGGGGCAGGAAATCTGTTTAGATCTAGTCTTAGTGGACTTCAGGTACTCGCTGGTTATTGACCAGAGGCTACAGCTCCTTATCGTGTGCCCTCATCTGTAGAACAGCTCGGGTACTCACAACATGGCGACTTGCCTCCTCTAGAGTAACGCAAGGCAGAGAGAAGGCAAGAGCATCCACGACAGAGGTCATCGTCTTCACGCAGCTCAATCTGGAAAGTGATATCTATTCAAAAGTGCACTCCTGGTCCCAAAGGCCAACCTTGGTTCAGTGTGGGACTCCACAAGTGTGCAAATACCTGGAGGTGGAGGTCATTGGGGGCCATCTTGGAGACTGGATGTCACACATAGTTTTCTACTTGTCTGTTTGGATAATGAGAATATAAGATTCAGCTTACCTACTCCATCTCAATGAAGTCCTACTGTCGTGACTCTAAGAAGTTCTTTCACCTTATGTTTTTGTTTAGACTCTCACCAAGTTCCCGGTAACCACACTCTGCTCTGTCCCAACCATCTTTCGGCTGCTTGTGCAGGAGGATCTGACTAGGTACAGTCCATCTGTTGGTGCTTTGGGGCTCTGAGAATATGAATATATGGCATACTTACCCTCTCACTCCCACTTTCTTTCCCTGTCTTCCTGTCTTTGTTTTCCTATGTCTCCATTTCTCAGCTCTATCTGAACATTTGTTTCTTTGTTTCTATCTCCATCTGCTTTCTTATACACACATACACACACACACACAAACATACCGCAAATATACACACTCATATCTCTTGTAAACACCCCTTAAAGATGATGTTCTGTCCCTTGTGAATTCACACCAATATGGAATAGAATAGATTTAAGGCAGTATGAATTTTCAACACTTACTTATACACCCACTATACACTTGTAGAGTGTCTCTTCAGCAGTGTATCTGTTACTTCAATGGAATTTAACTTGATTACTATTAGCCAGCTATGAAATGGTTTTTGTGACTAGGGCTCTTAGGTCTGTTGGTACAAGTCCACCACAGCAGATGGATCTCCCAGTCCCAGACTAACCTAAGCCATTCATTCTCTGGATACCTGCCATTGGACACCCAAGAGAAAGTGACAACATACCATGGATGTCTCTCATCCTGGGTGAATCACAGCCATGTCTGCTGGCAGGGAAGGGCTTGTTGCTGGGTTATTGGAGAGAATTTTCTCACTTCTCAGGAATCCACTGACCCCAATTTATGTCCCCCTCTTCTATCCTCTCCCAAGGCAATGAGGACTTGTCCTCACATATTCTCAATCTTCCCAATCACACTCTCTGGCCATGTGATGCCTAAAAGAGGGAGTTCTTCCATGACTCTCAGGAATCTTTGATGATTCTCAGTGAATTCTTCTATAAGATATGAATTCATCTCATTCACCCATTTATTGTGACTATCTCCACATAATGGTTTTGGAAAGTAGTCTTTGTGTAATTTGTTCAAGAACAATCTTATTGAATGATATGTGGCAATATTAAGTATCTCAATCCAACCAATTTGATCCAAAGGGGGAAAAAATGATTGAGAGTGTATATGTAATCACTGAGTTTTTTTTTACACTTTGGATAATTTGTTGAATGGAAAGTAGTTTTGAAACTTAACATCTTCATCAGAATTAGGAGACTCTTAGAAAGCTAATTTTAGTCTTTTTAATTTTTAACTGATTTATCTTTTTCAATCAGATCATTATATCAATCAATATATTATCAATTTGTTCCCAGATAAGTTATTTTGGTCAACTCACCTGGAACTCACCATGTTATACCAAAATCTACCATATGAGGTTCTGATTTTTATCTCAAACTCAGATAGGATTGAATATTTCTAAAAAAATTTTTATTGGAAAATATTCACTATACAGGAGGGATTCATAGTGACAATTCCAATTAGACTTGTATTGTACATTATTTACATTGTCCCCATCGTCTCTCCCCTTCAGCCCCCTCCCCACCCCACTTAAAGCAATTGCAAGAGGTTATTTCGTTCTGTTTCATATAGGCATTTGAAGTCCATCAGCCATATACCATAACCTTAATATTCTTCATTCACACCCCCCCGACTGTATCCCCCTGCACACACACTGTGCCTACTTTCCAGTCTTGATTTTCATTATTAATATTTGTTGATGTTTAAAGGGGTGTCTCAATGTCTGCCCTCTGTTAGTGTGCTTCATTTTGGTCTGTTTAATCCCCCGATTGCTTTCCCTTACCCCTTTCCCTCCCACCCCTCATTTTTCAACAGCTTTCAGTTCACATTTTTATATCCTCTACCTTCACATCCTGTGGTATGTGATATTATTGTTGCTCTAGCATTCTCTTTTCCTTTCTCTCTTTCCCTGTGTTCTGTAAAGTAGTTCCACTGTTACAAATATGTTCTAAGTTTGAGTTTGTTTATGATCGTGCTTGTTCTTGTGTATATGTTTATCTTTGGATCTATCTTCCCTGTATTAGGGAAAACATGTGTCTTTTGTGTTTCTGATCCTGGCTAACTTCACTTAGCACCATGTCCTCCAGTTGCATCCATTTACCTTTAAACCCTATGTCACTATTCCTTTTGGCTGAGTAATACTCCATTGTGTATATGTGCCACAATTCTATGATCCATTCATCAGTTGTCAGGCAGCTGGTTTGTTTCCAGAGCTTGGCTATTGTGAATAGTGCCACACTGAACATCAGTGTACAGGTGTCTCTATTGTATCCTGTCTTAATGTTCTTTTGGGTAGATGCCCAGGAGCAGTATCACTGGATCATATGGCAGTTCTACCTCTAGTATTTTGAGGAAGCTCCATACTGTTTTCCATAGTGGTTGTACTAATTTGCATTCCCACCAGCAGTGTATAAGAGTTCCTGTTTCACCACATCCTCACCAGCATTTGTTGTTGTTATTACCCTTGATTATGGGCATTTTAACTGGGGTGAGTTGAAATCTAAGTGTTTTTTTGATTTGCATCTCTTTTATAGCCAGGGAAGTCGAACACTTCTTCATGTATTTACTGGCCATTTGTACCTCTTCGTTTGAGAATTCCCTGTTTAGGTCGTGTGCCCACTTCTTCACTGGGGGGTTGATTGTTTAGGGGCTGAGTTTTTTGAGTTCCCTGTACATTCTGGATATTAGTCCCTTATTGGATGGGTAGCTGGCAAAGATTTTCTCCCATTCTGTGAGCTGTCTCTTGAGCCTGGTGACTGTTTCCTTTGCTGTGCAGAAGCTCTTTAGTTTGATGCAGTCCCATTTGTCCATTGTTTCTCTTAGATGCTGAGCCTTTTGAGCTCTGTTTAGGAAGTCGTTCCCTCTACTTACCTGTTCCAGTGTATTTCCTGCTGCTCCTTGGAGTTGTTTCAGGGTTTCAGGCATTATATCAAGGTCTTTGATCCATTTTGAGTTGATTTTGGTATAGGGTGAAAGACAGGGATCTAGTTTCAGTCTTCTACATGTGGATATTTAGTTTATCCAGCAACATTTGTTAAAGATGCTGTCTTTTCTCTATTGTGTGTTTTGGGCCCCTTTGTTAAAAGTCAGCTAACTATAGTTGTGTGGCTTTATATCTGGGTCTTCTATTTTGATCCATTGGTCTATTTTTGTGCCAATACCATGTTATTTTTATTGCTATGACTCTGCAGTATAGTTTGAAGTTGGGTATTGTGATGCCTCCAGCATTGGACTTTTTGCTCAGAATTTCTTTGGCTATTCGAGGTTTTTTATGTTTCCATATGTATTTCATGATTGATTTTTCTATTTATGTGTAGAATGTCATTGAAATTCTGTAGGGATTGCATTGAATGTGTAGATTGCTTTTTGTAGTATGGCCATTTTCACAATGTTGATTCTACTGATCCATGAGCATAGAAAGTCTTTCCATCTTCTGATGTCTTCTTCAATTTCTCTCTTCAGTGGTTTATAGTTTTCATTAAAAAGGTCTTTGGTTTCTTTCATTAAGTTTTTTCCAAGTACTTTATTGTTTTTGAGGCTATTGTAAATGGGATTGTTTCCCTGATCTCTTTCTCAGTCTGTGCGTTGTTGGTATATAGAACAGCTACTGATTTCTGTATGTTAATTTTGTATCCTGCTACTTTGCTGAAAGAGTTTATGATTTCTAGTAGCTTTTTGGTAGAATTTTTGGGGTCTCTTAGATATAGGATCATGTCATCTGCAAATAGGGATAGTTTGAATTCTTCCTTCCCTATTTGAATCCCTTTTATTTCTTGCTCTTGTCTTACTGCTCTCACTATGAATTCCAAAACTATATTGAATAGAACTGGGGAAAGTGGACAGCCCAGTCTCATTCATTCCTGACTTTAAGGGGAATGGTTTAAGTTGTTCTCCATTTAGTATGATGTTGACTCTAGGTTTGTCATATATTGCCTTTATTATGTTGAGGAACATTCTTTCTATTCCTAGTTTCTTCACAGCTTTTATCATGAAAGGGTGTTGGATTTTTTCAAAGGCTTTTTCTGAATCTATTGAGAGGATCATGTGGTTTTTTTCCTTGCTTCTGTTTATATGCTGTATTACATTTACGGATTTACATAAGTTAAACTGTCCTTGCATCCTTGGTATGAAACTGACTTGCTTATGGTGTATAATCTTTTTGACGTGTTGTTGAATTCTGTTTGTCAGTATTTTGTTGAGAATCTTTGCATCTATATTCATTAATGATATTGGTCTATAGTTCTCTTTTCTGGTTATGTCTTTGTTTGGTTTTGGAATGAGTGTAACACTGGCTTCATAGTATGAGTTTGGTAGTGTTCCTTCCCTTTCTGTTTCCTGGAAAAGTTACAGGAGTACTGGTGTTCATTCTTTTTTAAAGGTTTGGTAAAATTCAGCCATGAATCCATCAGGTCCTAGGCTCTTCTTTGTAGGGAGACTCTTTATTACTGCTTCAATTTCATTGCATGTAATAAGACTATTTAAGTGTTTGATATTTTCTTGGTTGGTTATATGTGTCTAGGAACTTATCCATTTCATCTAGATTTTCCAGTTTACTTGAATATAAGTTTTCCAAGTACTCTCTAATGATCCTCTGGATTTCATTTGTATTTGTGGTTATGTCCCTTTTTTCATCTCTGATTTTATTAACTTGGGTCTTTTTCCTCCTCTGTTTTGTCATGTTGGCTAAGGGTTTGTCAATCTTGTTAACCTTTTCAGAGAGCCAACTTTTTGTTTCATTGATTCTTTGTATAGTTTGCTCGGTTTCAACTGCCTTGATCTAGGCCTGATCTTTATTATTTCTCTCCATCTGCTGTTTTTGGGTTTGGTTTGTTTTTGTTTTTCTAAGGTCTTAAGGTGCATCATTAGATTGTTTATTTGAGAGGTCTCTTTTTTTGAATGTAGGCACTTATAGCTATGAACTTCCCCCTTAGCATGGCCTTTGCTGTGTCCCACAGATTCTGGTAGGGTGTATTTTCATTTTCATTCAATTCCAGGAACTTTTTGATTTCTTCCCTTATTATTTTGGTCACCCATTGGTTTTTCAGCAGTATGCTGTTCAGTTTCCATGTGTTTGAATGTTTTATGGGGTCTCTTTTTGCTGTTGACATCTAGTTTTATCCCCTGATATGATACAGGGGATTATTTTGATTTTCTTGAATTTGTTTGCTTTGTGTCCTAAAATATGATCTGTTTTGGAGAAAGTTCCATGAGTTGCAGAAAAGAATGTGTATTGCCTAGTTGCTGGCTGGAATGCTTGTTGATATCAACCATGTCTATTTGGTCTAATGTGTGGAGTAGCTCTGAAGTTTCTTTTCTGATCTTTTGTCTGGATGACCTATCAATTGGTGACAGTGAGGTTCAGGTCTCCCACTATCACTGTGTTAGTGTCTGAAGTGCTCTTGGGGCCATTAGCATTTGTTTTTTTGTAAATGTAGATGGGTGCCTCTGTGTTTGGTGCATATTATGTTAAGGATTGATAGTTCCTCTTAATGAATTGTTCCTTTCATTAATATAAAGTGACCTTCATTGTCTCTTCTTATTGATTTTAGTCTGAAGTCTACTTCTCAGATATGAGTATGGATACTCCTGGCTATTTATGGGGTCTATTTGCTTGGAAAACTTTTTCCAGCCTTTGACTCTAAGTCAGTGTTTATTTTCTTCAGTGAGATGAGTTTTTTGTTAGCAGCATATGGTTGGGTTTTGTTTTTTAACCCAGTTTGCTATTCTATATCTTTTGATTGGGGCATTGAGGCCATTTACATTCAATGTTAAGATCGAGAGGTACTTGTTGTTTCCAGCCATTCTTGTTTCCCTGTTGTTTAGTTTTACTATTCCTTGTTTACTGATCTGCTTGCTCAAAAGTGTTTATTCTTTCTTGAGAATCACTGTAGTTTCTTCTTCTATATGTAAAAGTCCTTTAAGTATCTTCTATAGTGCTGGCTTGGTGGTCACAAATTCCTTTAGTTTTCCTTGTTGTGGAAGGTTTTAATTTCTCCTTTAATTAGGAAGGATAGTTTTGCTGGTAGAGTAGTCTAAGTTGACAGTTGCTTTCTTTCAGGGCCTGAATTATGTCTTTCCATGACCTTCCTGCATTTGGAGTTTGAGTTGAGAAATTTGCTGTTATTCTAATGGGTTTGTCTTTATATGTAACTTGTCTTTTCTTTTTTGCACCTTTCAGAATTCTTTCTTTGTTCTGTGTGCTGAGTGTTTTGATTATGATGTATCTGGGGGTGTTTATTTTTTGGTTCTGATGGTTTGGTGTTCTATAAGCTTCCTGTACCTGGGTGACTCTCTCTTTCTTGAGGTTAGGGAAGTTTTCTGCTATTATTCTATTGAATAGGTTGTCAGTGGCTTTAGTTTGTATTTCCTCTCCTTCTTCTATACCCATGATTCTAGGTTTGGTCTTTTCATGGTGTCCCACATATCTTGCATGTTCCATTCATATTTTCTTAGCATTCTTTCATGATCTTTTACTGTTTGTTCTGATTCCTCTACTTTGTCTTCTTTTCGTAATACTCAGTTTTCAACTTGCTCCACTCTGCTTGCCAAGCTTTTGATTGCGATATTTATTTGTGATATTGAGTTGTTTATTTCAGATTGATTATTTTTCAGGGTTTCCATATCTTTATTGATTTCCTGTTTTATATCCTGGATAGTCTTCTTAATTTCATCCATCTGTTTGTTTGTATTCTCTTTGAGCTCATATAATTGTTTATTCACATTGTCTTTGAGGTCAAATATTAACTTTTGTGTTTCTTCTTTGAGGTCATTAATCATTTTTACTATCTTTTTAATTCATTATTTGATAGCTCTTCTATGCAGGTGTTTGGATCCTTAGTCATGGAATTGGCTTTTGATGGAAAGCAGTTGTCTTGCTGTTTCATTCCGCATTGAGATTTATGCATCTGAAGTTGTTTTTGGTTAGAATTTTGGTCCTTATGCCCTTGTAGGTGGGACTTTGTATTTTTTTTTTCTCTTCAGGAGCTCCAGCAGTGTTCCTCAGCGGGAGGTATGCTGGATATGTTACCCCTTGCAGGGTTCTTGTTGTGGTGTCAATTGCCTCTTTTTTCCCCTCAGTGAGGAGACTGGAGTTCCTGCTCTTTGATGGGGCTTAGGAACTCTACTGTAGTTGCAGTGGGGAGCACTGGGTCTCTGTGCAGTGTGGTGGGCAGGCCTCTTAGAGTAGTGGATTGCCACTCAGTGCAGGAGCTGGGATTTCAGGTCCTGGGCAGGAGAGATGTGATTCTTCTGCAGGGAGGTGCAGTGTGAAGCACTGGGTTTCTGTGTGCCTTGGGGGACAGGGGTTCTGGTGCTGCCTGCAGAGTGGCAGGTTGTACCTTTGCTCCCCTCAGTGGGGAACCTGGCATTCTTGCTCTTTGACTGGGGAGTGAAGGCTCTCTTGCTGTCCGGGACAGTGGGGAGGCTGGGCCTCCATGCTCTGTGGGAAGGAAGCCTCCTGGAGCCAAAAATAGCAAAATCTGGAGCCTTAGGTTCACTTCACTTGGGTGTGTGGTGGCAGGCTCCTGGCACTGAGTAGCAAATTGAGGGTTCCCGTGGGTCAGCAGAGCTGGTGGGCTTGAATTATCTGGTGTCCACAAGGCAGTGGAGGCCCTGGAGTCTACTTGTGTTGGGGCGTGGGCTTCCAGGAGCCACTTCGGCAGCTGCTGCAGGTGCAGGGGATCCAAGTCTGCAGGTAGTGAGCGCAAGCCCTGAGGATTGCTTGCTGGCACTGGGCTACCAGGAGCCATGGCAACTGCTAGAGGCACAGAGGAATCAAGTCTTTGGGCAGCGGGTGTTCTGGGGCCTGCTTTCCAGGAGGGTAGTGCAGTAGTGCTGCAAGCATGGGAGACCAAATCTTTGGGTAGTGGGAGCCCTGGGGCCTGATTTCCTGCATGGGCTTCAGGGAGCACAGTGCAGTGGTTCTGCTGCAGGCTCAGCTCCGGATTGAATATTTAAAAAAAAAAAAATCTGTCCCCGAGGAACATGCCTGCAAAGTCAGAGGAACATGCCTGCAAAGTCAGAGGACTAGGGGCAGGTTATGCAGTTGGGGAGTTCATCCTCTGGTGCCTCTGAGGGTCCGGTCTTGAGCAGCAGGGTGGGCGAAGATGAGTCCTGACTCCAGTGGCCTTGTTTTTCTGCCTGAGAAAGATACAGCTTTCAAAGCCTGCGTCACTGTTTGACGGGAGGAGAAGCCCTAAACCCTGATGTGAGGGAGAAGTGGAAGAGCCAGACAGGCCTGGAGCTACACGAAGGCTATGGACAGTCTGAAACGGTGAGTGCTATGCCCCAGTTTTCAGCCCAGCAGAGGGAATCACTGACCTCCAGTACCTCTCCTTTTCTGACAGTCCTTTCCATAACACCTGTCATGGGGAACACTGGTAATGAAACTGGGTTTTCTTCCTTTTGGTTTGAAAGTAGCTTAAAGTAATTTCACAATTATACCACAACTAATGAAAACAGCTCTCCTGGCAGTTTTTCTCCATCAGAACAGCATACATCTGTTCCTGGTAGAGATCCAAATCCTAAGCAGTGTCCCCTAGAGTCATTTGGGCAGAGAAGTGGAGATCAATTGAATCTTTGGCTTAGTAAAACACTGAGTTCTTTGTGTATAAGTGCCCAGGAGAGTGCTTCATAAATGTTTGTTGACTACGGAGAGACAAGAAGAAGGAAAGAAAGGTAAAAAAGGAAGGAAGGAACAAAGGAAGAAAAGAAGGAAGGTGGGAAGGAGGGAGGAAGGAGGAAAGGAAGGAAAGAAGGAAGAAAAGAAGGAGGGAGGAAAAAGGAGAGAGGGAAAGAGTGATAGAAGAAGGAAGGAAAAAGACAAGGAAAGAAAGAAAGCAGGAAGAAAAGAGAGAACGGAAGAGAGGGGAGGGGAGAGGAAGTGAAGATGGAGAAAAAAGAAACAGATGACAGGTGAGAGAGAAGAGCATGGACCGGGAAAGAAGCTAAGAAGATGAGGCTTTTCCTTATTGGTACTGGCTTCTTTCCAGGTTCTAATCTGTGCCAATCTAAGAGGTATGATGATCAAGTCTGGATCCATGGGGAAAGCATCACCACCTTACGATGTCCAGGTAGGCAGCCTCTGCCCACTGTGGATGAGGACACCCTGGGGGAGCAAGGCTTGACTGGCGGGGTGGCCTGGCTCTGTAGATGCTCAGACACCATCCTGTAATCTCTCTATCAGATTGTGGATGATGAGGGCAAAGTTCTACCTCCAGGAGAAGAGGGGAGTGTCGGTGTCCGTGTGAGACCCACCCGACCCTTCTGTTTCTTCAATTGCTATTTGGTAAGAGGTAGGGAATAGCCGTTCTTGTAGGAAGAATATATCTATACATGTAACAAAAATACACCTATATGTATTGACATATACATATCTATGTGTTTAACCCTTGCAATAACTGCTCAAGTGGGTTGAGATTATTATCAGTAAAGTGCTATCATTGATAAGGGTGCTACAGAAGTGAAGTATCTTATCCAGTGTCACACAATTGCTATGCACAGGCTGAAGGATTTAAATGTGGATATGACAGGAGGGCAGCCTGGTCACCTTAAGGATGAGTAAATCAAGGCCCAGGCAAGGGAAGAGACTAACCAATGGTCAAATTACAATTTTGTGTTAGTGCTGAACTTTCAGGATTTTTTTCTTTTTTTTTGTGGTTTGCTTGCCAGACTTGTGTCCTGGGATTTCAGTCCAAATTTCTGAAATAACCCATAATTACTTCTGCTTGGGTGGTGTTTGTGATGTACTTTTCTTCAAACTCTTGGCCATAAAAGTTTCAAACCTGGCTGCATCGGAAACACATGGGAAGCCTCAGCTGTTACTGATGCTTGGATTCCACCCCAGTCTCATGAAATAAAAATTTCAGATCAGCTCCCCAGGTGATTCAGATGTTATAGTCGCTGTTTACAGAAATCCCACATCATGCAGACACTGAGCAGTTAATCAGTTACAGCATCAGAAGAAGCAAATAAGAAAAATCAGTCCATTTGTTTTTGGAATGTTGTATTTTAGTAGTTTTTATGTGACTACTCAATGAATAATCTTTTTAAAACCAAGAAACACAGAATATTAAAAACCACAGAATATATAACAAAACTTCCAACAACTTCAAAATCACACGAAGCAGGGATAATGTTAAATTTTAAATGATTTTCTCCTAGTGTTTTTGTAAGCAGTGCATTGATGTTACTGCAAAGAGCATTTATTCATCATTTATTGAGAGCCCACTCCATTCCTCGAGGTATACAGTGCTACTTCTGGAATTGAGTACACACCCTCTCTGGGGCTGTGATTGCTCTAATGAGCAAGTACTAAAGTCATTTGTGAACTTATTTGATAGACAAGCACCTTCATTTTCTTCAGCTTTTCTTTTCCATCACCAATACCAGGAGTATTGGTTAGTTTTCTTTCTAGGCCATTAAGTAAGAGAAAAATATTGTCTTTTCATAGGAATCATGGGATGTATTGGTAGAGGTCAATCAGACCATAGTTGTTCTGAGAATGATGGGTATCATCAGGACTGAGAAGTTGAACCCAAGGTTCTCCCACAATAAGCATGCACATTTAACATTCATGGTGGTCATTCCCAAAGAGCTGAGTTTTCCTGTGTCAATTAAATTAATATGCCCATGTCAATCCTATAAGGATACGCTTCCTTTCCCAGGGTGACTCTCAAATGTGTGTGCAGACGCTCACTGCAGCATTGTTGATAACAGATAAGAGGTGGAAGTCTTCACACCTGTGTTCACGTTATTTTTTAAATAACTATTTTACCTATCCTTAGCCTTTTGCTTCTTGTTCACATAAATTTTAGAATTGACTTGTCAAGCTCCATGAAAATGTTTGCCAGCATTTTAACTGGAGTTACATTGAGTCTATAAATCAACTTGGACAGAATTGACATTTCTATTAATTCTAGCTTTCTATTCCTTTATATCTTCTTTAATATTTTGTAGAGTGGTTAAATTTTCTGTGTATACATTTTAGAGATTTTGTGTTAGATATACTTTTAAGGCATTGATGGCTTATCTTTTTTTTCCCCAAATGCATTTTTTGGAATGCAGATATAATTTTCCTACAATAAAATGCCCCCATGGTAAGGGTATGGCTCAAGGACCTTTGACATGCTTACATTTGTGTAACCATCATATTCGAAGATATGGGACATTGTTATCACCCTCAAGAATTCCCTTGGGCTGCTTTGCAGTCAATTCTCCCGCCCCAGGATGCAGGAAATTGATAAATTGTCATTACTCTATAATAATTTTGCTTCTCGAAAAGAACTTTCTGGGCTTGCAGAGTGGGCAAGTGATAGAGCACCTACCCTGCAAGTGTGAGGCCCTGAGTTCAAATCTCAGAAGCACCAATAAATAAATAAATAAATAAATAAAAGAGCTTTCTGTGAATACAACATATGATAACTACTTTTATATGCCTGATTTCTTATGCTCAACATCAAATATTAGCCAGTCATCTGTATTGTTGTATGTATTGGTGATTTGTTTCTATTTCTTAGCCATAGACTTTTCTTTTCTTTCTTTCTTTCTTTTATTTTATTTTGGCAGCACTGGGGTTTGAACTCAGGGCCTCATGCTTGCTAGGCAGGCGCTTTCCTACTTGAGCCACCCCACCAGGCTTTTTCTTTTGTGGTGAGTTTTTTCTAAATTGGGTCCCATGAGCTATTTTCCTGGGGGCTGGCTTCGAACCACCATCCTCCTGATCTCTGCCTCCTGAGTAGCTAGGATTACAGGCATGAGCTACAGGCGTGAAGCTCAGTAGCTTTATCTTTAAAACTTTGAGAATCCCAGTTTAATTTTTTTCCTCTTTCCTCTATCCTTGCTTTCTGCCAATTGGCTCTTCAACCTGCTCATCACTTTCGACCCACCTTCACTGGATTCTTTAGTCCAGAGCCAATGGCCCTGTTTCCCCTCCTGCATTCAACTATACTTCCTAGGAGCCCATCTAAGAATGGATATGGGTGGCTGCCACCTTGAGTCACTTCCTGGAAGCCCCTTCTTATTAAAAGTGGGAAACCTCACAAATCCACAGGAGGATGGCTGCCTACTCAGTGGGGGAGTTCTGGCCAGCATGGGCTCTGGGAACCACTAGACCTCCTGTTGAAGGCTCTCCAGCTTCCTGCATGGGGCTCCTCAGGCAGTGGCTGATTTGGGTGGCTGTTCCCATCTGGTCCTTCATAGACTTTCTGTCTTGTAGGAGAATCCTGAGAAGACAGCCGCATCAGAACGAGGAGATTTTTACCTCACAGGGGACCGAGCCCGCATGGACAAGGATGGCTACTTTTGGTTCATGGGGAGAAGTGATGATGTAATCAATTCTTCAAGGTCAAGATGAGTCTGCTCTTTCCTCCTCCCCTTGAAGTTCCATGGGGGAGGGAGGAAAGCCACTTGAAAGAGTTTTTCTCTTCTAGTTACCGGATCGGGCCTGTTGAGGTGGAAAGTGCACTTGCTGAGCATCCAGCTGTCCTTGAATCTGCTGTGGTCAGCAGCCCAGATCCCATCCGGGGGGAGGTAACTAGTCCAGCCAAGAACATGACCTCCTGCTTCTGTACCTACTAGCGCCCCACAGAGCTATGGGAAGGCCCACATTCCTCCATATCTCTGACCCCTATTCAGTTCCACAATGTTGAAATACCAACATCCAACACACATTCTTTAATTGATCACTATCCACATGCTTTTAGAGATGCCCAGAGACAGATGGTGGGAAAATACCAAACTTTAGTTTTTTTTTTTTTTTTTTTTGCAAATAGGATATTTTATTTTATTTTCATTTTTCTTTTATTATTCATATGTGCATACAAGGCTTGGTTCATTTCTCCCCCCTGCCCCCACCCCCTCCCCCAAACTTTAGTTTTAAGTGGACACTTACCAAGCTGGATCCAAAAGAGGCTGCCCATTGGACAGTATATCTTGGTGGCAGGTACAGGTTCTGCCATCCATTCCATCCATCTGTTTGCAGATGAGGATATAGCAAGTGCACCAGATGTGGTTGCTCATGGCTGTACCCTGGGAGGGAATGCCAACTTGAGGGATGCTAGAATATGTATCTAAAGTGACCTGATATACCAGAAAAATGGGCCAAACTGAGCAAGCTGGGATTTCACAAGAGAAATACAAATTCCAGAGGAGCAGATAGAAGAGAAAAATCAATTTCTAGGTGGAGCTATTCACTTTTTGCTAGCTGTGAATCCTACATAATCTGAAAGTACAAAGCAGTTATTTTTCAAAAGTTAGTACAACATAATTTGCATTCTCACAAGCATCAGGGCCAGAGGAGTGTTTCTCAAAGTCTGGACTCTGCACTATTCACAGCTGTATCCTCTGAAGTTCTTGAAAATATATTTGTAGACTTCAAATCAGACTTGCTGAATCAAACTGACTGGGGACACACCTCAGGACATTGGTATTTTAGCCAGCAGCCATTTGCCAAGTGATTCTCCACTAAAATTTTAGCATACTCATATAGACAAGGGAGCTACCAGTCTCATCCATGTGATACAGAGGATGGAAATCAGGGTCTCATGATTGCTAGACAGACACTGGAGCGAGCTTTTTCCTCTCACTCCTTTTTTGGAGTGAGCTTTCTCTCACTCCTGGTTATTACTGAACCTAACTGGGGCTAACTGGGCAGTGACAGGAGATGCAGAAAAGACTCAGGATAGACTGACAGACAGAAAGTGGGATCGGGTGTGTTGGGTGCTCAGGTGGAGACACATAACCCTTGTTGCTTCTTTTCTCTATTATTCTTTTCATTTTGCTCTGTTTATTTTCTCTGTTTTTATTCTTTAGGGCCTTACTCCTTTACAGTTCTTTAAAACCTTGCTTCACTATTCTTTGAAACCTCTTTCCTTAGACTCGCACTGTCCCATGTTTTCTCTTAGCTTTTCTTTAGCATAATCTCTCTTAAAGTCTTTGCCCCCAGACTTGCACTGTCCCATGCTCTCTTTCACTTTCTTAAAGCCTTGGTGCTCAGACTTGCAAACAACAGCAGCCCTCAGACTTGCTAGCAATTCCTCTTTAGCAATTCTTTTCCCTTCAGCAATTTCCCTTAAGCCATTCATTTTCCCCCTTCAGCAATCTCCCTCCAGAAATTTTCCCTTCCAAAAGCCTCCTACATCCCAAAAGCCTCCTACATCCCAAAAGCCTTCCCCATCAGAAAGCCAAAAGCAAAAAGCCTCAAAGCAAAGGCAAAAGCCTCCTATCCTCCTTCAGTTTGTCTTTTATACCCAGTGGTAAACCAGGTGGAGCAGCAGCTCTCTGGGGAGGGGTGTGACATTGTAACAAGAGAAAACTGCTTCCTGCCTCTCTGAATGTAAACAACTTAGGAGAAGCAGCTGTTCTGCATCTTCCTCTTCTGTGGCTGTGGCTGTGCTGATCTAGGCCTACAGATAAACATCTCAGGAAACAGCAGTTGAGCTGCATCTCGCCTTGCTTATGTCCAGTTCTCATAGGCTTCTCGTAATCTGCTCTCCACAAGGCACTCTACCACCCTAGCCATATGTCCAGTCCTTATGTTTTAGTTTGTTTTTCAGAAAAGTTCTCATTCTAACTTTGTCTAGGCTGGCCTCAGACTATGATCCTTCTCCTCTGCCTCCTGAGTAACTTGGATTATCAACATTTGGTTCCATGCCTGGTTTGTTTTTTGAGACAAGGTCTCGCTAACTTTTCTCTGGACTGACCTGGAATCATGATCCTCCTGTCTCTGCCTCCTGAGTAGTTGAAGTTTCAGATGTGCAACCACCCATGCCTATCACCCAAGTGGTCTTTTGAAGTCTGTCAGAAACTACATTCTGTTGAACCTGAGTTTGGGCTCTTCCTCCTTGGTAGGCAGCAGCCTGTAGGAGAAACCTGGGCAAAAAACCAATGGGTAGAATATCCCTTTGGATGCCTGGGATAGAAAGGACACAGTTAAATGTTTGCTGATTGCAAACACTCATACAAGTGATTTCTGAAAGACCCAGCTGCCCTTGGAAGTGGCTGCATTTTCATCAGTGCTGCCTATCTGAATCCATGCCTCTTTATCTTCTTAGTAGGGAAAATCAGAAGTAAATGGCCATAAGAGTGTTTGAATCTTAAGAGAAACAACATTGGCTCCTAATAGTGTTATTAGCAGGTCTGGGGAGTAGCTTGGGAAATAGGTGAGGCTCTGAAAAGCCGCATTATTCCACAAAAGCCAATGCCTCTAGTAGCTGACTCTGGAAAGGTAGGTGACAGAAAAATTGGTGTTGTCTATTTTACTGGCTGTGCCTAAGGAACTAGTAGGTCTGTTCATGATGGCCTGGCACATGTGAGCACTTATTCACGAGGCTAGCTTAAGGAAAGAAAGAATCACTACCAAAGGCTTGATCCTTTCTGGGTTTTTCCATCTACAGGTGGTGAAGGCATTTGTAGTCCTTAGTCCAGCCTACTCCTCTCATGACCCAGAGGCATTGATCCGGGAACTCCAGGACCACGTGAAGAGGATGACTGCCCCATACAAGTACCCCAGGAAGGTAAGCACCTGGAGTTCTAGGACACAAACACTGGGAAAACAGTGGGTGCATGTTACCTAGGCTCCCAAGTAGGTTTGGGCTCTGTGCCAGGTCCTGGGAGGCAGAGATACACAGACTCTCCATCTGCTTTGGGCCTTGTCTGTCTGTTTCTTTACTGGGACCTATCTGAAGCACATTTTGTTCTTATTCTAACAAGTGATCTGCAAATCAGATGCAGGGGGTGGTGGTGAATGCTGATGGACTATGTACTCCACGCTCTAGCTGTTTTGACTTTTGTCACTTGAGGAAAACTCTGAATTGTGGAAAGTTTTCAACAAAGTGGCAGAAGGTAGTGACTCTTTCAAGACAAAAGTCTTTCTAGGAAATGATTTCTAAGTGTAGGGTTTTTTTTGTCACTAGGTGGCTTTTGTTTCAGAACTGCCAAAGACTGTTTCTGGAAAGATCCAAAGGAGTAAATTGAGAAACCAAGAGTGGGGGAGATGAGGTGCAAACCCAGGAAAATCCCCTAGTCCTCTGAAGATTCTGAGAGGAAGTGATGAGATTGCTGGCCAGCCCCTGCTTGGCCCATAGGCATCAAAGAAGCTCAGCTTGCAAATGGCCATCTCCAGCATCGTTGGATGATCCAGGAAAAGAACAGAAGTGCATCTCTGACCCAGAGTGTGGGAGACTGAGGCAGTGGAAGGAGGCCTTGACATGAGCACCACTATGTCAAGGGCCTCTTGGCTGATAGGCATGGACCCAGCCAAGGGGAGGCAAGGTTCAACAAGGCTGCTTTGCAAGAGAAATAGGACATGCTGAACTGGTCAGGACATGCACAGCTGCTCTGTTCCTGCCACCTACGCAACTGGACCCATAAGAACTCGACCTGTATTTCACCCCACTTTCTCATACATGCTGTATAAATAAATGTGCTTGGAGGTAGAGAGGGTTGCCAGCATCTCTCATGAGGAGTGTAGACCCACCTGATCCCAGCTTTCTCTATGTCTGTCTTTGTGTCTTTTTATTAATCCCCATTGGCTCCCAGTCAGGTCAAGGGATCTACTCACACTGGCTGTGAAACCAGATCATGTGGATACTGACCAGTCTAGCAAATGCTCAGTGGCTCAACCCCACCTCTGCTGGAACCATCTTCAGTATCTGCCTGTCGGTCTTACTAAGAGCTGTCAGCTGTTCCTAGGAAAGACAGGGGCCATCACTTTAGGACATTTGAGGTCTCATTTTCTGCCAGTGGCAGCATAAAGATTTGATCCCTTGGATGAAGTCATTTGATAATGGCACCCAGGCCAAATGCTGTCTTTGGGAATAACTTCAAAAGAAGTGATTCAAAATGCAGAAAGTGTTTGGTGCTCAAAGATGTTCACTGCAGCATTGTTTAAAGCTACAAAAAAATCAATGTCAAAACAATAGATCAAAGATTAACCAAGTTGATTAACTCAATTGCATACATATTAGGTGATTATTAAAATATTTGAAGTTTATCTTGTCTTGGAAAAAACATAAGGTATGGTATGTTTTAAAATTAGAATAAAAATAATTTGCATATAACTCTGAAACAGAAAGGAAAATCGTAGCTGGAAAAAACCAAAGGAAGGAAGTAGACTAAAACATTAGTTATACTTTTCCTAGGAATTGAGGAGGGAAGGGAAAATAATAGATAATCATTTTTTCCTTTCTGTTATACATTTCTGTGTTTGCCAACTAAGCAGATACAAGTATTTTAATGAAAAAGCTATCTGAAAGATGCAATCTTCCAAAATCACACTCTGACTCAGGCCTACCTCTGCCTCCACATTCAAATGCTTCATTTTTGATGGTAGTATGTTGTGTGTTACCCTGGAAGAACGCAAAGTCCTTGAGCTGGATCCCAACTGGAAGGTGTGGTTCAGCCAGGTGAAGAAAACCTGATAGAAACTCAAAGAAATCCTAGTGCCCTCTACTCAATTTCCAGCACCTCTACTCACTCCCCAGTGACTATGTATTGAGCATCTACTCAGAGTTGGGGTCTAGTAACATGATACTAAACAGAGCCACCCAGTCCTTATCTGTATGAGTTTGCTAGGGCTGCAGGGACAAAAGTTTGTTTCTTCACAATTCTGGAAGCTGCAAGTTCCATTCTGAGGCCTCCCCTTAGACAGCAGATGCCTGCCTTTTTCCTGTGTCTTCAAATGGTCCTTCTTTGTCTTCTTTTAAGGACATCTGTCATATCTTCCTGGATTAGGGCCACCTTCATAGCCTCACTTTATTCCAGTCACCTCTTTAAAGACCCTGTCTTCAAATACAGTCACATTCTGGGGTCTTGGGATCAGGACTTTAATATATGAGTTGAGGGGAGGGGTGTGTGACACAATTCATCCCATAATACTATGCTTGCAGGTTTTTGTGGGGAAACTGACATTATTTATCACAGGAAAATGGAAACAAGAGCACAAGGGTGATAAATGCCACAAAGGAAACAACTTGTGAGGTCTGAGGGGACTTAGGGCATAGGGGAAACTCTCCTAAGAAGTAACTGGTAAGATCAGATTGGAGTAAAAGTGGATGTGACTAAGTTCAGAGACAGGGAGTGAGCTCTGTGGAAAGGATGCAGACTGTGGAAAGGCCCTAAGGTGGGCAGAGCAAATGTCTTTCTCAGAATAACTGGACTCAGGTAGTGCCAGAGCATCCACACACAGTCCTCAGTGATTAGGACCTGCGTAGGTACGATATTATGACCATTTTACAGATGGGACAGAGAAGCCCAGTCACGTGTTGGAATTCACGCAGCCAGTAGCTCACATAGCTAGAATTCAAACCCACACATCCCTCCTCGCAAATAATTCAAGATGGCTCAGTGTAGGAACTTTTTCATCCTATAAGCTGAAAGTTTAAACATTTCTTTAGAGGATCAGATTTACTCATGCAATTTATTTGTGCTTTCTGCCATTTGTCTTTCTGGCCTTCCGGGGCTGGGCAAATTCACTGAACCTTAAGGTGGAAGTTAGGGTTTGGTGGATTTGCCTAATGCCAACAGCAGGGGGAGCCAGAGGTACCGATACTTGTCGGGGTCCCTGCACCTTAACATGTTTAGGGCTCTTGGGCTGGGGGTGGAATCATGCATGAGATATTGCTAGGGTTCCCGACACCCCAAAATGTCTGGGAGTCTGAGCTTTTTCTACAACATCTCTTTGTTTCCTGAAATCCAGGGGCTTGGATGGAAGTGACAGCTGGAGGACATGTTGCCTGCCATCACTATGGCACTCTAGTTACATTGCTGGGTGTCTTTGGGAGTCCCTCCCCTTTCCCCTGGTCCAAGTTGCTATGTTCTTCTCCATGCAGGGACCTTGGTTTTTTTTCTTCAGTCAGCACAAGGCGGGGATGATAAGACCCTATCCCCATGTCTCCAAGGGATCCCCATTGACAACTGACTCCCTTGCCAAACTTCCCACAAAGCCACCTCAGCCCAGCTTGGCTCCAAGAGGAAAAAGACAAGACTCCCAACCTAGGGTGTTCCCTAGGGAGACAGGCACCACCACCATCACCACATGGCCTCCGCTGCCAGAGAAGTCATTTGCCACAGTGACCACTGTTAACATGACCACTCTGCTGAGAACTTACTCTGCACCAGGCAGGCGCTCTGCAAAGTCCTTCACCCCTGATATTCTCAGTATTTACTAATCCCCACTGTGCTTCCATGACCATCACCCTTGCCCCATCTGTGCTGTAAATGACTCTCCTTTGAAAGTGAATACCTCCACTCTGAACAATATACTATTCCTGAAGGGACGTCTGGAATGTTAATTCTTCCCCAATTCACGTCAAAATAAACATAAGCATAAAAACTGTTTAAACTCACCTTGCAAATGCATCCATGTGCACATATCCACTTTCACAATGGCTGCACACAGACACTAACTTGCACAACCACACACACGTGCATGCAACACACAGAACCACATGTGCATGTTATTACAAACACAACTACACAGATGCCTAGGCTGTCTCTCACACACAGCTACACACTCCATAGTCACACTCCTTATCATGTTAAAACATTTTATTTTCACCCTGGCACTTATTCACTCAAAGATTTATTGAGGACCTACTCTGTGATAGATTCCATCCTAAGTTCTTTAGCTAAATTAGTGAACAAGACAGTCTTCATGAAGTGAAGTGAAGTCTTCATGAAGCTTAGATTCGAATGGAAGGAGACATGTAGGTTGCAGTTTTAAGCAGGTGGTCAAGGTAAGCTCTATTGAGAAGGTGACAAAAATCTCTGGGAAAGATTTGAAGGAAGAGAGAAAGTTATCCAGGTAAATTCCTGGCAGGGGAGCCTTCTGAGGCCCTGGTGCAAAGCATACCTTCAAGGAACAGGTAGGAAACCAGTATAGTTGATGTGTGGAAGGTAAGGTGTGAAGGGGCATGATTTCAAGTTAGAGAGGAAGAGAGTGATTGTGAAGGTCATTCTTGCATGATGGGGTTAAAACTTTGAAGCTTATTTTGTGTAAAATTGAGATTCACTCTGAACTGTGGTGTGAAAAGATCTGACTTATGACTTAACCCTTAACAGTATCTAAAATGAAGTAAATCATTTTAGACAGACATTATGGTCTGTCTTACCACTGAACCAGAAGGAATCTGTTTTGGCCACCTCTGTGTCTCTTTGAGAACATTTGATAAATATTTGTTGACTAATTGACAGAGGCAGGTATTTCCTTCCAAGAAATAAGGAGTGTGTGAGCTCCATGGCTCATCTTCTGGGAGCTGGGTCTAAAAGCTCCAAACAAACAAGTCATGCATCCTTTTGCCTGATTCCTCCCCAAGCTTCCTTTCACTTGTGGGACTTTGATCACTGTCCCATGGACTGTGTCTCTCACTACCCAAATCTGCCCTGTCCAGGAGGAGCTCAGTAGCAATGGTCAATGACCCCCAGACCCTCCGTCCACAAGTATATGAACTTGAGTTCAGATGCCCTCTACAAACCTCCCTTTCTGAGTTGCATTTGCTTCAGTTTATTGAGTGTTTACAATGAATTTTTTTCTTCAAATGTTCACTGATTTGCTTTTTAAATAAGTAAATAAATAACTTGTATTTGAATAATTGAGAAACACTGCCCGCGTCAGAGTCAAACTAGCTCCCCTCTCCAGAAGCAATTGAGTTTAGCAGGTTTTGTTTGTTTTTCCCCTGTGGTGCTGGGCATGGAACTCAGGGCCTTGCACTTGCTAGGCAAGTGCTCTACCACTGAGCTACGCCCCCGCCATGTTTGGCAGTCTTTAGTGCACCATACTAGAGCTGTTGTAACCATCTTTGTGGCCAAGTGTTTCATTTGTATCATCAGGTGCAGTGTTCACCTGTCCAAGAGGTACCCTAGGACACTCTCCACTTTCTAGACAAGAAAGCTGAGGCCAGGAGCACATAGCTCAGTAATTAGGAATCCAAACTCAAACCCAGACAAACTAATGCCATGTCTTTGGGGCTTAACCACATGTTTCTTCTGTGTCATTGTGAGTAGACAGGCTGCTAAACCCTGTAGCGAAGGAACTGGGGGTGGTTTGTGTAGGGAAGAGGAGGCACCACCTGGTGAAAAGAAAACACAAATCCAGAGCTAGGAGAGGAGTGTGTGAGGCTCTGAAAATATCACTGAGCAGGAGTGGTGGGGTGACATTCATACCTGTTACCCCATTTGGGACAGTACTGTGAATCTGGCTGACATGAACAGATTTGATGTCTCTGAAAGGTGCACATGATGAGTTGGGGAACTGGGGAACACCTTAACAGATGAGAATGCAACAGGAAGAATAGTTCGTCATTACTGGACTCCCAGTGGACATAGAGAGCCTGACACTCTCAGAAGACCCCTAAGCACAGGCCAAATCCCCAGATTCCTTTGGGAGGCACCATGTCCCTTTTCCAAGCAGATCCAAGTATTTCTTAAAGCCCCTCCTTAGAGACTTCAGGAAGGACAGCAACTCTGTGCCTTCTGCAAGAGTTAGATTCCCGGTTTAAGTCTGGGGTCCAGCCCCTCTCCTCTGTGCCGAACTGGCCAGAATCAAAGGAGTGACTGGAAAGGAGATTGTGATGACTGTCCATCTGACCTCTTGCTCTCAGAGTTCCAAAGCCTCACTGTTGGCAGGTGGTGAGGGGTACAAAGCAGCAACAAGAGGTACTTAAGGGAGATACCGTGGAGAACTTCCTGGAAGGGGATTCAGAAGGCTCATAGCTGTGTGATTCTGAGACATTCAGGAATGCCTGTTACAGAGTCTAGAAGAAGGACAACAGACAACCTCAGGACTTGGGAAAAAACAGACTAAATAGGGATTCTGTGAATTTTTGCAGGGTGGATGAGGAACTCTTCCTAGGTGGTTCCAGCTGCTCTACAGAAACAGGATTTTTGCTTGCTTGCTTGTATTTTTTTGTAGTACTAGGATTTGAATTCAGAGCCTGTGTTTGCTAGGCAGATGTTCTACCACTTGAGTCATGCCTCCAAGCCTTATTTTGCCTTAATTATTTTTTCAGATAGGGTCTCATGCTTTGCCTGGGCTAGCCTTGGTTGTGATTCCCCTACCTCCACTTCCTAATTACCTGGAATTATAGATGTGAAGCACCACCCCTGGCTTGTTTGTTGAGATAGGGTCTAGCTAACTTTTGAAATCCTTGGCCTTGAACCACTATCTTCCCTATCTTTTCTTGGATTGCTGGCATAATCCCAAATAGCTGGGATTACTGGAGTGAGCCATCCAGGCCAGGAAGAAACAAGTTTTTCAAGTCCTAATATGTCTTGGGTTGACCCAGAGAAAAGCCTAAGAGGGGCTGGAGTTGTTTCTTGTATACTGCTCAGGTGTGTCAACTTTATTTCCCCCACAGACCCTGGTTTCCAGCGTCTTCAAGGCCTCTGGATCCCCCAGATGTCCCTTGATGTGAGTCTTTGTGCCTTTGTGTCCTTGGTAATTTGTTATTTCTAGTGTCCAGGACACCCATCTTGCTCCTGGCACATGGCTCTTTGTTTCTAAGTCTTCTGTCTGCAAAGGACACTTAGAAATTAAAGAGCCCTATCCCTGCCCTCCTGAGGCCCTATGGTGTCAGAATCATGTTTTTCCACTCCTGAAGGTATAGAATCTGACACAGCCTATGGTGCCTGCAGGCCTTCATGTGCTGGGATAGTCTTCCCTTTTCTGAGTCTTCCTGGAAAACATCTTTTGCAGAAGCTCAGCATCCTCTGATTCCTGCTGGAGTCTAGGATCCTGAGGATCTGCTGCAGGTCAGCTGCGCAGGCATGAGACACTCCTCCGCAACTGACTTGTGTGTAACCACAAGCATGATACTATTCCTCTCTGGGCTTTCATCTTCTCCCCTGAATGATCTGAAATGGCCTTTGTGCTCTGGGCCTTATGAATGACTTCAGCTCAGCTGAAGAAGACCTGGGAGGCATCCTCTCAGTCCACATCCCTACCATGCAAAGGGGTTTGTAGAAATTATTTCACCTCCTCACATGCTCCTTCTGAGAGAGGTGCAAGGCCTATTCTACAGATGCGGAGACTGAGGCTCACTCAGGGGATCAGTGACTCACTCAGAGTCCCCCAGTAGTTATGAGGTGGAGTCTGGCTGGACAACATGTCTGACTCCAGTGCCACACGCTTTTCAGTTCACTGAGCATCTCATGGGCACTGGAAGCTGGGTGGATATCTGCAGAAAGATCAAGGAGCCTGGGAAGGATGGAAAGGGAAACCATTACCCAGGGGGCATTGGGGCTGGGCAGGCTCCAGTCCAGGTTAAGTGGCCCTGGTGCCTGGCCACTCCCCTCAAGAGGCAGGGCTTAAGGAAGGCTGGATGAGAGAATGTAGCTGGGGAACTCAGAGAGATGGCACCTTAGATTTTAGCTCTGCCTTTCCCTTGGCAGGGAAATTTGGGTTCACATTTTTAAACTTCAGTTTCCTTGATTATCTAGCAGGGATAAAAGTCATCCAGGGTTCTGAGGCCCAAGAAATACGATGTATTCACACATTTGAACTGCTTGATATGACCCAGGTGCTGATTTACAACATGGAAGATAAGAGCCAAAAGACACAGAAACCCCTGCCTTTAGCTTATATTGTAGAAAAGGAGCATAAAATGAGTAAAACATATGCAGTAAGATGTAGATATATAGCCAGGGAAAAGAAATATGGCCAGAGAAGTTGGATGGCTTGTGATGTTAGATTAGGTGGGTAGAGAAAGACTCATAAAGAAGACAAATTTTGAAAAGATGACTTGGTAGCAAGGAAGCTGGTTGTCTGTTTAGGGGAAAGGAATTTCAGGCAGAGGGACTAGCATATGCAAAGGCCCTGAGGCAGCAGTGTGCCTGACATGTATGTGGACTAGTTGAGAGGTCCATTGATTGGAACAGGAAGTAAGAGGAAGAGTTTTTGGAGAAGTCATTGAGGCAAGGATCTTGCAGACAACATTAAGGACTCAGGAGTTCATTCAAAGGAGACCATGGCCTCACTGAGTTTTCAGTCTGGCTCATTCTGGTTGAGAGCACACTGCAGGGGTCAAGGGCAGAAGAAAAAAGACCAGAGACAAGGTCAAAATGGTGGTTTGGAACCGGGCAGAGACTGAGAAGGATTCTGGATATAACTCAAACATGGAACTGATAGATTTGCCAGGTTCAGGTATGAAAAAGGTAGGGAAGACTACAGTTTCATGTAGGAACAATAGTTCCTGTGGCTGTGTCCTGAGATAGGTAAGACCATAGAAAGGGTAAAATGACTTGCAGGGAGGGATAATATCTGGTATTAGGCTTTGGACAAAGTATGTTGGCAATGTTTATTAGACATCAAATAGAGAAAAGAGGCAACCCAGCCTGAAGGCACAATTGTGGGGGTCATTGGCAAAGCAGTTGGGAGCTAAGATCAGATGAGTATGGATAAAGGAAATGAGGAAGAAGCAACAAAAGAAACTGAGAGGGAGAATCAGAGGTCAAGAAACGAATTAAAGGAGGCAAGAGAGGTCCCATCCATCCCATGAAGCTCCATTCTCCCTGTCTGGAAAGGGCAAGAACTTGCTATCAATCCTGTGCATAAGCTTCCCTTTGATCCTTTGGGTTAAAAGAGCAGGTCCAGTTGCAGGTCCTCCAAAACTCTAGGCATGGGCTGTCCATGATCTTTGCACCATTAATTATTAGCTTGGCCCTCCACTGAGACCAGAGGGATTTGATTGGGGGAGTTGCCTTCATGACCACTGTCTCTCCTCCAGGGCTGCAGGGATTCTAGAGCTGCTTGTTCAAGAGGACAGTGATCTAAGCTATCCCTAAAGAGACTTCCTGAAAGGAGCTGGCAGGTGAGTGCTTTTGTAAGGGAGGGAAGGATGGGGCCATGCCTCATGATGACAACCACTAATCTTTAAGACGCATAGCTAGCAAGGAGAGTGAAAACCCCAAGAGGAAAACAGTCCACAAAAGGGAGCATCTGCCAGGTCTCAGTGAAGAAGGTGGGCCTTTATCCAAGCAAAAGGGAGGATCTGGGAGCTGGGAGAAGGGTAGACAAAGGGGTGTGAGAGTTGGGTGGTGGTCAAGGAAGAGCTAAGGCTAGAAGGAGCCAGCCATGGAAAGGGAGGGGCTCCTTTCTCCTACCCAGGACCTGGTCAGGAATCACCCACTTCTTATTCTTTTAGAAAATAAGAGTGATGGCCAAGTACCCGAAACTTTGATCATTCTATTGGCCTTTGCCTTAGTCCATAAGGGCTGGGAATCCAGCCAACTGATTGGACTGCTGGCTGTATTTCTTGAATCAAAGGTCATTGCACTTAAATTCTGCAATGTCGTGAGAATGCATATGGTGGAACTTAAAGATCAGTCTGCACAGCCTTGGAACGCCTTTCCCTGGAGTCAGAATGTATGGAAACAATAATCAGAAGAGTCATAATTTCTAAAGTGATCTTTTGCATTAGGTCCTGCAGCATAGGTGCATTAGCATTAAAGATTTATCAGTCATGATTCAATTTAAAGAAATAGATGCTGCAATTGTTAGTCAACAGTTGGTATAAAACAAACATTCCAACATCTCAGTAGCTTTTAGTCATATATGTTCTTTCATTCTTGGGTCTGAAGATGGTCAGTGCCAGGTTGGGCTCAACTGAGCTCCATATGTCTTATTCTAAGACTTGTGTCAAAGGTGAAGAATCTATCTGGAATAAGTTCTCATAGAAAAGCCAAGAAATACAAGAGTCTGACCAACCCACTCTCATCTCACTGACCACAATATAGCCCATGGACAAGCTGGAGTCAGCGAGAGGGGCACACAACTCTTCCTCTAGACAACACTGGGAAGTCACATGGAAATGAGTGGGGCTATCTAATCCTTCTACAGGAAAGGAGCAAATATGTTAGAACAACAATACAATCCACTACTCACTGTGCTTTAAGCCAAAGGGATTTGTTACATGGAATTGGATGTTCACAGAATGGCCAGAGAGGTTGGGTGGGGGGAGATTTTGGAGAATGGCACACAGAAAGAGACTGAATCAGATGCCCTGTGCCAACTCACTCAAAATCACAACAACTCAACTCCTGGGAAGAACCCTGTAAGGTCAAGACAAGCCTCCCTAAGCAGCTAACAATAAGGAGAGCAATTGATTAAGGAAAGACACACTGTGTCTCCTTTTTCCTTCTCAGCTCTGACCATGCATTGCCTGTGGAGATTCCAGGGACTTTACACCCTATTGGGTAAAAAGTTGTCCAGCCGCATCCTCCACATTAACATCAGGCAACTGACGTTCTTGCAGTGGGACCACCAGGAAGTGCCCGCCAAGTTCAACTTCGCTAGCGATGTGGTGGATCGCTGGGCTGGCATGGAGAAGGTAATGGAGAGGAGAAGCAGCATAGGGTGGCCAACTTCATTAATTCATCCATGGATTCAGTGAAACAGTATTGAGTGCTTATTTTGTATCAGAAGCTGTAATGGTCATGAATGGGATGCTCCCCATCCATGAAGCAGGATGGGGTAAGAAAGACACAGTATAGACTTGGCAGAAAGAAAGGCTGAGAGGAGAGTGGCACTCAGTAAGGCCACCTGGTAGCCCTCAGGCACATGCTCTGTCGTGATTTCCCAGAGTGAGACAAGAACCAGTGGGCTGGGATCAGAAAAAAGACAGATTTGAACATTTTTTAACAGTTTATATATGAAGTATTCCTACAGGCTCATTTGTTGAATGCTTGGTCCCCCAGATGGCAGTGTTATTTTGAGAGATTCTGGAAAATTTAAGAGGTGTGTGTGGGGCCTCATTTGAGGAAGTAGGTCATTGGGAGGGGTAGGGACTTGCCTTTGAAGGGTGGTCCCTGGTCCTCCCTCTCTCTCCCTCTCTCTCTCTCTCTCTCTCTCTCTCTCTCTCTCTCTCTGTGTGTGTGTTTCCTGGGCACCATGAGGTATATAGCCTCTGCCACATTCTCCCACCACCATGATGCTCTGCCTCATCACAGACTCAGAACCAACAGAGCCAAGGACAATGGATGGAAACCTCTGAACTCATGATCCAAAACAACTCTGTCTTCCCCTGTTTATCTCAGGTAGTTTGTTACAGTAACAGAACTTAATAAGAGTAAATCAGCACTGACACCAAAGCCTGATCAGTGTTTTCAGAAGGTTAGGCTATACAACACTGTCATTAGAGGTGTGCAAATACAAGGAAGAGATGTCAAAAGGGTTCCAGCATGAGACAGCAGAGGAAGAGATCAATGCAGAGGTTTCTGAGGTTTTTTTTTTTTCCTGGAGCTGAGCTTCTAGAATTCTAACTCATTTGTTGCCATCACCTGAAGTCCTGTGTACATTTCTGGAGGATGAAAGGACTCGTTCTGGCTGGGACAGAGGAGGGGATGGATTAGTTAGTGTGGGCTTCAAACAATACTGCTCAAAGGGAGACAGGACTGTGATATTGTCATGGAGCCCTGGCACCACCATACGGTTTTACAGAGACTGCAAATGCCTGTCCTCTGGGGTGGATAGGGAACCTAGGAGCAGAGGGACCCTGAAAAAGTTACGTCAGCATTTTAGAAAGGAAAAATTTCAGATAAAAATGCAGATTTCTTGATTTTATTTAAAAGTTATACCTCATTGGAATGTTGAAGAAGTCCCTTACTATTACAACTCACAATTCTGAATTCATAAAAAACTAATAGATTTGCTGTATAAACATTAAAAATTCTTTTCTGTTGACAAATACCATAAGCAAAATGAAAAATAGTAATAATCAGAGAAAAATATCCAACTTGTGCGATAGCAAAATAGTTAATACTAGAAAGCTCCTAGAAACCAAGAATAAAAAACTCAGTCAATGCATGGTGGTGCACACCTACAATCCCAGCACTCAGGAGGCTGAGGCAGCAGGATAGTGAATTCAAGACCAGGCTGATAGCGAGTTTCAGACCATCTTGGGATACATAGTAAGATCTTGTCTCAAAAAATAAACCAAACCAAATTTACACCCCCAGCAAAAGACAGCTCACAGAAAAGTGAACTGAGGTATATGCCAACATAACAGAAAATGCTTAACCTTACCATAGAAAGGATGATACAAAGGAAAAAGTCATTGAAATCCTAATTTAACCTATCAGGTTAGTAATAATATGCTATATTATTATTATATGGTTAACATGAAATAACTATTAATCATAACAATTTGGCCACACACATCATTGGAAAGGCTATGAGGAAGTGGTACAACTCTGATAGAGAGGATTTTGATGTCTGACAAAATTATCAGTGTGCTTTCCTTTTCTTGTATTGCTGATCTTGAGCTATTATCTGGGAACCCCCGAGGATACAGGAATCTCCTTCAGGGGATCTTTGGTGTGAAAGTATTTGAAAATAAAACTTAGATAAATTGGAACCCTTTTGTAGTACTCATGGGAATGTAAAATGGTCCAGCTATTTCATTGTGTTTCCTCAATGAAATGAAAAATAGAATTAACATGCAATTTCACTTCTGAGCTTATACTCACAAGAATCAAAAGTAGAGTGTCAAAGAGATATTTGTATATCCATGCTCTTGGTAGCTTTATTCACAGTAGCCAAAGGTCAAAATAATAGCCAAATGCTCATTATCAGATGAATGGATATACAAATGTGATATAAGCATACCACGGCATGGGATCCAGCCTTAAAAAGGACAGAATTCTGACACTTGCTACAACAAAGGTGAATCCTGAGGACATGATACTGATAAGCCAATCACGAAAGGACAATATTAAATGATTTGATTACTTAGGTACCTGGAATAGTCAAATTCATAGAGATAGAGAGTAGAAGAGCCCAGGGATAGAAGGGATATGGTAGGTACAGAGTTCCAGTCTCAGATGACTTAAGCGTTCTATTGTGTAATGGCTGTACAACATGAATGGACTTACCCTTACTGAACTGCACACCTAAGAGTAGTTAAAATGGGGACAGAGTGGGGAAGGGAGGGGTGAGGATATGGTGATTAATGGATACTACTTTATAGTTAGTTAGGGGCAAGACATTCTGGTGTGCTATTGCACACTTGGATGATAATAGAGACCAATAATGAACCATACATTTCATAAAGCTAGAAGAAAGAACTTTGAATATTGTCACCATAAAGAAATGATAAGTGTTTGATGAGATAGATAAGTCCTTACTTAAACATTGCACAATGTCTACATGTACCAAAACATCACATGGTATTCCCAAAAATATGTACAATTTTAATGCTGTTATGTATTAGTTAAAAATAAAATTAAGGGTTGAGGGTGTGGTTCAGTGGGAGAGCACTTGCTGAATCCCTAGCACCATAAGATAGATAGATAGAGAGAGAGAGAGAGAGAGAGAGAGAGAGAGAAATATAAGATGCCATTTGTCCTTTTCACACATTCCTTCATAAGTATTTGGTGGCATTTTCCAGAAGGTATAGGGTGACAGAGACAACAGAATGTAGAAGCAAATAAGAGAATTCAGTCTTCCATTAAGGGCACTTATATGTAAAATGATGCCATTTTTTCTCATTAATTTTTTTGTTTCAAAATGTATGCATTATCTTTTATTTAAAACTGCTATTCATTGTAATATGTAATGTGTTTATTATAGTTATTTTTAAAGCCTTCATTAAAAAAATCAATCACAGTTTTGATCTGGAGTATGGTAAATATTGATGGATATAACCCATACAAATAAAACTCTTGAGAGTTTTCAATACATTTTAAGAGTGTGGGGTTCCTGAAAGCAAAAAGCTTGCCAAGCCTTGAGATAGCAATTCCAAGCCTTGGAATCTGACCTGCCTGCTATGTCCCCATGTCCCCTAACCTGCAGGCCTTCTCTTTCCTCAGGTTGGCAAGAGACCTCCAGGTCCAGCCCTGTGGTGGGTGGGCAGCAGGGGGCAGGAAGTGAAATGGAACTTCAGAGAACTGAGTGAAATCAGCCAGCAGACAGCCAATGTCCTCTCAGGGGCCTGTGGCCTGCAGCGTGGGGACCGTGTGACAGTGGTGCTTCCCCAAGTCCCAGAGTGGTGGCTGGTGATCCTTGGCTGCATGCGAGCAGGTTGGTAATTGATCATATTTTAGGAGGGGAGTGTTGATTTCTTGTGAAGGAAATGAGGGTAAAGAAATGCAGTCACCTCTCCACAAAGAAATCCCTTCACCTACCATCCCCTTCTTCCCACTGCTCATCATGCCCCATCCACCCTTCCTCATTGGCTCACCATGTCTGTTCAAGCACTTCTCCTTCCCAGCTGTCATTAATCCACTTGGCTCCTTCAGGCCTCGTCTTCATGCCTGGGACTATCCAGATGAAATCCACGGACATACGGTATAGACTACAGGTGTCCAAGGCCAAGGCCATTGTGGCTGGGGACGAAGTGGCCCAAGAAGTGGATGCCATTGCCCCAGACTGCCCTTCTGTGAGAACCAAGCTGCTGGTGTCTGAGAAAAGCCGGCATGGATGGCTGAACTTCAAGACACTACTCAAGTGAGTATCTAAATGTCTTAGTTGGGCTTTCACCAAAGGAGGAAACCATGCAAAGCACTCACGTATATGCAGGTGCTTTTCTGAAGTAGAATGTGGGACTAAGGGAGCATGAGTCAGGGAAGAAGAAAAAGCTAATGGAAGAGTCTATTATTGAGATTTCAAGGGATAGATAGGGCTTGGTCTGCAGAGACTTTTTGGGAAAACACATAGAATGTCTCCCAGGATTTTACAGGAAAGGATTTTTAATTGGTCGGGAGTTGTCTTGGGGGAGCATATCTACCCCGCTCTTCTGGGCTGTACACTTGTATGAAGAACAGGATTAGAGTTTCATGCCATTATGGCAACAGAAAAACCTTGGGGCATAAAGTGAATCATTGTGGTGTACACTGGAAGCACCATGGTGCTAACCCCAAGTGGGTTGAAACTCATCCAAAACTGTTCACTGAAACAATGGCTCAAATCAGAAGTGCTCCAACAACATATGAAGCAAGTCCCAAGAGGTGGCTGGTTACATAGTTTCTTAGGCTGTTCTTCCCACCTTCTGTAGCCTTAAGCTAGGCTTTCAAGAATAGTGGTCCATCCAAAAGTCAATAGCAAGAATGGCTAGATGTTTGAGTTTCCCTGTTACCTGAATGAAATCCTCCAGTAGGGACAGACACTTAGGAGGGATACACGATTTTCCTTTCTAATGTCATAGTCTTTAAAGTACCTGTTGGAGTAACAAACAATGGGATATCAACTTTGAGAGACTCATCAGGACACTGGAGATGTCTGAGAGCTACATTGGTCCTTCCAGAGAATAGAAGAGGGCGTCACGAAAGTACTGGAAATACTAATTGCTTACTTTCTTTGCACCTGATATCAAGCCAGCATTCAGTAACAATTAGATTCACATTTGATAAATTCCTGCAAAGCACATGGTTCATTTTCTTTGTGGTACAGTTAAGTTTTTCAATTAAGATGGTGAGACAGATTTTGTTGATCTCATTTCACAGGTATGAAAAGTGAGACTTAAATTAAATAACTAGTATAAACTTACATAGTTAACAAAGTGCAAAAACTGAGTGGTTTTCAAGCCCAAATTGGATCCCATGATCTTAAACACCAAATAGCTTCATTTTTGAATTGGGTGGGCTGACTTGCCCTTGTCAGTCTGGGAACTGGTGGGGAAAATGGGTCATTGTGACATCTGGTGTTCAGGCCAGATCTGATAAGGTACTAGTCTATGTCTCCACCAGGGAGGCATCCACCACTCATCACTGTGTGGAGACTGGAAGCCAGGAAGCTGCTGCCATCTACTTCACTAGTGGGACCAGTGGCCCCCCTAAGATGGTGGAACATTCCCACGCAAGCCTGGGCATCAAGGCTCAAATGGATGCTAGGTAAGCTAAGCCCTTTCCCTACGTAGAAAGTGGATGAGCACACATGAAGCATTTCTTGACTTCAGACTTCATTCCCTTTGGAGGTTTCTGAGGAAGAAAACAGGGAATGGAGGTTTCTAAAGGGAAAAGATTTCATACAGTGGGTACCAATGACCTTAAGTGTGGCATTTCTCTTTCACATTAACACAAGGGCTGCCATGCTTTGAGCTATGTGCCTAGAAGGGCTATTGATTAGCAACTGGGTTTGTATGTAGTCTCCCCAGCATAATCTCTATCTTGTCTTTTGGGGTCTTGACAGTTTGCTTTCTTGCTACTCATATTTCAGATAGCACTTTTGTTAACAGTAAATGACTTTGCAAATTCATTGAAGTGAAATTCATGAATTAGATGAACTGAGGTATCAGAATTTCTTGATCTCAGGTTTTATTATTCAGAATTTTATTTCACTGCCACAAGAGTGCTATCTATAGAATCAGAAAATACTGGGCCAAAGTCTTCACACAATAAGATCTTTGGGATCTCCTTTTGGTAGATCCTATTATATTAACTTTTGTATTAGAATGGGAAAATATTCTAATGTAAAATAACTTTAAAATGTAAACAACCTACCTATGAACCCATAGTATCAATAAATTAAACTATCAAAATTATTTAATAAATGGACTGTAGCAAAATACAGTCTTTAAAATGATTAATAATAAGGTCAGATATTAATTTCCCTTGTTCTCCCCCCAAAATTTGGTTCTACTATGCCAAATTCTCCAAAGAGCTGACAATATTAATCATATTAATATGTACTTTAGTGACTCCCAGTCATGAAGTAGTTCTTCATGTCTACCCTAAATCATTCTTGCTTTAAGACATCCCTAATACCTCTTACTCTTCTCTGAGGAGAGAAAGGAAGCATGTTTTATTCCTTCAAGATCCTCAGCTGAGCTCAGGCAGTTCAAAATTCTTGCAGAAAAGAGAATCAAAGGACCACTCAACCGAACTTGAACTTGCAAGCACCCTGTAGGTGCTTTTTGTTAGTAAACTTTTTCTGGGTGGTTTCTTCATGTCAGCCACTATACTAAGTTTTTGGGATAAAATGAAGTGAGATCCAATTATCTGTTAAGTCACATCCACTGGGGTCACACTTTCTGAAACACTGTCTTCTGTTGATTCAGAATATGCAGATAGAACTACTTTCCTTTTCTTGCCTGCTTATACTTACATACATCTCTAAAAATATATGGGCAAATCCACAAACACCTGGGCACCCACACCTACCTTCCCTTCCCACAAAATCCCTCATGCTCCAAATATCCCAGGGTGCACTCAGCTACATGTTCCTGTATTCTATCTGTATTTGCAGCACTTGGACTGGCCTGCAAGCCTCTGATGTAATATGGACTTTATCAGACACAGGTTGGATACTGAACATTTTAACCTCGTTCCTGGAACCTTGGACATTGGGAGCATGCACATTTATTCATCTCTTGCCAAAGTTTGATCCTCAGATTGTTCTAAAGGTAAGAGAGGACCCAGTTTGCATTGGCTGGTCAGTGGAGCCCAAAGTTCATGTACTCCAATTTATTGAAGTTGGTTTAAATTCATAAAATTTTTACTAAATCCCAGCTGCATGGGTGGGCAGAGGGCAGTAAGAAAAATGGAAAATGGTTTCTGGACCTGGTGGAACAGATGGTCTATGGAAGGAGACAGACACAGACATAGATGAAGGGAGTGTGTTCATTGTAGGTTATTTGTTCAGTATTTAATGGACTCTTCTGCTGGTGTAAGATATTAGATAGATGGTGATAAACCACAAATAAGAAGAGGGATGTACTATTGAATGTGATGTCATTTCCTTTTCATGTGTATGTGTGTGTGTGTATACATAATATTTCCTTTCCTATTTTACTTGCAGTATAACATGTACACTGAAGGTAAAATGCTTAGAACTCCATCATCCTAAGTGTATAGCTTGAAAACAATTTGTCTTAGTCTGCTTGGGCTGCTAAATACAATGTTATAGATTCAGTAGTTTAAACAACAGACATTCTCACTGTTCTGGAAGATCCAAGGTCAGGGTGACAGTGTAGTAGATAGCTACCTTTGTGCTGAATCCTCACATGAAAGAGGGTGGGAAGGAAGGAGGGAAAGAGAGAGACAGAGAAAGAGAGAGAGGGAGGGAGAGAGAGAGAAAGAGAGAGAAAGAGAGATAGAGAGAAAATTCTAATGTGCTAACACTTCTTCCTCTTCTTATAAGGGCAGTACTCTGTCATTGGGGTACCCCTCATTACCTGGTGTCATTCCTTCCACAAGGCCGCCTCCAAATATCACATTGAGGGTTAGGGCTTCAGCATATGGAACATTGACTTCACATCAGACACTCATATAACCACCAGCTCAAGACCTGAAAGTTCTCCAGGTCTTGTATGTGCTTACACCTCTTCCCTGACCACACCCTCACCCCATGAATTAATCATTCTTCTGACTTCTGTCACCAAAGATTCATTTAATCTCTTCTTGCACTTTAGTAAGCAGAATCATACAGTATGTAAACTTTGTGTCTGGTTTCTTTCACATGCTATATACTCTGTGAGATTAGTTTATTGTTGCATGTGTCAGAAGCTTGTTCTTTTATTTATTTATTGTTTTTTATTTTTATTTTCTGTCAATATGGGAATTTGAGCTAAGGATCTTGTGCTTGGTAGTTATGCACTTTACCACTTGAGCCACAACCTCACCATTTTTGCTTTAGTTATTTTTTTCAAATAGGGTCTCGTGCTTTTGCCTGGGCCGGTCTCAGACAAAAATCCTCCTACCTCTGCAGTTAGGATTATAGGCATGAGCCACCATGCTGTACATGAGACAGGAGGTCACTAACATTTTTTCCAGGCTGGTCTCGGACCATGATTGTCCTATTTCTACCTTACAAGTAGCTGGAATTGCAGGCATGAACCATTATGCCTGGCCAATTTGTTCTTTTAAGTTGTATTGTATTACATTCTGTGAACCTATTGTGATTCAAGCTTATTACTGACAGGCATTTGGATTTTCCGAGTTTGGAACTATCATCTAGGAGGGAGTCAGAAGAACAAATAGGGATATTTTTTCCTATAGAACTTGTAGCCATGATTTAGTAAAATATACAAATGGTAACTATTCATTACCATGGAACAATATGTAATACATGTGACATCATTTGGCTTGCAAAGATGTAACCAATATTGACTCTTTTTTTCTTACTTCTGGGCTATTTGTTCTTTTATTCACATATGCATACAATGTTTGGGTCATTTCTCCTCCCTTCCCCCCATCCCCTCCCTTACCACCCTGTCCCCTCCCTTTCCTCCTCTACCCCCTTGCTACCAGGCAGAAACTATTTTGCCCTTATCTCTAATTTTGTTGAAGAGATAGTATAAGCAATAATAGGAAGGACCAAGGGTTCTTGCTAGTTGAGGTAAGGATAGCTATACAGGGAGTTGACTCGCATTGATTTCCTGTACATGTGTGTTACCTTCTAAGTTAATTCTTCTTGAACTAACCTTTTATCTAGTTCCTGGTTCCCTTCTCCTATTGGCCTCTGTTGCTTTAAGGTATCTGCACTAGTTTCTCTGCGTTGAGGGCAACAAATGCTATCTAGTTTTTTGGGTGTCTTACCTATTCTCATATCTCCCTTGTGTGCTCTCGCTTTATCATGTGATCAAAGTCCAATCCCCTTGTTGTGTTTGCCCTTGATCTAATGTCTGCATGTGAGGGAGAACATATGATTTTTGGTCTTTTGGGCCAGGCTAACCTCACTCAGAATGATGTTCTCCAGTTCTATCCATTTACTTGCGAATGATAACATTTCGTTCTTCTTCATGGCTGCATAAAATTCCACTGTGTATAGATACCACATTTTCTTAATCCATTCGTCAGTAGTAGGGCATCTTGGCTGTTTTCATAACTTGGCTTTTGTGAATAGTGCTGCAATAAACATGGGTGTGCAAGTGCCTCTGGAGAAACCTGTACCAATATTGACTCTTAATTATTATGGGAGTTGGGGGTCATCATCTTCCTGGGCCTTCAGATTTCTGGAGCAGTTGAGGGTCCACCCAGACAACCATTTGGTTATGGCAGATATCCCCAGAAGCAAAATAAGGTATGAGTGACATGTTCAAAAGTCAAAAAGTCAGGCAAAACCTGGATTCTCTCAGGAGATTCTCCTCAAGTGATTATATCATTTTCTGTTTTAAATAAATTCTGATTCTGCTACTTTTGGAACAGGACTGGAACAGGCTTTTGTTTAGTTCCATAAACAAAATGAAATGTGAAAAGAAACCTGAAAATACAAGTTGGTGGGGATGTAGAACAATGATTGAGGAGAGTGGTAAGAAGTTGAGAGAATAAGTAAGTAATTGTAGGCTGAGCTTCCAAGAAGGCAAGCCAACTAGGAATACAGGATGATTTCCGTCATTTATCCTAGTGCATCAAAGCACTGCCAGTAGTCCCAGCCACTCAGGGGGTGTAGGTAGGAGGATCAATGTCCAAGGCCAGCCTGGGCAAAGTTATCCAGATCATATCTGAAAAACAAACAAAAGCAAAAGGACTGGAGGTATAGCTGAAGAGACATTTACACTTACCAAGCAAATGCAAGGCCCTGAGTTCAACCTCCAGGACCGCACAAACCAAATCAAATCAAAACCAAAACTTTTGAAGGAAACAATTGCATGATGTGCTCATGTCAATCATGCTTTCTAGACATTTTTCTTAAACCACCCTATTGAATTCTGCATAGCACAGGGTAGAGATGACATCACCTGCCCGTGAAGAACACATGCTGAAATACTGGCTTCACCACTTGCTGGCTGTGTGACCTTAGACAAATTGCTTCACCCTCTCAGTCAGTTTTCCCCTCCACAAAATGGGAATAGTAGAGTGTACTTCATCAGGTTATTGGAAGAAATACATGAGAAAACACAATACTTACAAGTAGCAAGTATTCAATGCTGGGTCTTTTTTTTTTGTAGCATTTCTTTCAAGAAATTAACTTTCCAAATAATTTTTTTTCTAAGTCCCAGTTTTTTCCATATAATATAGTCAGGAAAATAGTTTGGAAGTAATCTATTTTAAAGCTGGTTCCAGATAGGTACAAGACTTGGGATCAAATAGCTTATTTGTAGCACTATCTGGTCTTCCTTTGATGACTAAGGGTTTATATATTCCTAGAGGTATGTTTATGAGGACAAGATTTAAGCAGGCAGGAATGCTCCAAATTGGTCCTGGACCTTTTTCTATAATGATAGGTATTCATTTCTTTGTTACTTTTGTCTTGAGGATGCATAAGAATTGTGAGGCAGACTGAAATAGACGTAATACACAAGCCAGGATTTTAATCCAGACCTCCACAGTTCCATAGTCCATGACTGTGACCATTACATTTGCTGGTAAGTTTGGCCTCTGACCTGGTGACTGGTGTCTCAGCTGGCTCTCTCCCTCCAGGTGCTGTCCAGCTACCCCATCAGTAACATGGTGGGTGGCCCCCTCGTTTACCGGATGTTACTGCAACAGGACCTTTCCAGGTGATGGAGCTTTGGGGGACTGGTAGAAGCCTGTAGAACCATCCTCATGTCTCCCTCATATACACACATGCCTCTCTCTCTGAACATTGGCAGCTACCCTAAGGCCAGTGCCATCATCAAAGCACCCAGAACCCAGCTCCATACCTGGATGGACTTTGGTGCTAATGAGGTTGAGGGGGAATAATTGTCTCTTTTCTTCAGGTACAAGTTCCCACACCTGCAGAACTGCTTCAGTGGAGGGGAGGCCCTTCTTCCAGAAACTCTGGAAAACTGGAAGGCCCAGACAGGCCTGGACATTTGGGAATTCTATGGCCAGACAGAAACGGTACCTGCTCCTTGGAGAACTGTGGGCTGGGTGCATCTGGCAGGCTATAACAGAATACCTAAGACTGGGTGATTTGTAAAGAAAAATTGTTTCTATTCATTCATGGTTCTGAAGGTGGGAAAATTCAAGATTGGGTTGGTGCATCTGGTCATCTAATTAGGGACTCATGTGCTTCATTTCATGGTGGAAAGTGATGGGCAAGCAGACAAAGTACAGGGTCAGCCTTGCTTTACAACAACCCACTCTTAAGTAACTAATCCAGTCCCACGAGAATGAGAACTCTTTTCTGCATCTATCACTCTTAATAACCCTGTCATCTCTAGACTGCACCTCTAAATAACACAATAGAGGCAACCACATTTCAATAGGAGTCTCAGAGGGAACAGGCCACATTAAAGCACAGCAGCTGGGTATTCAGACATAGTGGCTAGGAAAGTCCTTTGGGATGGATGGGGTCACATGTTAGTAGAGACCTGAGATTATCAGACAAGTGTGGCACTGAGCTAAGCTTCTCAGATTGAAGTGAGGGATGAGAAGAAACCAGTAAGGACCTGCCTCCCCTGCTGAAATATGTTTCTGGAATTTTTAGGGTACATATACACAATATGGATTCACATTGTTCTGTGTATGCTATGTCACTTATTAAAACAACCAGGGGAATTCTATCCCTCCACTCTCTCTCCTTTTCCCAGTGCCTCTTACTTTGACTCTCAGTGCTTCTTGACTTTCTTACCTGGTATGAATACTGATGTCAATGCTGGGATATAGAACAGCTAGGAAGAGCTTGGAGAATGTGGGTGAGGATAGCAGTGTGTGGGGTGCACACCTGGCAAGGACTGCCAGCCATTCAGAGGAGGGCAAGTGTAGGGAAGGCTTCTCTGGATGTCACCAACTCTGTTGGGAGGCACATTTCAAGATTCCTGGCCCTTACCATGGAAGAAATCTTTTAGGCCTCACAGGCCACCAGAAGGATAACTCTGTATTTTTAAGTCATACATATTTATAGAGAATGGTGTGATATTTCACTACAGGTAGACAATGTGTCACAATCAGATCAGAGTAATTAGCATACCTACTGTCCTAAACATTCATCATTTCTCTGTGTTGGGAGCATTCTTTCTTCTTGCTATTTTGAGATACACAATAAATTATTAGTGACTGTAATCACCCTACTGTGTGATTTGTTCTTTCTGCCCAAAGCAATCTTTGTAATGTGGTCACTAACTCCTTTTTCCTGGGGAGCCATGTTAGGTTGTCTTCTGAACAAACAATTTAGTGAAGCCCTTAAGAGTGGGGTTCCAGGAAAGGGGAGAGAGCCAGGGAATGGGGAGGGAAGGAACCACCAAGTGCCAAGAACTGCTCAGCTGTATCTTTTCTCCCCCTGTGATGTGTGCTTCCTCCTGATATTTGCTGATGTGTCTGTTGCTTTCCACAGGGACTCACCTGCAGAGTTTCTAGGACAATGAAAATCAAGCCAGGCTCCCTGGGAACAGCCATTCCTCATTATGACGTGCAGGTTTGCTAGGGCCACTGAGGAGGGAAGGAAATGAGGGGAAACATTGATTGTTAGTTTGTAATTTGTTACATTGCTCATTGAGTTAAAATAATCATAAGAGGAGGGAGGGAAGGAATCAGGGAGGGAAGACAGAAGAGAGAATGAGAGAGGAAAGGGAAAGAAAGAAAGAAGGAAGGAAGGGAGGGAGGGAAAAAGAAAGAGGGGAAAGGAAAGGAAGGAAAGAAAAGAGGGAGAGAAGAAAAAATGGAGGGAGGGAAAGAGATGGGACGTAGTTTGTATTCTTTCCATCCAGAGAGAACCCCTTTGCATTTCTAGCAAATTGTCTAGGTAATTATATAATTATATATACTTTTAAGAGAAAAAATGGGGTTCATCTTGACATAGCATTTTGTAATTTGTATTTATAATTGAATAATTTTGGTAACCATCTTTCCAGACCAATTGATATCTACCTGCAGTTGAATTTTAATCATTAAATAGTAGATAGCATGTCTCTACCATTCTCTATGTTGTTTGTTCCAGTTGATGATGTTCAACTTTTAATTAGTAAAAATAATACTACAATGACTATATTGTAGTTAACATTTTGCTCATTTCTCTTATTATAAAAATTTTCCCCAAATTCCAACATTCTGTGTTTGGGTATCTATGATTATGCATATAATTCTGTGTATCAAAAGTGTAACAATTTTTCTCTATTCATAATTTTGTGTAATTATCTGTCACCCTCTCACTATGTTAGCCATTTATTGAGCTGCTTTTGTATCCTATTTCATTCATATAAAAATCTTTTGAAATCAGATGTCAGCATCTCTGTTTTGCAGGAGACAGCATCGAGGCATAGAGCGTAAGTAGCTCAAGGTCCGCTGGTAAGATAGGAGAAGGACATTTAGGATTTGATCTAATTTCCAAATCCATGGGCGAGGTAAGCCTGAAAGATAATGGAAAGTGCTTCTTTCTCCTGAAAGAAGCCAGAGACACCTATTGGGGTTTGTCTCATCTGATCTCAATGAGAGGCTTCAAACATGATCCCAGCTAGGCAGGTAGATACAGATCTGAGTTTAAAATTCTTGGTGTCCCTTGGTTTCTGGTTCTTCTTTTCAGTACTCTCTAGAGCAAGAGATTTTCCACTGGCCAGTTCAGCTCTCAAATGCCACCATTCAAGACATCTTTTCTGCCGTTTGTCTTCCAATTTGTTTTTTCCTCCAGGTCATAGATGATGACGGCAATGTCCTGCCTCCTGGCAAAGAGGGAGACATAGGTGTCAGGGTCAAGCCTGTCATACCAGTAGGCATCTTCTCTGGCTATGTGGTGAGGACCTGAGCTCTCCCTCTGCTCTCAGTGGGAATGGGATGAAACAGGTGGGATGATGGAGTTATGAATCCCCCAATAGATATTGGCAGGATTTGGGGATGAGCAGTAGCCAGTATCCAAGAACAGGTGCTTTGACAAGGGCAAAGACTGGTAACTAGTCATCCTTAGCCTACCACTGCCATCTCACATGAAGTCTTATATTTGTGATTCCTTGTGCCATAAGAGCCCTGTTTTATGCCAGAAATCTTCCTACCTGGACTATATGTAGCAATCCTACCCTCTCCCCTAAGTATGGTCCCAGGCACTATGCCATTGATGTCCTTTAGGCCATGCTGGGCACTTTACATGGAGACTCACTGTAGAATTGAAAGTGTCCTGATTTCCAGACCTCAGGAAAGTATACATAGATAGTCCTTGAGTCTAGTCAACTCTTTTACCAGTTAAGAATGGTGAAGACAGAGTATACGTATATAAGACCTACTCAAGTCCACAACTATTGGGAATTGGGCAGGGAAAACCCCCAACACATGCCTGCTGACTGACCCCCAAGATAACTAGTTGATAAATGACTAAATAAGTTCAGCAATTACAGTTTCTACCATTTATTGAGTGTATTATACAAGACAGGCACTGTCCTAAGGCACAAACTCATTTAATCCTCCCAGTCACACTGTAGACTCTAGAGTGAGCCTGCTCAAATTCAAACCTGGTGCTACTATTTACTGGATGATGGTGGGGAAGTCATTGATCTTTCATGCCTCAGTTTCCTCATCTGTAAGTTGTATATTGTGATATATCATAGTATTACTACAGGTATGTAAAACCACTGATATTTGTGAAACACTTAGAACTGTACTACATAAAAGTGTTAAATAAATAAAAAGATTGTAATAGATCCAAATTATCATCTCCATTAGACAGATGGGGGAAACTGAGGGTCTGAGATCAGGGAAGATCTACACTTTGCTCTTCTCTAAGCATTTCTTGTACACTCTGCCAGTCTGTTCTCACATTCCAATGTGATAGCACTGGTTTCCACAGACAAGGAAACAGACTCAGGGGAGTGGGAAGACTAATTTAAGACCACAATGTTAACACCACCAGAGGCTACATGGTGCCCATGTGAAGTCCAAGTTAGTGGTCAAGAAAGTTTGCTTCTGGTCTCAGCTCTATCACCTAGAATGGCCATTTGGTCTCAGGCCTCTTGACCTCTCTGATCTTCAATATGCTTACATTCTCAAAGAAGGAGCTGGAGTATGCATCCTCTATGGCACCTTATAACTCAGTAACTGGACCTCCCATTTGGAGACCATACCCCACACCTGAGTGAGATACAAAAATGCACAGACAAGGTGTAGACCTCAAGCCTTCTTATTACCCATAACCAAGTATCTCAGCTAATAGATGGGCCCTTGCTGGCAGAGTGGCTCAAGCAGTAAGAGTACCTACCTAGCAAGTGTGAGGCCCTGGGTTCAAACCCCAGTGCCACCAAAAGAAATCAAGCTAATAGAGGTTCCCAGCTATTGATGAAGTATGCACACTGGTGAGGCCCTGGAGGCTTTCTGGTATGTTTCTATAGCCATCACATCTAATGATCTAATGAAGGAGCCAGGAAAAGTACAGTATCAACCCAGTACCCTTGAGTATTGTCATGGAGTGAGTAGAGGTTAGGCCATTCACAGAAGGGAAGATAGAATCACTTGGGGAAATATGAAGTATTCCCTTCTGAAGTATGGATGAACAAATATAGCAATATCATCTATGAGATAAGATCCTGGGGAATAGGAGAGAGACCCTAGGTGGAATAACCAAAATAAAGGGGAAGACCCAGTTTGACCTGGGATCTAGGGTTGGTGGTTCAGGGCAGGTCTCCCGTGTACAATTGTTTGGCTATAAACTGCACAATGTGCCCATGTGTTCATTCCAGCCTGAGTGGTGGAGATGTAGGCTTTGAAAGCACAGTAACTCTGTCTTTCTGCGGTCACCAGGACAATCCCAAGAAGACAGCAGCCAACATTCGAGGAGATTTTTGGGTTCTGGGAGACCGGGGAATCAAGGATCCAGATGGGTATTTCCAGTTTATGGGGCGGAAAGATGACATCATAAACTCCAGTGGGTGAGCTTGCTTTCTGGGATGGTATGGGTATTCTGGATCTTTGTTCTGGCTGGTTCTAGACTTTGAGCATGGTCTAGAGGTTGGGTTCCAACCTCCTCTCAAGGATGGGTCCTTTGCAGGTACCGGATTGGGCCCTCAGAAGTTGAGAATGCACTGATGGAGCATCCTGCTGTGGTTGAGACAGCTGTCATCAGCAGCCCAGACCCTGACCGAGGAGAGGTGACAGAGAACAGCAGTCTGGGGGTGTGGTGGTACAGACATGAAACACAAGGGCAGAGTGGTGTGGTGATTAAGAATATGGACTTGTGGGCTGGACAGTCTCGGTTCAAATCTTGACCCTGCTGCTTAATAGCTATGTTACCTTGGGGAAGCTACTTAGCTTGTCTGTTCTGTTTTCCTATTTGTAGGATGAGGGCTTGTAGTGAGGATGAAATGTTTGTAACATGCTTGGATCAAGGCCCAGCGTATAGTATGCACCATCTAAGGTGTGTTATTATGGGACTGGAGGGATTCCATTCTGTCATTCCATATTTAAATCAGATTCTGTTGCCTGACCAGGAGAAGAGAGGAGGGATTTGGCCAAGTAATGCAGTTCTTCAGTTACATGGTTCACAATGAGACTAAGGGAAAAAGAAAGAGCACTACAATGCCAGGATCAGGCTGAAACAGACTCTATGAGAGCTTAGTGTATGTGTAGAGAAAGGCTAGGGTGGGAAGGTGGATAAATGACCTAGTACATTTCTGCAGGCAAGTGTGAGTTTTACAATATCACACTTCTGGCAGATATGGGGCATATCCCAGAAGAGCCATTCGGTGACTGAGGACAAAATGAGACTCTCTATTGAGCTTTGAGTTGTATATAACTTTATTTTACTTCCTATGCATTAAATATCAATTCTACAGGTGGGTAAACTGAAGTTTGAAGAGGTTAAACAAATCATCTAGGGTTAGGGTCTCCTGTCTTTATTTTCCTTTCTTCTTCTCTTCCTATATCTACTTTCTTCCTATCAGTTTCTGTTGTCTCTGAGGTGTGAGATGAGCCTGGTCTCAATCTACTGCCTTATCTTCTCATCCAGTAAACCATTTGAGAGGAAAACAGACCCCTGTCCATTCTTACCCTATTTTGTCTTTCCCCTCAACCCAGGCATTGATTGGGAGATTCAATTAAGGGAACATAGAAGTGGTTGCTGTACTGGGTGTTTGATACTCATTATCTCAGGGGATGACTGAATTCTCTAATACCTTTTTCTCTTGGTCCGCATCTTCACTGTAGGTAGTAAAGGCATTTGTGGTCCTGGCTCCAGAGTTCCTGTCCCATGACCAGGACCAGCTCACCAAGGAGCTACAGCAGCATGTGAAGTCAGTGACAGCACCATACAAGTACCCAAGGAAGGTAAGGCCTTTGGACTCCCATGTCCCCTGCATTTGGGGAAGAAGACCTGTTATATTTCTCTTCTCCAGGATGAAGATACAGCCTCTAATTCCAAATTTCTTCCTGACTGTGCCCAAGAAATCCCCAAAGACAATCCAACAACTTTCTTGATGCCTTAAAATGATCCCAACCTTTGTGTTATTCTGAATTTAGTCAAGTGCTCTCAAATTATAGCCAATATCTGGCCTATGTTTCCAATCTCTGCACTGGGGTCATAAAAATATTTAGGATTTTACAACTCTTAGTTGCAGGTGATACACAAGCTTAGGTCATGTGCCCATTCTTAAGACAATCTCTGTAATCAGTGGAATAGAATTCCCTGACTGGCCAGTTCTGGGTTGTGTGGTCATCCTTGGAAAAAACATAGGAAGGACAGAAGAGAGAGTGCTACACACAAGACATGGATCGAGGGAGGAGAAAAAGCAGAACATGTAGAACAGACAATACCTATTTTCACTCTGAGGAGGAAACTAAGCCATGGAAGGAGGATCCTGTGTCACTCAGCTTTTTGTTGCCATGACAAAATACCTGAGAAAAACGATTTAAGGGAGGAAAGATTTATTTTGGCTCACAGTTCCACAGTTTTGGTTGGCAGGCTCCATTGCTTTTAGGTCTGTGGCAAGGCAGAAACATCAAGGTAGAGGAAAGCTGCTTACCTCATAGCAGCCAGGAAGTAGAGAACAAGAGAGAAAGGGTCTGGGGATAAGAGGCACCCTTCTAAAGCACACCCCCAGTGACCTCCTTTCTCCAACTTGGCCCCACCTTTCAAGTTTTCACCATATCCCAAAAATATCATCAAATTTTGAATCCCTCAATGGATTAAATCCATTGATGAAGTCAAAGTGCACATGACCCTATCACCTATGAACCCAGCTGCATTCAGAACCAAGCCTTCAACTCATGAGCCTTTTCAGAGGTACACTTTATATTCAAAGAGTAACAAACACTCTTGTTGGATTTGGGTGCAAGAAAGAGCTTATCCCAAGAGAAACAGAAACAAGTATTTTTGAGTTGGGGGCAACCATATTAGGCTTAGAGTTACCTAGATTCTTAGGTAGCCTGGATGCTCACTGGCTATTCTTCAGTACAGGCTAATTGTCCTAGGTGGGTTTCCTGACAATCAGACCATAGGCAGGGAGATTAGTACATAAGGAGTTTAGTAAAGCATTTTTGATCATCATTTGGAAAGGGAAGGGAGCGGGACTGGGAAGAGGGTAAAACTGCTCTGTGATTCAGTCTCAGAGAACCTCAGCTGACTCCATGGTTAGTTCTAAAGATAGGACAATCTTTCAGATGTCTCCTCAGTTGAGGTGAGGACAAGATGCAGAGCTTTGTAGTCTTATGAAGATCAATCATGGATATGGGCTCCCCTAGGAAAGTGATTCCCAAAGGAGTTGCTATTCCTTCGGCAGTGGCGGGGGTGGTCTCAACTACAGATCAGAGTCCACCACATGGTTTTCAACCTCAAACTGAGGGGGAGGCACATAGCATAGTCTCAGAAATCAGATGTTTGGCTTTAAAATCTTCTTCCACAATGTACTAACTCAATAACCTCATATGTAAATGGGGATAATGGTTATTCCTTCACAAGTTGTTAGGGATAAATTAATATCTGCAAGGGATCAAGCACTTGGAAGAGTGATTAACACCTAATATGCATTTAGTAGATATTTAAAAGGAGACTGAAAATCCAATTACACAAAACATATTCGAGATTTTGAATTGTAAGTGACTGTTTTGTAAGATTGAGTGATGGGGACCAATCACATGGAATATAGTGTATCACTTAAGTATCTCCCATAAATGTGTCCTTTTCCACAAGCTTTTACTCTAAAATTCCCAAGACAGCAGGTTCTTTTTACCTTCCCTCTCCTTCCACCAAATGTACCCATTTCCTCTACTTCCTTCTTCATGATAAGCAGAGTAGCTTCTTCCTTAGTATTAAGCCTGGATCTCCCTTGTGGCTTCCTTCTACTATCTATCCCAAGAAACAAATAGTAAATAGACCATATAGTCTTTTTTTTGAAATTACTCAACTTTGTCCTTTTAATGCTAAAGCAACCAGAGACAATACAGTAATCCCCATTTATCCACCAGTCATGCATTCCAAGACTCCCAGTGGATACCTGAGACCATGATTAGAATCAAACCCTGTATATACTATGCTTTTTCCTATTCACAAATACCTCTGGTAGAGTTTAATTTTAAAATTTAGGCACACTAAGACATTAACAACAATTAACAATGAAGCAATTATAACAACCTACTATGATAACATATATTTAAATTATTTCTGCAATTTCCCATTTAACATTTTCAAGTCATGGTTGACCATAAGTAACTGAAACCACGGAAATGAATCCGTGGATAAAGGAAGGACTACTGCACCTAAATGAATGGGTGTGGTTGTGTTTCAATAAAACTTTATTTGCAAGACCAGAAAGAGGGTTATATTTTGCTTGCAGTCAACAGTTTTCAGGATCTCTGATTCATCCCGTTGTGAGTTGAACAAACTCTTCTCAACAAAGTCACTCTTACTTTATGGAAGAATTCTCACATCAGCTGTTAAGAAGACACTTTTTCTATATAAGTGTTCCAATTGTTACTATTTTTATTAAGCCTAAAAACATCTGACCAATGCCATGGCCAACTGGAAGCATCAGTGAATTGTCATTGTCTATATCTTAGCATTCAGGAATATTACAAGTTCCTTGACTTCACACATTCTTTATAGCAAGTGAGAATAGTGAGATTTTACAGCTTGGCCAAACACACATAGCTAGAAAATCACTACAATGGAATTCAAAGCCAGGTATCCCAGTAAATGTCTACTTTTTCTGGTCTAGATGGATAGCCACAGCTAGTATGTGTACTGCCTGCTCCGTGCTAAGAACTTGGCCTACAGAATCTCATTTACCCTCACAGCAACCTAATGAAGTTGTTGCTATCCTCCTGTTTATTCAGTGGGGAAACTAAGTCTTAGAAAAAACAAGGGACCTGTCCAAAGTCAGGTAGAGCAGGGACTGGAGCCCAGAGTGTGAAGCTCAGGTGTAGCTCATTCATTTTGCTGCTTCAACTTTGTTTAATAGTATGTCAAAGACCAGAGTGCTATTCTTTTCTGCTCAGTTAGTTCCAGCCATCTTATTCTTGTCTTTCCAAAGCTCCTTATTTCATGTAGGGATTCCCCCAAAATTTCCCAGGCTTTGTCCTCATTCATCTGGAGCCTCTAGCCTCAAGATCATCCCCAAAGAGTGGCTCCTCTGAAAAAATCCAACCTTACTGTGGCAACAAATGACCCACCCTGCTATGATTTTTCCCAACAGATGGAGTTTGTCTTGGACCTGCCCAAGACCATCACAGGGAAGATTGCACGAACAGAGCTTCGAGCCAAGGAATGGAAGACATCTGGACAAGCTGGGGCCCAATGAGACTCCCAAAAGCTCTCACACATGTTGTCCTTGTCTTTCCTTTTCTTTTCCCTTTGGGTCCCCAGCCTTTCTGTGAGGACACGAGATTCATCATGAGAAGGAATGCATGTGATTTCTGTCTTTCCTTGGCACAAAACATGGACATATTAGATGCTAACAGAAGAAAGAAAGAGGCAATGAAAGAGAGCAAATGAGAGGGTAGCAGAGGAAAATGAAAGAAAAATAAGTCAGAGAAAGATTAAAACAGCAAGGGGAAGCAATTGAAAAAAAAGTAAGTTAGGAGGCAGGGAAGATGAGAGGAAAGATGAATGAAGGGAAGAAGAGAAAGAATTGGGGAGAGAATCAGAGAATAAGGAGGAGGAGGAGAGAAAGTGGAGGATAGAGAAGGAAGGAGAAAGGGAGGGAGGGAGGGAGAAAGAGAGAGAGAGACAGACAGACAGACACAAAGACACACAGAGAGAATGAATGAGTGAATATTCCTGTGTTCTGGACTGGAAAAACATTCTAAGAGAAGTGAGGCAAAGAATGATATTGGGCACCTCCAAATCTGACTTTCTATTTGGACCCAGATTTCCCAGTTTTAGCAAGACTTGAGCTTTCATTCCAATGTTCTTCCATGCCTCTTTTCTCCTTCCTAAAGTCTTTTTGTCAGTGCATTTGCCCTCCACTCACTTGTTCACAATGAAATCTTGACTGAAGGCTTAGAGGAGAATGCAGTAGCTGGAGAAAAGATCTGTCTAGCCAGGTATTCTCACAGAGGAGGACACTGCAAGATTTTAATAAAGTGACAATGTCTGGTTTCCTAGATATTAGTTATCAGTGGGTCATACTTCTCAGAAGGATTCTAGTTGCCCTTTCCTGTCTTTCTTCTTTCTATAATGAGAACTTCTTAAAAATTATATTTCCTTGGTGGTTACCTCATAAACTCTGGCTCAGAGGTGATAAATAGTTGAAATCCATTACTTTTAATGAAATCTATGTTAAATCCCAGTACAGATTCTGACTCCCTTTCCTCCACTCCATCTCCTTCTGCATATGACTTGAACAAAGCAATTCTGATATTCAGCCTATACAGTCCACAAAGCCTGCCTTACTGTGACTACAATGAAATCACCAATTCTTGCCTCCTTCTGGATAAGGAAGAGTCCAACCTTCTCATTCTTTTGCTCTTTTTTTGTTCTTTACTTGCAACATTTTGTGGGTGATTTTTTGGAAAATTTGTAAATCTACCTATGTTTAAATATACAGACCCCTATCTGACTGTGCATTGCTGTGTAACAAAATGTAGCAATTTAAATCAACCATTTCATTATGTTTTCAGATTCTGTGGGTCAGGAATTTGGAAGGAGGGTAGCAGAAATGGTTTAATTCTTCCCTGGTATGTCTTAGGGCCTTTTTTGGGAGAACTTGGAGACTGAGGTGACTTGAAGGGTTGATTTATGTACTCCCCAAAGTCATATGATGAAGCTCTGGTCACCAACATGATGGAATTTGGAGATGGGACCTTTGAAAGGTAATTAGTGTAAGATCAGATCATGAGGGTAGGGCCCTCATCACGGGATTAGTGTCTTTATAAGAAGAAGTAGAAAGAGATTATTCTCCTCTACCATGTGAGGAGACAATGAGAAGGTATCTATCTATCTGTCATATAAGCCAGGAAAAATTCTCACTGGGCATCAAATCACTGGACTCTAGCACTGTGAGAATTAGCTGTTTGTCATTTGGGTTACTTGTTATAGCAACATGAGTTGACTGATATAGTCAGGAATCATCTGATGGTACTTCACTTTCATGGGACTTGAACTGGGGCAATTGACTATAATATCTATATGAGGCCTCTTTATGTGGCCAGGACTCCCCAGCAGTAGGGTTGTCCTGGTCTTACCTGGTAATCTAAACCTACAAAGGCAATTAAGACTCAATGAACTTTTAGATATATCCTCAAAGGTCACATAAGCAATCAGTCATTAGTGTTGATGTTGATTACAGGGAAGGGGACCTCTTGATGGTAGGTGTGTCAGAGAATTCGTAGGCATGATATAAAATTACCACCATACTTCTCCAACACAATTATATCCTAGGCGACACAGTCTAAGTCTGTGTTTAGAGGAGTGTCCCTCACAGTCTCATCAACACATGGTTCTGTTGAAGATAGAGCCAATCTATATTACTAAATGGAGAAATGACCATCTCAGTCTAAGGCAAGATTTGAAAGCTCAAATGAGTGCAATAAACAAAGAGGGAGTGTCACTGAGAGAGGCAAAAGTGAGAGACTGTTTGGCCCAGTGTCATTTATTTCATAATCTTGAGTTACAGACTTTCAATAGTGATGTGTTTTTCATATTTAATTGATAAGATTATTCCCCACTTCTATGAAGTAATTGTTTTTTCCCAATTTTTCTGATATGGAGTCCTTTCAGTCTACTTTTAGTTTTGCACTTGGATAGCAATGTGGATTGAAGAAATAATTTGCTATTTTATTAATGCTATATTCAGCAAAATAAGAGTGAAAAGACTTTTCAAGGTCTGGGAACACCAGGTTCCATCATTTTCCCCATACATAAAAGACCAGGCTTTCTTCTGTGGGTAGAGGAGACAAACTCTAATGCCATGGGTTATAGGACTCAATATACTAATGACTTTCCAAAACAGTGGTTAAAATTCACACTAGAAAAACCTTCTGAAACCAAGGAGATAATACGTTCCAATAACTCCCAGAGCCAGTAAGTGATAATTGACAGACCCTTGTGGACCCAGTATGCTATGTACTTAACATACCTGGCCAATCATTCACTTTAGAGAATCCATATAAACCTCCAGGAAAGTGCTTTTGTGGGGTTTTGTTCTGTTTTGTTTTTTGTGGTACCAGAGTTTGAATTCAGGGCCTACAACTTGAGCCACTCCAGCAGCCCTTTTTTGTGTGATGGATTTTTTTCATGATAGGGTCTTGTGAACTATTTGCCCCAGCTGGCTTCAAACCATGATCCTCCTGATCTCCAGCTCCTGAGTAGCTAGGATTACAGGCGTGAGCCACTGGCACCTGGCTTGTATATGTCTTGATGGCATGAAGTGTCCCAGACCTGCTGCTATTCTCTGCAAATAGAAGGCGTGTTAGATTTCTGTTACTGCAACAAAATATCTGGCAACTTATAAAGAGAAAAAGTTTATTTTGACTCATACTTCTGGATGTTTCAGTTAATGATTGGATAAGCTCATTGCTTTGGGTATAATTCAAAGCCAAAAATCATGGTGTAAGTGCAGGGTAGAGCAAAATTTCTCACTACATGAGCAAGTTTACAGAAGAAGAATGATGGCAGGGCCAGGATCTCATAATTCCCATTGACAGTAGTCTCTAATGACCTGTACACTAGGCCCCATCACCTACCAATACTGCTACACTGGGGATCAGGCTTTTAACACGTGGACCTTTGGGGGAAAGTCAAGATCTAAACAATAATAGTCCATTCTCAGACTTGCTGCTATCATCTGTAGCTAGAAGGAGAACCCATACGTAAATTCCCCAGAGCAGGGGAGTCCCTCATTACATTCAATCTTATTTCTGCATCAGGATCAACTTATAAAACAACAGAGGAGGTGGTCATTGTGTCACATGATAAGAAGTTAGGACTTTGTCTCTAGAGTAACATCATTAAAGTAGTTTAAGAGAGCAATGAACTCAGTCAACTCTACATTTTACTCACCTGGTAAAGTGGTGAATTTATTGAAGCGGAAGTTGAGAAATTAGTTTAGAATAATTCCTTCTTTCTCAAGCTTGGTGACTTAATGACTTAAGAAAGAGGATACAGACAGTTGAGTTCTAGGCTTTTTAATTTGGTAAACTTGGGTCTATAGCACTTTCTAAGAAGAACAGATTTGGTGGGGGTACATTGAGTTTCTGTGTGGTCATGCTCATCCAGCTTCATTTTGTAAAACCAGGAATAATATTTAATATTTAGCAATGAGTTGGATATTTAACTTTGAACTCAGAGAGAGGTCAAGGTTTTAATTGTGGTTTAGTGAATTATCCACACAGGGGATGGTTGAGATGGACAAAGAGTGCATATGCAATGTCAGGAGCAGTTGGCTGCAGATGGGTCCTTGGAGAACAATGATATTTAAAGGAAGAGGAAGGTGATCCTATGAACAATATGAAGAAAGAAGAATCAGCAAAAGGCAGGTGTGATATCGAGAAGGTTGAAGAGAGCAATTGAAGAAGAATGGATTAGTACTGTCAAGATTAGTCACAAGGAGGGACTGAAGGGGTTTCCTTGACTTGGTAGTAAAACATTCCAGGACATGCTCCACCCCTAAGTTAAATGAAATACTTAGGGGTAGAAAAGTGATAGTTGTCTGGGCATCATGGTTCACAGCTGAAATCCTAGCTACTCATAAGAAAGGTAGAGATCAGGAGAATCAAGGTTCAAGGGCAGCCTGAGCAAAAAGTTAGCAAGACCCCCATTTCAATAAAAAAACAGGCTGTGGTGGTACACATTTGTAATCCCAGCTATGTGGAGGCATTGGTAGAGGATCACAATCCAAAGCCCACCCTGAGCAAAAAGCTCAAGACCCTATCTGAAAAATACTAAAGCAAAAAAGGGCTGGGAGTATACTTCTAGTGGTAGAATACTTGCTTAGCAAATCCTTGGCCCTGAGATCAAAACTCCACTACGGCCAAAAATAAAAAAGGAGAGTGAAAAAGAAAAAAAACTGATGACTGTTCATTAGTGAGAAAGAGATAGAAACAACTAGTGCAGTCTACTCCAACCAAATATGAACGGGAGGAGGCAGGAGCAAAAGAAAAGACACAAATGCAAGGCGGCACTTTGTAAATGCAGGAGGATCTTGAACAATGTTGCAAATGCTCATCTATCTTACCTAAAGCCAGTCCCCTTAGCTACCTGCACGCTGCTTTGTTTCTTACTAACACAATCTGACTTTGTGAGGAACAGCAATGAGCTCAATGGGAAGACTCAATTATGGTTGGTTTAAATGAATTCTTG